AGTAAGCCTTAATTCACACGTCGATACCACTAAAAAAGTATTTGTAACATATTTGTTTTTAAAAGAATTTTTTGTCCATTTTCAAATAACAACATGAGAAAAATAAAAAAAAAAAGGTATGTTTTAGATTCCATTTTTCACGGGCTTTTCAATGACCCTACACACGACATACCTTTGCATTTGAAAAAATAAAGTTGGGTAGGGTTGCAACTAAGGGGTTGAAGAAAAAAAAATCATTTTATTGGCAACAAATCCGTACAATATAAAATCAATTTACGTGTTTCAGCGTTTTTTGTTTAAATTACTGGTTTAACAGATAATAATTTTATTCCGGACTTTTGCCCAACCCTGTATATATAAATTAGCAGAGAGATGTTATATATAAATGCTAATTGAATTTTCCAGGGGCCGATATAATATAAGGGTGTTTTCAATCGTCAAGACCGTTCCCGAAGATCAAGGTAGACCCGAGGCGATAATAATAGCAAGGAAAACGCACCTGCCGCCGAGTCCTTATGGAATCTAATCGCCTTGTCCGCGTTTTATATATCTAACACTTATTGCTAATGTAAAATAATACCGAACCGGTATGATTGCCAGACATTTCGGCCGTACGTGACGAAAGTTGAAACTGCAGGAGAGCCTAAAGCGTTGGAATTGAGGTGACAGGACTAGCGATGAGTTGCAGTAAAATACCGTTTATTACGGGTGCGGAGAAGCGTTTCTAATGAATTGAAAAACTATCGCAATCGCCTCGACCGGTTCATTTCACGTACCAATTCGCCATGGATTCGTAAAAAATTCCTGCCGCCATGCAGGAATTCGAATCAGCGCGATTTGAGTTTATTCATTCGCAAATTCGCATTCTATATGCGCGTCGCCATTACGGACATTCAAAAATCCCCCATTATCCCGGAATTAGCCGTTTATCTCCCAAATGTGTAATTCGACGTGAAATTATATAAGAAAATTATCGACGGCGCGTTCATTTAGGAGCGGTGGACGCCGGGCGTCGGGGCGCTTTTACGCAATTATCCCGGCATTGTGTAGACGGATTGAAGCGATGCCACCGAATCACGCCCGCCGGTGCATTAGCCCTATTGTTCCTGCGACATAGAAATTCCTGCGTTGATGGTAAGTCGCTATATTGGCATCAGGGCCTCGCCAGCTTTTACTTACACCTATTAGTAGTACGAAAAATTTATTCATGATCGAATAATTTGTACTCTAATACATAGTAGGTATCTTTTTCGAGCGTTAATTAAATATTTATATTCCCACTGAAAGGGGAATTCCACATTCCTGCCACTTACACTCAATTAATCTAGTTTGAAACTACACCGAGCCGAATTTGCGAGCATCGGAACGAACCGCGAGGGCGCATTATTTTCGCTAATGATGAAAAATTTCCCAGTCCGTTCGACTAAAATAAAATCCCAAAGCGGTGAATAGAAGAAATAATAAGACCGTGAATGCCTCTTCATAATACTTTTTGTCGACTAACAAGATGCGCCGGAAAGATTTCCGCTCTAACTAGTTTCCATCTATTCCGAAAAAGATCCTCTCGGAAAGAGCGGGAGGCGCCGACGCCAGAGGCGGCGCCTCAAATGCCTCAAAAGGACTCTAAAAAACCAAGATATTAATAATACCATTATTATATTTATGAGAATTTAATACTCGAGATTATTATTAATTAATATTAATAACAATTATTACACAGAATGGCTATTTTAAATATAGTAATTGTAAATGATATTTTTTATCTACTGTTGCCTTTTGTGAAATTCGTTGAGCGCTGTTAATGATTTATAGTAATCAATTACAGCACAATTGAAAGCCGGTAGCAGCGTCTAAGTATCCAAAATGCCGGAAATCTTTTATTCAATTACCCGTGTCTCGATTTTGAGTCTGAACACAAGTATGCTGATTAACAATTACGTAATATCCGCCCTGAGGCCGGGGCTCGCTTTGATCTTTCAAAATCGGATAAAACAAAGCGTAATTTTTCATAGCGGCACGATGCAAAATTGCGTTTTCATTAAAATGTCAATATAACGGGCGTTTAATAAAATTAGTGTTTTGCAGAGAAAGAGTGTAATAACATTAGTTCAACCTGTTGGGTTTTGTACTGTGTCGCTAATTTTATTTATTTGGTTGGCTGAACATGGTTATATGGCGCTGTAGAATTGGGCAACATGCGCAAAATATTCCTCTGCTAAAGAGATTGTTCCACTTTAAAATAACTAGGGTTCGTATGCTCTATTTTTACAGAAAAAAAATTATGCTATTTTTTTCTTCACCAATAAGCTTCTAAGGGAAATTTGAAGAGGGCCTGAAAAGGTACCTCACAGGACATTGAGGATACTACAAGAAAGTGTCAACACAGCACATTGATCTGTAGAATGTAAATTCTGATTGAAAAATGAAATAACCGCTTTAAGATGATTCTAAAATTATCAACGAATAACATAAAATTGACTACGATCATCAGTCTCTAAACCTATTGTAATGTTTAAACCTTAAATAAAACCATTAAAATCTTTACGATTGCAATAAACTGTCTTAATGCGCACTAAATACCCTTCGTTTCTGTTTACAGAATGCCAAAAAGACAATAATCAAATGCTATTGCCAAAACTTATATCATATCATATTTAAAGCTATTAAACTGGAGCTCTTGTATGTATACGATACCATCATGAGAAATTTCTTTTTTATTAGTGCGTTGGGAAAATATTATTCAGCAGCGTAGTGGTCTTCAGTTTTTCCTATATCTGCTCGAATATAATTGATTAACTTAGGTAACATACGCCGGCAAAAAACCAGTTATAAAACCGTTTATTTCATTTCCCCCAGTACTCGATTTTTTTCTGTCGTGATTAAAAATTGATATATCCCTTTGAAATTTCAAATTGCTATATTTTTTATTCGCCCAGTCCCCTTTATCCCTCATCGTTGATCCGCTAACTGTTACAAAACGCAATTCGGAAGAATAAGGGTGTCTAAAATGCATGCAAATGAATGTAATTGCGGGTTCATCGGCATCTACATGTAGTCATCCTTGACGCCGGTTATATTTTCCCATACAATCCTATAAAAATGTTTTATGGAAACTGCGCCGTTTGGCTTCACAGTCAACCGCTCCATTTTTAATGCAACTTATCATAATACGAATTTCCAATTACGGTTTTTATGGACCAACAGGTCCGGTTCCGAATTATTTCGTTAAAGTCATTTTATAAATAATATTTAATGTTATATCATTGATTAAAATAAATTGAGTAGGTACAGTAAGTATACTCAAAATTTCAACTCACTGGATAATAATTGAGTAAGGATTGAATAAGGTCCTGAGTTCGAGACCGATCCTGCATTGAGCTAGATCCTGCAATAATAGCCCAACGCGTTCGTTGTCGAACTTTTAAAACAGCCAATTTTGCAGTTAGTTTAACATTGGAATTGTTGCAGTTTTGCGGATTTAGATTAATTGCAACAGTAACAAACATAACGAAGTTGTACGCCAAGTGATTTTATTTTAATTCCATTCGATTTACACGAATTTGTTAATGACCAATTAATTGCACGAGCGCCTACGAGAATTTTTTATTCGAATATCGCCCGTTGTAGGTTAATGACTTATTAGATTATTAGAAATAATAATACTGTAAACATTTCCTCAATTCCACGTGATTTTTGTCGGTTTCCCATCCCGATTTGACGCGAATAAATCGCCGTAGACGTTTAGTGTTCCGCTCGGTTGCCGGGAAAAAATCACTCGATCTCGAAAACCGCCTACAATTTTATTCCATCAGTGTGGAAATCATTCATTTCGGGGAATTATCCAGTTGGTAAAAATGTCCGTTCGCCGTAGTCGCCGGGAACGGCGTCAATTCCGAAAGAAGATAGATTGGGGGACTACCGGGTTGACGGATAAATGAGAATAAGGACTTAACGAACTCTTGTTTATCCCTTTTATTGCGGCTGACCTGATGGAAAATCGCAAGGTGAACGTACACATTTTAATAGATATAGTACCCATAAATCAGGCACTAAAATACAAGTCGCAACAAACTCTAGTATGGTAGACATTTTTCTAAATTATTAAAAAGCAAAGAAAGCCCTAGTAATACAATAATATTCAATGAGATCAATTTAAAACCTAAAATATCCTTAAATAAATGTGCCAATTCCTCTAAAGATTCCATTTTAGAATGGAGACTTCGTATCATTTTCCCTTTGATTGGGATGATGCAGCAAGTTGCAGGGATATTATAGTGATAGATGCCTGATTATAAAGTGTTGCAGTGCCACCGGCTCCGTACCGTCTCGGATGAGCGTTCTCTAATTTTCCAATAGATGAGGTTTCGCCCTTTTTCTTCGGCGTATCCGCGCCGAGACGATTAATGATTAGATTTCGCAGCTCCTGTGATAAATATAATGGGATTTCTATACTTAATAAATTGAGAGGATTACTTCCAGGATTTAATAGACGATTCCTTTATCGGTGGATTATAGTATAACCTCTACCTAGTGTGTTTATTTCCCGAGTGGAATTAGAAAGATTTATTCACCCTGTATACAACACGTAACTACATTATACGCAATTTAATAAAATCGTCTATTTCTTTTACTAGTAGTAACAATAGAGAAATTTTGTTATCATGACATTTCATAACACCTGGAATCAAGCGGGTTTTGTAATAATATCTTTGCAAATAAAATTATACCGGTATCAAATAAACAACGAAAATCTTTATTTATTTAAACAACAACTGCACATCAACTTAATTCTAAATGTTAAATTGAATTTTCATATCACAAATAAGCATTTAAATGCTCACATTTTATTATGTTAGGGATTAGTAGTAGCTATGTTGACAGATTAACAGATTCACTCCACCATTATGTAGATTCATATACAAAATAGATCATTATTAAACAATTTTTTAAGCACACTTATTAAACTTTTAATTAGATCATAAGTTAACAAACGTTATCATTCTCAACATCCCTCTGCCTTTCGCTATATTATAACAACTCTATATTACAAAATACATTATAATTCCACTTATTTTCTTCTCAACTCGTCCTGTATTTCTTGAAAACTTTTCCCTTTGGTCTCGGGAACGAAAAAAAATACAAACACAACAGCCAACGATCCTAACGCACTGAATACGCAGAAAGGGACTCCCATACCGAAAGCGTCGCGTACAAAGGGAAAGCACATAGTGATAATAAACGATATAAGCAAGAATAAGCAAGTGGACACGGAAGCAGATAGAGATTTGTAATTCGTTGCTAGAATTTCACCGGAAATAATGAAAGGAATGGGACCGATGCCTAAATTAAAACATACATAATACAGTATTAAACTCGCTAAAGGTACCCAAAACACCGAGTTCATATCGTAGTTTTTATCTTGTAGAATAAAATATATTCCCAATGCGAGCAGTGATGCTGAACAACCGATCGATGAAACGTAAAGTAAAATTTTTCTACCTACTTTATCGACGAATGCAGTTACCACACAACTAAAGATAACCTGAATTGTAGCTATAATTATCGAGGCAATATAAGCGGGGATAATGTTACCACTAGCTTCAAGTATAGGCTGCAAATACGTTAACACCACAGAAATGCCTAAATATTGTTGAAATTGCAGCAAAGTAATGACAATCAATAGACCTCTTCTGGACGCTCTCGATGCAAATAAATCCTTTAAAGTAGCTTTCTTAGTTAAACTCTCTTCTACAACTTGACTCAAGCCAATAAACTCCTTTTCGATGTTATTAATTCTTATCTTTTTTAAAGCATTTTTCGCATCGTCAGTTTTGCCAATAGATAAATAGTAATAAGGACTCTCCGGTACGAAAGGAACCACTACGATAAAAAACAAAGTAACAGGAACCAACAAAACATACGCGAACGTTTTTATATCGAGAAGAGGACCCACAGCAAACGAAAGGAAATTACCAACACTCAACATCAGGCCGAACATCGATCCCAAAGCACCTCTATTCGAATCTTCAGACAATTCACCAATGTAAAGTGGTATAAGAGAAGCCGAGCAACCCGCACCCAATCCTACTATGAATCTTATTACAAAAAAATAAATAACTCTAGTCGAATTCGCTATAACCACGTTACCCAGAAGAAAGGTCGAACTGAACACCATTAAAGTTCTTTTCCTGCCGAATTTTTCACCAATTACACCGCCCGCCAAAGTTCCAACTACAGAGCCCAGAATCGCCAAGGATGCTATTAAAGATTCTTCGTACGAAGTGATCGGGCGTCCGACTGGATTTATCGATGTATCGTTGCTCTTCAGTATGGGTAATGATGGTGAAGCCCACGACCATACACCGCCTGTATTGATGCCCAAGAAATTTACTGTAATAAAATGAATAGTATTGATAAAATTTTAGGTATAAGTAACAATTTGTAAGTAACTTTTTTGTCGAGTAATTAAGGATTTTTGTACTACTCACCACTACATGCTGCCCAGTATAAGTAATAATTATATTTAAATGAATTTATGATCATTTTGGACGATTTTTGCACACGAGCTAGGAAATAGAAATGATTCGTAAATAGAAGTGATCGATATGACCATCAACGGTTGTAATCAAAACCTGTAAGATTTTACAAGCACCTTCTAATCTTTTTATTATAAATGTATGAATCTTTTATCTTTGAAATCAAATCTTATGAAGTAAAAAAAGTCAGGAAGAATTTTAATGGAAAAATCAGTCTTGTAAAAATCGTTGGAGTTCGAGTAGTTACTTATCTAGATAAATGCAGCTAATGAAGTAAGTAATTTTTTACATGGGTCTTTTTGAATTATTTGAAAAATTGGGAATTTTGCTGGTTCATATCATATATCATATTTTATCTCAAAAAGAAGACAATTTTGATAAGATATTTTATCAGTTACATATTAATCAAATTATTATTTATTATCCATGTCCAGTTGAACAATTCAATATTTATAATGTAGATAAAGATTGCATATTTATTATTGAAATATAATAAAATAAGCTTAAAATAAAAAAACCTTTGTAATTATATAACATGTATTTATATTAATACAATACAAACATTTTATTTTTAATACAAAAATATTTATAAAAAACGATAAACTATATTCGAGTAAATAATATTAATTCTAGGATGATTCGTAATTTACAGTTATTTTACGATTTCCACTTAATTCATACTGAATTTCTTGAAAACTCTTTCCCTTGGTTTCAGGAACAAAAGCAACAACAAAAATACTACAGAGTGATCCTAACCCACTAAATACACAAAAAACACCGCCCATGCCGAATGCATCTCGCAAGAAAGGAAAGCACATACTGATGATGAAAGACGAAACGAGGCATAAACAAGTAGATAAAGAAGCGCATAAAGATTTGTAATTCGGTTCTAAAATTTCCCCTAAAATACAATAAGGAACACCACTGTACCCTAAATTAAAAAACACGTAATACATAATCAAACTCGCTAGAGGTAACCAGAATATCGAATCAACATTATATCCCTTTTCGCTTAAAATAAAATACACGCCCAATAGAAGCATAGACAGTGAGCAACCAACAGATGAAATATGTAGCAAAATCTTCCTGCCAATTCTTTCAATAAACAGCGTTACCAAGCAACAAGCGAAAACTTGTACCACTGCTATTACAATAGAGGCTGTATCAGCAGGAATAATATTTCCACCGGCTTCTAGAACCGGTTGCAAATAAATCAACACAACAGCAATACCTAAAGCTTGTTGCAATACCAACAAACCCACGACAATTAACAAACCTCTTCTAGACGCTCTCGATGAAAATAAATCCCCTAATGTAGCTTTTTTACTCAAGCTCTCTTTAACTGTGTCACTCAAATACAAGAATTCCTTTTCGATGTTTGCGTTAGGTCTGAGCTTCTGTAAACTATTTCTAGCTTCTTTGGTGTTGCCTTTAGATAGATAATAATAAGGACTCTCCGGTACAAAAGGAAGGACTGTGACGAAAAACAGAGTAACCGGTATCATTAAGATGTAAGCAAACGTCTTCATGTCGACTAGAGGACCCACCGCAAAGGCGAGAAAATGACCTACAGTACTCATCAAACCAAAAATGGATCCCATGGCACCTCTATTGGAATCCTCGGATAATTCACCGACGTAACTAGACAGAAGGGCGATAACGCATCCAGAACCCAGTCCAATTATGAACCGCATTACGCAGATGTAAGTAATGTTCGTAGAATTCGCTATGGACAGATACCCGAAGAAAAATGTCGAACTGAAGATCGTCAAGGTTCTCTTCCGGCCTAATTTTTCCGCGATCACTCCCCCTAGCAGAGTGGCAATGACTGAACCAAGAGTGGAAAGGGATGCTATTAGCGATTCCTCGTACGAACTAATCGGCCTTCCCACTGGATTTATTGATGTATCGTTGCTTTTCAATATCGGTATCGATGGCGATGACCAAGAGAACATGCTGGCTGAATTGATACTCAGCAAGTTCACTGAAAAATAAATTTTCGATATGAAGGTATTCGATTATTCACTTTAACACATTTCACATTATTCACGATAACACAATTTTTGCAGTATTATTTTTAAAGGCTCATGTCCTACAAACTTTATTTCTAGTTTATTTCTAAAATCTAGTAGGTACTCGTGCAATATACAATTCCACAAAAATATTGTTTTAGATAGAATAAAGAAAAAAAATTCAAAAATTTAATATTTTTCTTACTTACCGACACAAACCGCCCAATACAAAAAATAATTTGGTTTAACTTGAGATGAATTCATTTTTGGGATTTTGCCCGATTAATTTGAAACAGAAATGATTAATTGTCTCATAATTACGGTGGTTTTATACTAGAAATAAAACTTTCTTGTTGGCAAAATGTCATTGCAAATCTCAAAATCTCCATATCAACGATAGTTTATCTCTTTGCGTTGTACAATATTTCATCAGTTATTTAATTTGAATATTTTATAGCCTATTATTATAGAGTAAAAGTATTAATAGCACAATTTATTTACTAACGATTTGAATATATATTTGGTTTAAATACACGTCCTGAAGAAATGATAATAATTAGAAACACGCATAAAGGTAGACACAATAAAAAAATTGGAATATTTTTGTATAATTTGGCTAATACAATTTTAGAGAACCTAATAAAGTTTATCTAATATTTGCCGATTGTCTCGCACTTTTACGTCAGGAAAATACAATCGAAATACTACGTAAATGTTTGCTTGAATCGATTTAAATCTTTCCTTTAAGTAGTTAATTTCATTCTATAGATTTTGTCTGATATCAGTTTGTTTAACTTTACCGCCAATTAAGTGGATTGTTTAAAATGATTTTCCTACAATAATCAACCGCAAATATGGTAGGTAGCAGCTTCAATAATTTTATCAAGCTCTATTTCATTGTATTGCTTCCTCTTTTAAACTCATCTTTTTCATTTTTATAATACTCATACAATTGCGCTTCTTGCTGTTGTCCCAATGTCCTTCACGAATACGATCAATGGCAACTTTAAGGTTAATAATGACAATAATCTCGTCCAAAAACCATTACATAAAAGCAAATTAACTTTTTTCCTCCACATCTTTCAATTAAGTTTTTCCTTATGTTATTATTGCTATATGAAATCCGACCACGGCGATTTACTAGCACTCGAACGGTGGGAGTAAATGAGTAAACTATACGTTCGAAACGTTTTGGGTGTGTGTAGGTACCCATTTTACCATTCAAATTCGCCGAAGGAAAACGTTTAGAAGCGCTCCGGCGAAGACCGACCGCGAATTCGAGCATCGCAGTACGCAGTTCATCGTTAGTTCGGTGATTTACATACGATATTTTGTAGTAAATACGAAGTGAAAGCATGAAAGTCGCTATTGGAGCCGTCGTTTTCGTCATTTTCGTATTCGACAAATGTAAGTACCTAAATTCATCAATTTATTTGCACCAGATAACGCTCGAGTTTTATAAGGAACACACTTTCACTTTAGTTGAGATAGCAGGAAAGTGTGCCATGACACGACAAAATTACCTAGATAGCTACTATTAAATACCTTAAGATACTGGTAATAAAATTACTTAAGATTATATTTCCTTGAAATTACCACTTTCTTGTAATTCTTGTTGCACTATTAGTACAAGGTACCCCTTTAATTTGAATATTACGCGTTTTTTAGACTGATTTGCACTTCTGTTCATATATTATCCATAAAAAACTGTGTACTTTAGTAACGTTTTGTTTACAAGTAATGTAGGTCAAAGTTATTCCGTGACCATTCGCTGCTAGCGTTGTTGTTTTTCTCTCAAATAAAACATTTCTGTGAGAAATTGAGAAGGTTAAATTGCGGATTTTTCTGGGTTTACTTCAATTTACTTTAATTGAATCTAAGAAAATGGTAAAAAAAGTAATTCGAAAAATTATAAGGTCATATAGTTAAGGTCAATGACAGGCGGTGATTTAAATTTTCAACAGTTTAAAAAAAAGTAGATATCCAAGGGAATTACTCGTCCTAAGAAGTTTCTGCTGATTTATGTATATAATTATAAGTAATCATTAAAGTAATTATTACTTAATTACTCTCATTAAGTATACTTCTATTAAATAGTATAAAAACCTGATGAGTTTACTTAGAGAAGACCTGACCGATTTAACCTTTGCTAATTTATGCATTTGTTTACTCCAGGAGGTCCGACGAAGAAATGTTGTTGAACAGGTTTCGGTATAGCATCTCCTAAAAATAAATTCGCGAGTTCAACTTCGAGTTCCGTTTGTTCTTTTAATGACCCGGCTACATAATTCGCGCCATGGACTGTTTTGGCACTCGACGTGTTAAATTAAATACCTTTGCACTTCTGGTAGCTTTCCTAATTAAGCTTTAATTTCCCACGGCCAAGGACTGTCGTTAGTTAATAACATCATTTAATTGGCACAAACGTGTTTATTAAGAAATGTTTTCATTTAGGTACATAATTGGGTTTTATTTCGAGTTGTTATTGTATAATGATTATTGTAATTACATAGCACCAACGTATAATAAATAAATCCTAGATTCGTAGTAAATCTGAGATTTTTACCGGAGTTTTTCAATCGTAAAACCATACGAGCTTGACCTTGATCCTGTTGACAATACTTATATAACAACAATTTAATTGTTAGCGTATTTACTCTGCGGTATATTCTTGATTCGGTATTAATCATCGTCTCACTTACTAATGTAACTACATCACCTATGAAACATAACTAAGTACAGTTTTAATTAATGTTCATTGGTATTTTTTACACGTGTATATGATTGTGGTTGCATTGTAAAACTTGTTTTTATAACAAATTTTAAATAATTTTTTAGAATTTATGAAAAAACCGAATTTGGTTGAAATATACCAGGTATTGTTCGATCAAAATTCACATGATTAAAATAAAAAAAAAACTTATATCATATGTAATTCTTAGAAATTACTGGAAAATCCTTGAGTTAGTTCAGATGTAAAATGACTGCTATCGTCAGAGAGAAACCGGTTGTAAGTACAGGCATAATTTGCAATAAGCATCGATGGGGGCTTTATTAAATCAATATACATAGTTTTATTAAAAATTATCTAACTATAAGTTACACAGTTGATACTAGTATATTTGATATTTACTTATTTATTTTTTTATTTTTTTATTTTTTTATTTTTTTATTTGGAAGTACCTTATACATTTTATATTAAATTTTCGTGGTCACTAATTTAATATTGAAGGGCAAAATAATTTGAGGTCTATTTTACTAATATGAAAAAGAACAGACTTCATTGTCTTCCTAAATGAGATCTAATTAGTTTGTATTACACATTTTTTACTCTGATATGTTTTTGGTTGATTTTTTCACAACTACATGTTAATTAAATGACGTAATTACAACTACCAACAGAACTATGTTAAATTTACCTAACATAATACCGAAATATTAATTAATTTTATTAAAATTTAATTTAAGAGAACCAAGAACAAAATATAGAAAATATTTTAGTGTCCCACTCATTAATTCTGCCTTAAATGACCTGAGTACACCACCCATTAATACACACTAACCCAATAACATAAAATTTGTTAATTTAATTTTTTTGTTGTAATTGAATTCCACGTGGAAACAACGTAGAGTTTCTGTTTATGTAATTGGCGTAATTATTTACATAATTTAAATGACATTGGTGAAGTGAATCAGTGTTTTGGGCATGGTTTTTGACTGCGTCTCTCCTCGTTACATCGTCAAATTACTGGGTCAATTATGGGAATGAATGCGTAGGTTAATAGAAGACGCTAGGTAAATACAAATACCCAAAAAATTCCACTTTTCTTGTTAATGGAAATAAACTGCTCGTAAAAATTTTCCTCGCATACACGCCCAGATATTGCTAATGCATCATTTCAAATATTTATGTTAATTTATTGCTATTTTTATAGCTATTGCTTTACGATGTTGGAAATGCTCCAGTGATATTGACCCGTCCTGTCGAGATCCCTTCAACGAATACGGCAGCAGGGGCTATGGACAAAGTAGCTCTTATGATCGTTTAAGAACCACAGGCTACAATCAGAGACCATCATACGACAACTACAATTCTAGGTAAGGCATTAAGTTTTTATTAAAAAACTGCTATAAATCGTTCCAAGCCTATATCGGAATATTCGTTGATGTAGCTGAATTAATTTTCAGGTACGATCCAAGATACGATAATCAGAGGTACGATAATCAGAGGTACGATAATCAAAGGTACGATAACCAACGGTACCCGGAGAACAGGGATCCCAACTACAATCCCGGGGGATTTAATAATTACAATCAGGGATATAACAATGTGGGTAGGCAGCCGGTGCTGGAAGTGTGCGATGAAAACGAGGCGAGAAACAGGCGGATGAGGAACGTTTGCATAAAAGAAATCGTACGAGGTAAATATCCCACTAATTTTTTTTAAAAAGCGGTGAGGACACGTTTTGCTTAAGATTGCAAATAATAATAGGAACTGAAATAGGAACTGTGGTCCTTGATATATTAGAATAAAAATAACAATGCAGATTTATTGATGCATTGTCAAATCAAGGATATCGGATATGCAATTAATTAAGCGAACAATTGATGGGAAAAGATTAATACTAAGACTGGTACTATTATATCTACAGTGTAGGAATCAAGTAGGAAACTTGAAGAAGGTTTTCTTATACGACTATAAAATCTCAACACTATTATGTATTGTAGAAGGTATACGCTTTTTATATCTTTTTATTTATTTATAACTATCTAAAAAAAAATAAAGACTTTCAGTCCCTAAAGCAATAACACCGCTGTATGTAATTCCATAGCAATATTATCGCTGTTGTGAGATTTAAAGTGAAAGTTAAAACATTCAATGACCTTTACCTGGCTTCAATGTGCTGTAGTTTGTAGTATTTTATAACAGCATCTACAGATCCGGCGTACATTTGTTATTATTCCTGTATCCACGCATATTGCAGGCTTAATTCGAACCTGGGTAAATTTACCTTATTATTTTATTACGTATTGTATTATTATGTATTTAGGTATTGACCTGTATTTCATTTGAAAACGGCATAAATTAACAATTAAAAGGCATTGCTTTGAATGATAAGTTTCTGTAGTTAACGGTAAATCAGTAATTCAGATTTCATACTAATCACACTTTTATTTCTAAAATACGTACCCAAAAGTGAGCAGATAAAAAAATAGTAAAGACAATAAAAATGAAAATAGGTATTATTATTAAAAATTATAACCAGGAGGTACTTAATTAATTTTCGCATGTAGACAAGTGGATACTTGCGCGAATGTACTTCGAGTTTTTTTGAATTCTAATTACTTATTAAACAATTCTTTTTAGTAAAGAAATCGTATGAAACCTTGAAATCCTCAAACTGTTAAACTGTTATTGTCTCGAGAAAAATGGCGTGTCGGTAATTTGTTGTAGCATTTCCTTTCCTCCAATTTGAAATGAATCACACAACGCTCTATCATTTTTAACTTCGTCGTATTTATTTCCAATATTCGAACGAATGTATGCACAACGCGAATAAATAAATTAATGTGTATTATACGAGTCGATTATCGACAAGTTTCTAATTTAACAGTTTAAACAAGCCGAACGGAAATTGAACAAAATTTACGCGATATATGTTTACAATAGTCGAATATGCTAGGTAATAATGTTAAAATATTTCCGATTTATCACCGATTTTAATTGCCGCTTCTTAATACCCCTTTCCTGATCAGCGATGCACCGATTTCGATTCGTTTGAAGTCACCATAAAATGTTCCAATATTTTTTATTGCATTCTGTTTGCAAAATTCATGCATGTTAAATAGACTATTTCGGATTTATAGCATTGCTATGACTTATTCCTCAATTAATGTGAATGGAAACATTTACGACCTATGCTTATGTAAAAATAATTACAATATTGTAAGTGTAATGATGCAGAGTGATACATGATTTTAATACAAAGTTTGTTATTATGCCAGGTTCTAGCTACATGAGCGTAGTACGAAGATGCGAGCTCATCCCCTACGAGCAATCAGTCGGTACATGTTCGCAGGGTGTGAGCAAAGGATTGACCTTAGATTTCTGCGAATACTGCGATTGGGACGGTTGCAATTCCGCCACCGGACTCAAAACCAATCTCTTCTTGGCTGCTGGCGTGTCTTCGGTCCTGCTCTTCTTCTATCATTAACCTAAATTCCGGTGAATTGGCTGTTCGCGTTGGGGACCAAAGATAATACAACGAGGTGTTCACCATGTTTCATTAGATGGCTTTTGCCGAAATTTGTTGTAATTTGCATTTTTTTGTTGTGTTAAAATGTTCAATGTAATCACGGAAAGTTATTAGCTTGTTAGGAGGAAGATTTATTATTTTTTTTAGGTTATATAGCAACTGGTGATACTAATTGAATTTGCAATAATTGCTGTTTAATATATTTGGATGTTATAAGTTAAAGAACTAGTTACCGTAACAACATGCATCTTCTTACCTTACTTTTAATTTAGGTAACTCGATTAAAATGTGCTAAAAATAGTAATTATTTACGTAAATCTAAGTGTAATGAATTAAAAAATAATTAATTATCTCTAATTTACAATATTGAATTATTTGTTCCACAACGCAATAAAATCAGTTAAAATGTGCTTATGAGATAATCTCTACATCAATCAATTGTAAAAAGTTATCGTTTTAGATAAATAGTTTAGAACATCGTTTTCAGACAATAATTGTACTTAGCAATAAATTTTATTTTTATTACAATTGCACAAATTAATTTCCCTTCTTCAGCTCGAATGAACCTCGTACAGGCTTTTCCTTCTCCTTTCGCTCTACAGCGAAAAAATCAAAACTACAAATTAGCTTTCCATTAAATTTATTCTCTAACAACCTACGTTTTATTTTTGCTCAGAGAAATCTGTATATCCTCCAAGCTTTTCCCTTTCGTTTCGGGTACCAGCTTCCAAACGAACAACCCAGCAACTGCAACGAACCCGCCGTAAACGTAAAAAATCCCGGTCATGCCGAAGGTCTCTCTAGCAATTGGAAAACTCCCTATAATAAACAAACCGTTGATGTGGCAAATAGTCCCAGCAATGCTGACACACATCGATTTGACATTGGTAGGGAAAAGGTCTCCGATCATCGCCCACGGTATGGGCCCGAAGCCGATGTAATACATGATGAAGTAATTTGCAAGGCTAGCTAAAGGTAGCCAGAATACCGCTTCGAGGTTATAATGCTGATCCTTCAACAAGAAATAAGTCGCTAGAAATAACAAGGATACTGAGCAGCCTGCAGAAGAAATATACAGGAGAATTTTCCGACCGACGCGGTCTATCAGCATTCCCGATATGATTGTTGTGGAAAGCTGCACGACACCAATAGCGAGTGAGCCGTACTCTGATGGTATGGAAGTGCCGCTCGCTTCTAATATGGTTTGTAGATAAAATATTACTACAGGTATCCCAGTAAGACCTTGTAAAAGAAGCAAACCAGTGCCGACTATCAACCCGTTTCTTGTCGGTGGTTGAGTCAAATTTTTCCAACTAACTTTCTCACTTCTCCTTTTGCTGATAACTTCTTTTATATACAACAATTCCTTGTAGTTGTCGGAGGTTGTTCGGAATTTACCAAGGCTTTTCAACGCGTTCTCGTCGTCGTTTTTAGCTAAATAATAGTACGGACTTTCCGGGACGAATGGCGCAAAAAAGCACAAAAACGCCAGCACAAGCGCCAACTGTATGCAGGAAAACACCGGAATCGACACAAAAGGTCCCACTCCGAAGCTGATTAAATGCCCGCAATTAGCTAAAATACCTGAAGCTGATCCCACCCTACCCCTGTTGGAATCTTCCGATATCTCAGTGGTGTAACTGGATACCAATGTTAGCACTGAACCAGCACCAATGCCAATCAACACTCGTGCAAACAAATAGAAATTTATGTGCCTGGCGAAAATGAACACCAGATTCGACACAATGAACGTCGTGGAATACATCACCAAGGTTCTTTTCCTTCCCAGATATTCAGCGGCGAATCCAGCGGTGATGCTTCCTATAATGGCTCCGATGTTTTGCAGTATCGTCAGTAAAGATTCCTCCAGAGTTGTAATCGGGCGCCCCAGGGGGTTGATGGAGGGATCGCTGCTGAGGAGCTTCGGCAACGCCGGGGATGTCCACGAGAACACTGATCCCGTTGTTGCGCTCAGTATATTCACTAATTTAATTAAAAAGAATGGGCTTAATAATAAAATAACGCGTTTACTTTCTAGTAAATGTAATGATAATAAGCATATTTTGTTATATTTGAAATACTACATTAAATTTCTTACCAATGAAAGCTGAGAAGTAGAGGAAGGTGTTCATTTTTGAAAATTTCAGCTAGTAACTAGTTTAAAAACGAATAATACATTGACGTTAAAAGGTATCACTTTCATGCCTAAAAGCTTAGTTAAGATTTATTAGGTACCAACGCTAATTAAATATTTTTATTGAAATTGCACAACGATATTTATTGTTATCTAATTTTAGATTTATTTCCATTTTTACCCAAGTTATCAGCATTTTCCAAAGCTATTTCAATTAAATAGTTAAATTCTTTGGACAATATGGTTACTTATTTATAAACCTACTGCGTACGAATTGTAAAAAGAGGAAGAAAAAAGTGTGCAATTTTCCTGTTTTATATAATTTAACAATAAGTAGAGCAAGGTATACCAATTTGCAGAATTACGTTTCTTTTAATGTAGTCACAGTAGGGTTTGGAGTAGATTGCGCAGCTCCTTCATTCTGAGAAGGTATTACTGCTGGAGCTGCCCTACCTGCAGTTGCCGGACTAGATTCATTATCTTGTGCATTTGGAAGGCCACCGTCTGATCCGGATTGAGCTCCAGGTTGAGACTCTGGTGTTGATGAGTTTTTAGAAGTTCGAAAAGTGAAAACTAGTCTAACTGGTACAGTCAATTTTATGTCACTGCAAATGTTCTTCCGGCAATCGTAATTAGCCTTAAAAATTAATTAAACGAAAGTATTATGAAACTGATTGTGAGTAAAATTTATTAGTACTTACTTCAGGAAAAGAAAACACGGGCGCTATGGCGAAACAAATAAATATCAAAAGATGTAACGGAAACATTTTTACAAATACTACGAGTTTTTTAATCTAGTGCCAATTTATACGCTTCCTTAAACTATAGAAAATCATTTATTAGAATTTTCTTCATTGTTCTACAAAACGAATTCCTTTTAAAACGATTTATTTATTGCTAAGCCGTGTGCCTGCATTTATTTTCATAATCATAAACTAAACACAATAAGAATAAACCTTCGAATGTAACGAGTCGACACGTCTTACAACTTGTACTAAGTCATTTCATATGGGTACGAAAATAAAATAAAATCAAAACTTTCCAATTATACAAATTTAATTAATACAAGCTTCAATTGAAAACATGTGCAATTCAAACTTTATTTGCTTAGGTTTACTTATGAGCTTCATTTTCTTCTGTATTCTACCCGTACAGGATTCTGATGGGTTTCATCTGCCACATCTAAGTTATTTCTTGACGGGTTAAGTGATAATCGTGCCGTGGGAAGGTAAGGTACCACTGGTAGGCGCTTCATGCGAACATTTCCATCCACTCTCCTTCGCAAATCTTCTATTGGAGTAAGCATATCGCGGAGTTGAATCCTTCCTGTAGGAAGTAGATTTACACTCTTGCCCTGTATAGGAAATAATGTACTTATTAAACAAATATTAATACTAAACCTACTACAAATACAATTTACTTAAAATTGAAGAAATATAGCAAGGGTAACAATAATATTCATTGTATAAAGTTAATATGTATCTATTAAACACAAGTTGTAGCTACATATTAAATTTTATTCTCGTCATCCTTTTCCTCCTAATCATCCTAGTCAGAATAATCTTCCTCTGTACTCCGCGGAGTGGTGGTACTTTTTATTCCGTTAGTCGCTGGCTTGGTCGTTGTTGTGGTGTGAGCTAATTGTTCAGAATGTATTAAATGGATGATTTGAAATAAAGTTCCTGTAAATGAACATCTTCCTTGGAGAAAACAAACTATTCCCTCTGCGGCTTCCTAAAACATCAGGTGTAGGCGGGTGAAAATTCATATTTTCTACCAGTAATTTAACTTATTTCAAAGTTAGTGTCATTAAATAAATGAAAATGTATGTTTTGAAAGAAGTTATTGAAATGGGATTTTTGCACAATTTGTTACGAAAAGAAAATTGTGGATAAAGTCAGTTGGAAAATGATAATAATGTGTTAAAAAGAAATGTTTTAATTTCAAATCAAGCAAAGTGTATATGAATATTAACTTGATTTTACATTAAATTTTTTTAAGTGTAAAGGTACTCTACAATTTCTAGTTCTAATATCACTACTTCCACCAACTACGTATTTGATTATAAACTTACCGTAGTATCATTTTTATACGAAAACTACAAACATATACAAAATTAAAAATAATAAATATAATCCTCGTTAAATATCTTCTTCAGATTTGCCAAATCAAGTATAATAATTGCCTACATAAAAGAAAATGTCTCTTTCAAGTTTACTAGAAATTGATTAGGAAAAAAAATGTTCAAGATATTAAATTGAACTCTTTATAACACCTGCTTCATCAAATAAAGGACACATTATCATAATTTCACTACAACGAGTTAGAATTTAATTTTTTTATTAAATAATTAAATCTACTAAGTATCATCAATCAATCGATTGGTGCATATTATAAAAAATAATTAACCAACCTCATCGGTGTTACTGGGTCTTGCAATTGCACCAGCGAAGCAAACGAATAATACAACGTACAAAGGAGTCATTTTGGGACGACTGTTATTAAACATCTTTGCATTTCAGCCTTATTTATATTGGTGAAAACTATCGCATAAAAATATTTATTGCGATTTTATACACCTATAACGAAAGTAATTTCAACGCTTTATTCACTTTTTAGTAAAATCCTTAATTTTCTATAGTTTCGGCGTGTCTCGCGATTTTTTAGATAACTCATTTATCGGTAATAATCAGAGCAATAAAAGCAAAATATATGTATGTATATCCAGGAAACATGGTAATTAAAAAATTTTTCTTTAAGTGCGTTAGACGCTATAAAATAAGTTTCGTTTGAATTATTCTCTAAATATTCGAATGTTATTGAAGAAAATTAGGTCGATTCGTATAAACAAAATATTATTGCAAACATGTATCGAATTAGTATTTGGTTTTATTCCGTTCGTAGTAACGGAAAGTTAGATTTTTTTTAAGAATTTTAAGAGTTAAATCATGAAATAGGAAAATGTTCGATAATAAAACACATTCACAGTTCGAATATTTTATTTAACAACTTCCTCTTTTTCGCAAATCTGCCCTCCCAACAACCGCTGTATTTCCTCGAGGCTCTTTCCCTTCGTTTCGGGTACGCAGACTTTCACGTAAACTATAGCGAGCAAGTTCATTACAGCGGAGAAATACAACAAAGCCTCAAATCCTACGAGTTCTATCAGAAAAGGAAACATGAGAATGTAGAAAAAACCGAGAGCAGAATTCAACATCAGAGATATGCTAACGCAAGTCGATTGAAAGTTCGGGGTGAACAGCTCCCCGCTCATTATCAACCCTATAGGCCCTACGCCCAAGGAGAAAGACACGAAGAACGCGATCAAGGCGGCTAGAGGCATCCAAAATATTATATCCGTGTTATAATTGTACTTTTTCAAAGAGAAAAACAATCCCAAAAACACTAGGGGTACAGCAGAACCTACTAGAGACACGTACAAAACCTTTTTTCTACCTAATCTATCGATAACCATACTGCATGCAAAAGTCGCCATGGTCTGCACAATCCCAATCACAATCGAAGCAATAGTCGATGGTATAGCATCACCTGTTTTTTCGAATATAGTTTGCAAATACGTCGGAATGAACCCGTAACCACCGACTACCTGCACGAAGAACAGCGAACAACAAACCACTAATCCCTTTAAAGCAGCAGGAGAACCTAACATCTCTTTGAAAACGTTGATTTTCTCTGTCTCCCTGTCCGACAGGAGGCCGCGAATGCCATCCAATTCTTTCGCGACGTCCTCGTTCCCGCGAAATCTCCTCAAACTTTTCTCGGCTTTCGCGTTCCGCTTCAATGTCATCAAGCGATGCGGGCTGTCGGGGACAAACAGCACGAAACTGAGCAAGAACAATACCATCGTGCTGTTTACCACGTAAGCCATGGCTTTGATGCTCAAGTAAGGCCCGACGCAGTAATTCAATAAATTCGATATTGAAATCGAGGCGCCGGTGAGACTTATGAAGAACCCTCGATTGTGATCCGGCGATATCTCGGAAATGTAGCCCGGTATTATGACCATGCTGAACATCGCGCACGTTCCCGCTACGAATCTGGCTATGAAGAACGGATAGGTGGTGGTCGCGTGGGCTAGCATCAGGTAGCTAGCGATGAAAGGGACCGCGGAGGCGATCAGGGCGTTTTTCGGGCCCAATTTCTTGGCTACGTAGGCGGCTATGAGGTTGCCGGCGACGGCGCCGAGCGCTATCAAGGAGATTATCCAGGATTCTTCCAGGTTCGTCAGCGGCCTGCCCAAAGGGTTGATGCTGGTGTCGTTGCTGTTCAAGATCACCAAACTCGGAGAGGACCATGTCAGTGACGAAACGGTGGCAAAGGAGTGTAAGTTAACTGAAACCAAGGTAGTCGTCAATTCTTGGATAAAAAAGCCAATTCCTACTTAGGACAAGAATAAAATTTAAAGCATGTACGTTTGAAAATTTGAACAAGATAAATATAAATATACATACAAGGTTGAAACTCCAAATGGTATAAATTCGTTATTTCGGTTACTGTACATGTTTATAGAAAATCCCGAAACACGTCGAATTGTAATTATAAATTGACATTCTTCAACGTGAAAATTTGTTGGAAACAACAGTTGCAACACCGAATTTTTTAAATGGGAAGTACAGGCTTGTGATACATCATGTGAAAGGTCCCTTCATTCTCTATCAAAAAATGTTATTGTTTTCCAGTTTATTTCAATAATTAAAATTAAATAAATTAAAAAAAATAAATCTTTCCGGGCTGTATACAGGGAGAGTGTAAAGTAATGGTAGGAATTGAAAAATGTTTAATTTTGGTAATACGGCAAACACATTCGAGTATTTAAAACAAACTGGGACTTTTCAGGAGCAATAAAAAGTGCAAGCAAATCGACTTACCCGAAAGTACGGCTAAATAAAGAAAAAAAGGTGATTTTTGTTCTGTCATTATGGGTTTTTAACTAGCTATACTACAATCAACATGTTGAAAATATTATATAAGAATAATTTTATTATAGTATAAACCCTCTTTAATTAGATAATTAATTTCAAAACAGATAAGAATATTATAATAAAAAAACTAGCTTACAATTCCATTAGGTTTATGTAGAGAAGATAAATTTTTCATTCATATTATATAAAGAATTAAAGCCATAAAGCAGTAAAAATTCCTTTCCATAAAATGATTTCTAGAATTTGAACAATTTTAATCCAACAAAATTGCACAACTACTCATTTTTTCAATGCAAGATAGTGAACTTAAATTTTACAAATACAGGTAGATGCAAAATTGTTTGAAATATATGCTATGGGTGCAACAAAAATAACTTCCATTAGTCTCATTTAAGGGGAAAAGAAAGAGTGATACTGTGGGATTGCAACTAACTCACTTATATTTTAATAATCTTTCTTAATTCAACTCGTAGAATTGACCATATTACATTACAAACGAATTTGCCCTTATCTATATAAAGAACAAATACTTTTACTACGCATCAAACTAAAACATAGAAAGATATAATTTTCATTTAATTCCTTATCACAGCATTATAAAGTTTCAACAAAGCAAAACCAACCGACTCCATTTGATAATCATCAGTACCATTTCTACACCCGAGCCAAATCACCGTCTAATTCTCATTGGTCATTTTGATTAGTGAATTACTTGTCTACATTCACTCGATCAAACACCAATGTTAAAGGAGACACGTTGATTTCCTCGTAAAATTCATCAATGGGCTGCTCCCATCGTTTTTCGTAGTATATATTTAACAGGAAATTCGATTTTTGTCCCGTTTCGATCGCCCAAGGTAAGTATTGATTCAAATAGATCGCACGGTGCTTCTGCTTCAATCTAACAGGTCCGAAAATAGCACCAGCTACAAAATCAAATATTTAATAAATTACATAACAATTTTATTTTTTACTTCACCTATACACATGGGAAGTTTCGTTTGTATGGCCTCCACCCATTTGACGGTCACCTCACCCAGCATGTTTGTTCGCATTTGGAGGACTGTGTGGAACAAATCGTGCACTTCCCTGTATCGTTGTATCACATATGCCAATTGGGGATCGTCCATAAATCGAACGGGATCCCTCGAATCGGGCGTTACGTTGTTGATCTTCAAGAAGTTAACGTAATGTCTACCTAAAGTATTTGACGGTAATTTAGACAGATAATCCAAATCGATTGTCTTGGAGTTGATTCGGGGCTGATCGGAAAGGATTTGGCTGCCTGAAATGGAACAAATTTGATGAAAACGATCATAGATTAATGGTGTCTGTAATGTAATTGAGGATTATGTTTACCTTCTTCAGATGATTCCATTTTCCCTAATATGTACTTCGCGGCCTTTTCTCCCGTTGTCTCGCCTAAACAGGCAATCATATCGGCCCTTGTAGGGTCTGTAATCGATGCTGCAGCAGCTCCGACAGACAGGAGGGCTTTTTGAAACAAATTCGTCTCAATGTGATTTTTGCGATATTCTTCTTCGAAATTGCTTTCTACATTTACACTCACATTTCTAATTAAAACCGTATTAAGCGGTTTTAGGAATTTGTTAAACGATTGAATTTTATTCATTTTTATATATTTATTTTTTTAAATGACAATAATTGTCACTGTCAATAGTGTCAATACTGTCAATAGTGTCAAGTATCATGCTTCTAATTTGTTTTGAATGGCCTTTACCTTAATACTTATTGATACTCCGTGTTGTTTTTTATCTTCAGAATTAATTCCCAGTGTTTTGTCGACTTTTTATCTTAAATATATTAGTAATAAAAATTTAAGTAACTTTCTTTTTGGTTTTAAATGTTAACAAAGAATTAAAAATAATATCTGTAAAAATTGTTGCATAACTTTAGGTGCTGTATAAAATAATGGATTTACTATAAGTTTTGCCATCTTAATTGTCCGTCATTAATTTGAATATAATACGAAATTTTCCATTAAATTTTATTAATTTTGTTAATGAGCATGCCACGCAATTTTAGTAAACTATCCTATTTTAATGCAGATGTCACCATAGTTTACGTCAGTTGTCAAACAAGACTTTCATCTAAATCTCGCTAACAATTACACAGCGCTGCCAAATATGCGGAAAAACAGCTAAAATGAAGAATTGCTTCTTACTTTAAGTAACAAAAAAACGAAAGTAATAAGTAAATAATTTACCCACAACAACAATTTATTACACTCAAACGAACATAAATTCAAATACGTAGAATTAAAACTTTACTAGTTCATTAAAAATGAAAAATAATATGTAACGACACCGAAGTTTCAAACGAAGTGCAACGTCGCCGTCTCTTCCTACATTTCGACGGATCTTGACAATCTGTCACGATAAAGTAGTCTCGTGTGTGTAAAGGGTGTGTGCCCGATAAAAATACCGTGTGTATTATTCGAATTTACATGTCGTAAACGAACGGATTCCGCCCGATCAATTTTTTTTACCTACCGGTAAGTCCTTAATACTCCTACCGACTCGTCCTAGACAATTGTACCGGCTTACTGCAATTAACAAAATAAATACGGTTTCACAGCATTCTATGCGGTTTACCTGTCGCTCAGTTCGCTACGTACTCGATGATGGTGATAATTTACCGATTTATTAGGAATTGGTTTGGTGTATTCCCATTCGCAGTAAGTGGTGTATTTCAGCGACAGGTACAACGTAAATTAAAGGTTTTTATTTTGTTTTGCAATATTCCAATCGATGACTCACAAATGAAATCCGCAAAGAATTACTTACCTATAAGTAGCGATAATTGAGGCAATGAAAATATACCTGTTTTTTTTGTTTGATTTTTACGTCTGTAAAGGAATTGCATGTACAGTCTTTTGCCGCTTTCTTTTTTTTATTTCTAACTAACCGTTTTTCTTTTTTTTCTGTTTCAGATAGTTTTTTGTTAATACTTAAGACAAAATGCCTAAACAGGTAAGTGGTCGCATTGTTAGTATTTATTTTCGTCTATTTGTTTAACTATTTAGATTGTGATTGTGATCGAATCGAAAAAAAAAAATATGCTCGTCCGACACGTTTCACGGCCACCTGTTGCATTGTTTATCTAGGTGCGCTGTTGCCGGTTCAGGTAAAAGAAAAACACCCCGGGAAAATTGGTTGTATCGTTTTATTGGTCGGTTTTGTCTCTGTTATATTTCGTATGTCAATATTTTTATAGGTTGAATGATTAATGGGTGTTTAATAAAGTATCACATGAAAATAGTATAATTATCGTAATAAGGAATTAGTTTCCAATAAATTACATAATATGGTAAAGGTTGCATGAAAATTGTGTGAATATTAAAAATTGAGCAAAATCGTTGAAGCTTGGTAATATTTGGTACATGTGACAACGTTGTATCAAATAGAGTCTCTTACAGGGTGGTCGCCGCAAAGTTATTGAAAAAAAATTGATTTAAAAAATACAAATTAGCAGATATTGGAATATGTTTATGGAAAATAAAAAAAAATGTTTATTCCAATTTATTTAAAGTAACAATTTTTACTTTTTTTCTAATTTCATTTGTTGTCTAGTACCTACAATTTTTCTTTACCCTAAAATTACTTTTATTTAATAGTTGCTACCTACATTAAGAACTGGTATGTCTTTAATTCTGTAAATTTTTGTTGCTCGTTAGCGAATTTCGCGAATGCTTGGCCAAAATATTTTCCGTTGCGAAATTAAAGCGTTCGTAAAATTAAATTGAAATTAAAATCGAGTTAAAATTCCGAAGAGCTCATGTGAAAGAGGAGAGAAAACTTCTTTTTACGTTACGTTACTTTCTATTATTAGTCAAATACGTGTCTTGCATAGCTAATTTTAGACGTTCTTGTTCTTTGTTTTGAAAATTATAATTGGAAAAGATGAAAAATTTTTGCGTTTTCTCCATAAGGAGTTTTTATTCGAAAAAATTACCTTTAGCAACGTTAATGACACCATTTTGAAGTTTCTATTTTGCTTAAAATTATCACCTTATATTATCACGTCACAGACTTATTGGAAATGTTTATTAGAACTTTTTAATGAACAGAAAATTTATGTCCCGTCTTTGAACATTCTTGTTTTGTTTCATTCTGATTCTGAATAAACAATTAATAATGAACACTAATTAAAAAAAGAATACCATTTCGATTATGGTGCAATAGAATAATAATACAGTTTTTCCAAGTTATTTTTATGTTTACCATTTATCGATGCAATTTATAGTCAGTTTCTACTAATTGTTATCGTCTCGGATGAGATAGATTTGTGTTCTTTAATTCTCTTTACAGAGTACTTTGTTTTAATTATGGTAGATTCATAGATTGTGATTTGTTAAATTATGTTGACGTTTAATATTTCGGAAATACGAAGTGCCTTTTATCTATCGTCGTTATTTATTTTCGACTTAGTTGAAGATTTTCTCTATAAATTGGTATGTGACACATTTTTCCAAATGATTACCAGTTATTCCACTTTTGCAATAGATACACTTATACTTAATTATAAAAGCTTATAATCTACTTCTACTATACACATAATAGGTTTTAATCAATTTTATCTATATCAGGATTATCTTATATTGTACAGTAAAAAAATGCGATAGTCGAGGATTGTATTAATCATTCTTATCTAGATCTAGAAGCGAGATTAAAAATTACCAAATACAAATAAATAATAAAATTATGACGTCGGTAGGAGTGTTGTAGTCACCAAGATTAGTGGATAAGTGGAACACAAAATGCGTGGAAATCCCATATTTAATGTTTTTTTAAATAAAATTCTAAATTTTTGACTTTAACAGTTTTCAACAAAAGTGTCTAGAAGTTTGTTAAAAGTGATTTTAATGATGGGTTACGATTGATTTCAATTCAAACAAATTGTACCTACTTGTCCACAAAATAACCTTTTTGATTTTTCTGAGAGTACGATAATGAATAATGATCTTTGAATACAGGGTGTAACATATTCATCTTCACATAGTATACATGATGCGTCTGAGAGTATGTCTCAAATTTCAATGAGTACTTTTACTTAAAAACTATACTTAAAAATATTGACACCCTGCCTATAAAAAATCCATGAATTAGATGATATAAATATCTGCCTATTTCATTTTGAACCGGAAAAAATGGGAATTTTCTTGCGATTGTAAATCATCTAATAGTAGTTCGAATCTTGGGCAATGGAATAGTTCGTTTGACTTCGTAGATTAGGCAACGCGGCACGTCATCCTCCAGCGTTTTGTCCTCGGTCCTCGTCTTCAACGGCAACCGTTCGAAGTTTGAACGCTCGACCAACTTCAACTCGTTTCCCACTCGATCTTCGTTTTCGTTTCACTAGGAGACGAAGGTTCATCTTGCGACTATTTAATAAAACCAGTTGTGTAGTCGGTTTCGCAACGGTTTTTTCGCCGGTACTTTTCGATTTTTCGGCCGTTTTCGGTGATATTTGCGAATTATTTTTCGCACGTTTTCTTTTCGTTAAGAACGTTGATATTTGTACGGATAAATTGGAATATACGACAAAATGGTGTCCAGTAAATTGGTGAGTTCTTTTTGCTTCCCTTAAAAATGGAAAAAATGCGAAATATCTGTTGGAAACTAGCAAGATACCTTAACAATGACATGAATTTATTTCTAAAAATGTTATTAATATAACGTCAATTGTCTATTGAGTCATTATTCTATATAGTTTTATAATTTTCGTCCTTGCAAACACCCCAATTCAAAAAATTACAAAACTGGTAGTACTATTACCATGTTTAAATCATTTTTTTCTTGGAATATTTCCAATATATTCGTTACTTTTAACCACTCTGTACATGCACTAAACGTTAGAAAAGCATAATATTAATGGACTAGGTAATCAATTATTTCGTTGGATGACTTAACGTTGATTCATTCTAAAAATACCTGTCTTTGAAATGAATTTTTATTACGAAATTTATGATTCGCAGGAAGTTAGTTATTAAACGAAACGAAAAAATAATTCAATAAAAATTACCCTTGACTATGATTGGTTCATTTAATTAAGAGAATCTGAGTTAAGCCTTAAATTTGCAGAAAATTAATTGAGAATACCCACATTTGCCACGATAATTTGATATTATAATTTAATGAAATATTTTACCACATGCATTCGACGTGCATGTTGAGTATAAATAAATCTTTACACGCATTGGTAGACATTATTTTTTATCAAACATGAACACACACACATTATTCTGTTCAAACTTTAATATGCAGTGTTATTTTGCCTTGTTGCTATTAAGCGAAATCCTCTAGCAATAACGTGTGAAAATGCTAAAATAAAATACTTATCCGATTTTTAGCGTGCTTTACGAAGCATTTTACCACAAATTAATTAACGTTCAAAGTTCCGTTACCTTCGAATTATTTAATGGACTTTGTTGCATAATTCGATGGCACATTTTTAACTACTATTTATAGGAGAATCTATCGGATATTGTGCGTATACCATTGTATTAAAACATGTTTGTTGGACTGGAGTTTGTTATTTAACGTTAAACATAAGATGTTCGAACGTTGAGCAGTGTTCGGAAAATTAATAACTATTGTAATAATAAAGAAAAGGAAAATATAGCGTATACTTGAGTCAGATTAAAATTATCGTTTTTTAAATGATAATAATGAGAATTCTAATTTAATTAGTCTATTGTTGTTCTGACTTATGCAATATTTTTGATTTTTACCAACATAGGCAGCCATTTAAACGTGGAAACGAGGATGATAAAGGTTTGTTAAGGATTTTTTATGATGGATATAATTTGATACCATTTTTAATTCTCCCTTTGTCTCGTTTTTCCATATTTTGTAAATATTTCAAATTTAGTTAGTTATTTCGTTTTCTATTTTACAAATATAGCAAGTACAAAAATTTAACTATTTTTTGTAATAGATTCATAAAATTTGCTACCTACATTATGTTGTATTGTACCTATAATGTATGTTAAAACTTAATTTACATTTTTATCATCATACGTGTATCATATTTTCATGGAATTTTCAAGGTTTCTATAAATTTCAATTTCCTATCATTATTGTAGCAAGTTTCACTTCCCATGTGAATTCAATTAAACCTCTCTTTTTACTAAGTAAATAAAAACTCTGACAAGTTTTTTCCCAAAGCAATCGAGCAATCCATTTTGCTCAGTATCCATTCGTTTGCTCTCTTTACCACTGTTTAATTCGGCGAATTTATAATCTTTCGCGAAATTCCGCCCTAAATATGGAGATTGAAGCGGAAAGCGAAGCCTTATCCGATCTTTTTCTCTCCATACTCCGTTCGACGGCGCTTCAAACTCAACAAATCGCAGCTCTAATTCCGGTTTATCACGGACGTCCCAACGAATCGATTCTCGACTGGTTCGATCGCATCGAAATGATCCGTGACCAATTCGAAATACCAGACACTCGAATGTTGCGATTATCCGTAGGCAAACTGAAGAGGAACGCTTTGCATTTCTATCGATTACATACCCATTTATGCTTGCACTTCGACCAATTCAAATCGATTATGATCGATCGGTTTTTAATCAGGAATTTTATGAATAGGAAATTGAAGAACGCCGAAGAGTTTAGGGAATATTTCGATGATAAAGTCGCGATGGGCAAAGCGTTGAATTTGAGTGAGAGTGATTTAATCGTGTGCGTTATAGAAGGTTGTGGTAGGAAGAAATTAAGGAAAATTGCTAGGAAATTTGATGTTGATTCGTTAGATGAGCTCAGGGGGAAGTTGATTGAGCTTATTGATGGTTTTAACATACATAAAAAGGTAACAATGTTTACAAATTACAAGTACTAAAGTGATATGTTGAATTCAATATTATTTTAAGATTTATATCGATTTATTTGAGCTAATAGAGCTGTCAGACTATTGTATGAAAATATTTTGAGATGATTGATTAACTACTATTTACACGCCTACCGATAATGTATGGCTATTGGAAAATACGATGATTCACTAATCGCAGTTTTTGTGATATGTAATATGGAATATCTTTAACGTATAATAAAAAAAACCAATTTAATTAGAATAATTGCTTGGTTTAATATTTTTAGAAAAATTCACGGTTGAATACAAAACAAACAATTGAGAATAAAAAAACAGACAATCGATTAACAGACGAAATGGCTTCCTTTGACCTCATTCCGTAACTATTTAATATTTCACGATAATCCTATCAAACTGCCTAAAATATTAGCCAAAAAACTAGCTTCCTCAATGAATGAATAATGATCGAGCAAAATATTGAATGAATGAATGAATGATTAGTTATAATGCGCAATTATTGTATGGATGAGTGAGTAAAAACTTCATGAGTGCGTAAATTAATGAGTTGCATGAACAAGAACCTCTGAAAATGAGAGTATCAATGAACTGACACTCAAATATTGAAATGTATAGTACTCAATTAACTTGTTTAGAGTAAGTTTCATTTCTGCAATTTTAATGCGTAATTTGTGGTCACTCAAGTTCTATTAAGATATTTTTATCCACGTTCATTCCGTTATTTATGAAATCGGTGTGTAGGTAATTAGGTAATTGAATAAGTAGGATACAAATTGAAGATTAAACTCGCCATTCACCAATAATTAACTCAATAGCGTATTGAAATATTGAACGAATCAATATTTAAATGAGTATGATACTAATCGTTTGAATTTATTGACCTCCATCTTTACGTGATCACAATAGGACCAATATTTCTTAAGTGAAAGAATTATTGAATAACGTATACCGTAGGCATACGAATATGCTTATGATAATACTAATTGATTGGGAAAATGTTAAATAAGACATGAGCTGATGGATGATGATTGTCGATGAAATTTCACGCGTTAATTTCTAATTTTCAGATGAATGTCAGGGTGACCACCATGGATGCCGAACTGGAGTTCGCCATCCAGCAAACGACGTCGGGTAAGCAACTCTACGATCAGGTGGTGAAGACTATCGGTCTTCGAGAGGTGTGGTTCTTCGGTTTGCAGTACACCGACTCCAAGGGCGACCTCACGTGGATCAAACTCTACAGAAAGGTCGGTTACCAATTTGATTCACTACACAAGTAGTTTATTTCCCGTATAACAAAACTCAATCGTTTCGTTCATTATGTATTTTATAAATTACACAAACATATAGCGTTGGATTTCGACGAAATCTGCATAAATTGAAATGATAATTAGCGTTAAATGATAAAAAAAACGCTAATGACGAATTATGTGCGGTTGAAATATTTTATCTATTTTTAGGAATGAGAAAAATATATTATGTATTATTAAAAATGAACACATGCTTAACAGCGTTTTGAATGTTCTCGTTGATTTGGCCCGTTTTAAAGGTGAATGGTTTTATTGTTGTAGATAAGATTATCTGTATGGAATCTGTACAGTTTTCATCTTAGAAAATTCGATATATTATCTATTAATTCAAATATTCCACTCTAATAGTAACGTCACTATTAATTTTAGACTAATAATCATAGACTTGATGAAAACTGGCGTTTTTAATAATTCGCTATCCAAACAGGATGAGCTCAAATTTGTTTTATAAATAGATTACTTATATTATTTTTTTTGCGTTAAATCTTATCACATATGTGTTTGTTATTAGTCATTTTATTGTTCGTTTTATTCCAGTATCTCAACGTATAAAAATACGTTTATAAAACCAACTACTAGGTAGTCATTTATTACACAGGATGATGAATGATTAAAAATATCCATGTAAAAACAAAAAAAATAGGTATAAATAGTAGAAATAGTAAAAGAGTAATATAATAATAGATTTTTATCTGAACCCAGTACAGAGTGCAATATTTACATGCAACAGATAACAGATATTTAAAAAAAAATACAATCGCAATTATAAATAGCTGAGTGTTTTTAATTAATCCTTTAAACGGTTAATTTTCTATCATCTTTTAATCAAATTAATAGTTTGAAAAAATAAAATACCTGTCGTTTTATAAGAATTAATTGGAAATAAAATTGTATGCAACTCGGCCTTGTTTTGTATGTAATTTTTCAAGAACACTTGTAAAATTAGGTTAGCTAGACGGTCGATGGACTTTCGATTTGTAGAAAATAATATTTCTGATGCTTATTTTTTTTCATTTTTCAATTATTCTATTACAAAGATTTTTTGAATTCATGCAATTTCTTCGCTTTCGTGTATTATTAAATGTATTTGATTTCTACGAGAACAATTTGTACAATTTTGTTCCACTGCGTGCTCGCATTTCATCCTATTAGGATTAGCCTTTTCACATTTTCTGCTGACGACCTTAGAAATGTGATTTAAATCGATTTTTCATAATCGCTAATATGAATCCGAAATAAAGGAAATTCGCATATAAAATTACAATTTACAACATTTTATTTACTAGTTTACTGGTTTCAAAACACTGCAAATACACTTACTAAACTTTACAGAACTTTTTAACGCAAATTTCCATTGCTTCATCCATAATTTATCCACACACTGTAGTGTAGCTTTTCAAAACATCGAGCGCGCTAGTTCAGAGTTCCTTTAGTTTTCTTCGTGGTTTTTAACACTTTTGTAACGTGCGCACGCAGCCGGAAAATTTACGCGAAAAAACCGTCCAATGTTTCCATCGAATAAAACGCTTAGCGTACGAGAAAAATGACGATGATAGCGATGAAAGTGACACTCAAATGGTAAGTATTTTTATCACACAGAATAAAGGTGTAGAGAGCAAATGGTTATTAAAAGCGCAAAGAAAATTTTACGTTGGAAAACTTTTGATGCGTTTTATTAGGTGATTTGGAATTTTACGAAATTTAAATAAAGCATTTTTCGAAAGTGCTAAATTATGGAAAAACCGCATTCCAATATAATTGCATTTACGCGAAACCGGTAAGATTTGTTTGAAATTTCACTTTCTAACTCCTTAGTGAGTCATTTTTAGCGATAATTTCCCACAGAAATTTAAGAAATCAATATTTAAATTACATGTATTATTATTAATTGGTCTTCAAAATATTATTATTAATGATACCCACATCCATATTTATCTACAATTAATTAAACAAAACTCAAAACATATCAACTTAATTAATTAACTTTTATCAACCGAAAGTTGATAGTCCATATAACCTTCTTCTAGCGGCGTTTTTAAAATGTATTCTGACTTTCCCCGTTTCAATTGGCAGGTGATGAGCCAAGACGTGAAGAAGGAAAACCCCCTGCAATTCAAATTTCGCGCCAAATTCTACCCCGAAGACGTGGCCGAAGAATTGATCCAAGACATAACACTGAGATTGTTCTACCTGCAAGTGAAAAACGCCATATTGTCCGACGAGATCTATTGCCCGCCCGAAACCTCCGTCTTGCTGGCCTCGTACGCGGTGCAAGCGAGGCACGGCGACTACCTGAAACACTTGCACAACCAGGGCTTCTTGGCCAACGACAGATTGCTGCCTCAAAGGTGAGATTCGCTGTAGAGATTAGCTCCATTATTGATACCTTAATCCATTTGCGCAGGGTGATGGACCAACACAAGATGTCGAAGGACGAATGGGAGAACAGCATAATGACCTGGTGGAAGGAGCACAAGGGAATGCTCAGGGAGGACGCGATGATGGAGTACCTGAAAATCGCCCAGGACCTCGAAATGTACGGCGTCAATTATTTCGAAATTCGAAACAAGAAAGGCACCGAACTCTACTTAGGCGTCGACGCGCTAGGCTTGAACATCTACGAAAAAGACGACCAGTAAGTCGCTTTTAAACCGACCAACCACGCGAATTATATAAACGATGATTTGTTCCCTAACAGACTGACGCCGAAGATCGGTTTCCCTTGGTCGGAGATCCGCAACATCTCCTTCAACGATCGCAAATTCATCATCAAACCCATCGACAAGAAGGCGCCCGATTTCGTGTTCTTCGCGCCGCGCGTCCGCATCAACAAGCGCATCCTCGCCCTGTGCATGGGCAACCACGAGCTGTACATGCGCCGGCGCAAACCCGACAGCATCGACGTGCAACAGATGAAGGCGCAGGCGCGCGAAGACAAGCTGGCCAAGCAACAGCAGCGCGAGAAGCTGCAATTCGAAATAGCGGCCAGGGAACGGGCCGAGAAGAAACAGCAGGAGTACGAAGACAGGATTAAAGGTTGGTGTGATTGTAGTGTAGTGCAGTGTACGAAACTTTAACGTGTATTGTTGTGCTTTGCAGCGATGCAAGAGGAGATGGAACGCAGCCAGGCGAACCTGATGGAAGCGCAGGAGATGATCAGGCGATTAGAGGAGCAATTGAAGCAACTCCAAGCGGCGAAGGACGAGCTGGAGAAGCGACAGAACGAGCTGCAGGCGATGATGGAGCGATTGGAGGAGAGCAAGAACATGGAGGCGGCCGAGCGACAGAAATTGGAGGACGAGATCATGGCCAAACAGCACGAAGTCCAACGCATCAAGGAAGAGGTAAGCTAACTAGATATCGATTAGCCATTCAAGGCTTGAAAAAGGCTTTGTTAAATCGCAATTTTTTGGTCAGGTCGAGGCGAAAGACAGCGAAACGAAGCGACTCCAGGAGGAGGTGGAGAGCGCCAGGCGCAAGGAGGAGGAATGGAGGCAACAGCAATTGGCGAACGCCGCCAAGGGCCATCTGGAGGAGAACGATCACAACGAGGACGACGAAATGGTGAACGGCGACGTCAGCCAAGAGCTCAACACCGACGAGAACATCGTCGATCCGATCGAAGATAGACGGACGTTGGCCGAGCGCAACGAACGTCTGCAAGATCAGTTACAGGTATGTTGTCGAGTTTTTTTTTATACATACAGGGTGGGGTTTTAGTGTGGTATAGTATCCTATTATCCACAAGAAATCGTGTGTTTGATATGCTTAAAGAAGTGAGAATCATCAGTGCCGATGGTTCCCATTATACAAGGGAATATGAGGAGAAGAATATCACAGCTGTGATGAAACCTACGAACTTGGTTTGGAAAAAAAACCATTGAGAAATCCAAATGGTTTTAAGTCTGGCGATCGAGCGGGTTATTTCGTAGAATAACTCTATCAATAGGATTCCCAAGGGAATGTAATTATAATACTGTATTTCCTACTTTACAAGAACCCCCACTAAAGCCACACTAAAGCCCTTCTTTGCATAAGTAAGTAATAAAGAGCCCAACTTGTCTTTTTATCCCTTCAAGTCGGGAAGTGTTATTAAAAGAAAGAAAAAGTCATTTTATTTACTTTGCTTGCGTTTGGATGGGAAACCTCGGTTATCGTGCAATACAAGCAATAACCACTTCATTTCGGATGAGAGGGAGCAATCGAAATCGCCTTAACAAAATTTACACCCCCTGCTAATAGAGGAATAGAGGAATATATTCACGTTGGTGGAAAACTGAATTGTGTATTTTTCCTTTTTGTAGGTAGGTCCGATTTGTTGTGGACTCTGCAAAAATAGGAAAAATCTACATCAGGTACTTGCTAATGTTGAATGTCGGTTGAATTTTTTTTTATTTGAATGAAACATCTGACACGTATATCATTGCATTAAAAACGTCCCTTTTTGCATGCCTCTAACATTGCTCGCTTTTGGTTTTTTTTTACGTTATTTCTAAACCAAATCTGAACTGTGACTGTATTGAAAAATCGAGGTCACCATCAGACGGTTCAAAATTGTTACAATCCTCCAAATTCTCTACATAATAAGTAATAAGCATGCAATCTTCATAAGAACATCCGCGATATTTTAATAATCGTACACCTTTCTGGAAATAGAGCCTTATATTTGAAGCTCGAGGGATCTCAGGAAGACATTACAGAAGGTTTTAATTTTGTAATCGGCTTGTAGAGTACAATTTTTTTCGTGTAAATGTTGAACATGTGGTTTTTGGTTCGGTAGGCGCTGAAGAAGGACCTGGCCCAGTCGCGGGACGAGACCAAGGAGACGGCCATGGACAGGATCCACAGGGAGAATGTGCGCCAGGGCAGGGACAAGTACAAGACGCTGCGCGAGATCCGCAAGGGCAACACCAAGCGTCGCGTCGATCAATTCGAGAACATGTAAACGTAAAAGTCCTACCGATAAAGCGAAACTGCGAAGAAAAGAAGAAGATAAAAACCGGAAAGTCACGTTAGGAAATTTGAAAGGTTTCTCCGAAACGATTGAGAGAAGGTATATTTTTATAATAAACAAAACAAAAAAACAATTTGCGATTTCCAACTTAATGAGCTTCTTCTTTTTTTGCGTTTTTATTTCTCTTATTTTTCCTTGATTTTTGGTTCGTATTTAAAGTAACTGCTAAAAAAAACACCTTCAAAATGCTCAAATCAAAAATTTCCAATAACTCTTGATTTTTTTTCGGTTCAGTTTTTTTTTATTTTTCTATTTTTTATGTTTTATTATTATTTTGTTCTTTATAACTCATAAAATAAGTCCAAGTATATTCGTTTTAATTTTATTTTTATTTTATTTATGTGTATTATTATTTTCGGACTCTAAAACAACAAAGTGGCCTTAGACATTAACAATTAACAATTTCGACTTTTTTTTGAAAGTAACGCGAAAAGTCAATTGAAATCAAAATCAAAAAAACCAATCGAAAAATTAAGATCTGCAATGCATATTTTTATATATTTTTTGTATACAAAGATACAAATTCATTCCCCCCGCCTATTCAAGTAACTTCCTGCTTTATTACTAGTTTTTTTAATAAATTTAGTGCCATTAGGTGATCAAGATATAAAAAATTCACTTCTTTCCCGTATCTTTAATAAACAAATAAGCCTATAGGAATTTTTAGAGAATTATTATTTTAATCTTTTATTTCCTTGTAATAGTAATAAACGAAATTGTTAGTTTTGGAACGGTTCGATCAAAATTAATCATTCAGTATTCCTGTGATTTAAGTGGAGCATTCCTTAATGCCAGGATTGCATCGGTACAGTTCGATAACTGTCCCGGACAAGTCCCCGCGTTCGAACCGTTCTGGAACGGTTCGGTTTGATTGATTCATTGGAGCGAATGGATTGATCGAACGTGTAATTTCGAATATTACAATACTTGCTATATTTGGCCGTTGGTGCTTCCTAAAACTTTAGAAGAGTGCGAGCGACAATCTACCGATATAATCAATTTTCAATTGCAAATATAATATAACTGGTCACGTTAATTTTGCACGCGGTAAGGCCCCATGCTAAAATACTGTTTCTGTATAATCGCTTGATTGAAAAAGGGGGTCTTATTTGAAATTTTCTGGTAATTTTTTTGTAGATGTTGCGAATAACCTTCATTTGTAAATAAATGGTTTTTCTACTAGTATATATTAATCCTTTAATCGAGTAATCTGGATTTGCAATTTTTTCCGGTGTTTCCTTTCCGGAGAATAAGTTATGTTTCCACTGTTGCCGGTTCGTTTTATCGCCTAACGAACCTTTTATGCGCGTATGTACATATAGAGAAAAAATTGTATACCACGTTGCCTTTTTTTTAGCGTAGTGTTATAGGATTATTTTGGATGATATTTTACACGACTAGCATTGTAAGTACCTATTTGATACAGTTTATTTTTCGTTTTTTCATTTCGTTCAATGCGAGTAAATACATTTTTTTTTTCGTGTAAAAGCTAAGCAAAATATTCGACTTTCGGCCGGAAAGTGATGAAGGATTTTCTTCAAATTGAATTCATAGAATGGTTAAATTCGCAATTAGCGCGATTTTTATTAATAATAAATCTATTATTGTTAACAATTTCTGTCAATTATCAGTGACTATTTTGTATTATATTATATATTATTGTATTACTTAAATTGCTCTTTATAGTTCTTTAATGATTTATTCTTAAACAGTCTGTTAGTTATGTAATTTCTAAGGGTAAATAATAATTTTTTGGAACGTGTTGGCTTATTATTCCGATTGGTGAAGCCATTGACAATAAATTTTTCTGATGTTCCAGGTATTTCGCGCAACCTTTTTTACTCAAAAACTCAATAAATTTGCGCATATCCTACAAATTTTCGTCCTGCAATCAAAGCATTGGGGGTGAAGTAAGGGGGGAATAACAAATCGGAAATTACTTATCATTTATTATATTTACATGAATTCAGAAACGGACAAACCATCCGATAATTCGAAGGCGATCACAAAATCAATTTATCCACTTAATCGTATAATTATTCCGCTAATTAATAGTTATATTAATTGTCTTGTACAAAATTTTCCATTGTGTTTTTGTAACTTTCTAGTCGAGACAAGATTACAATTATCCACGGTACAAAAATAAGTGTATAATTAGAAAACATTTTTATTTATTTTTCGTTTAATTACTATTTTTTAGGTGATCGCTTTTAGAAGAAACAAAGTTATTAAAATTATTTTTTAAGTATATATAATATATATAAATAAATGTATATAAATTGTGAGAAATTTACGGAAAACGTCGGAAAAGGTTTTTTAAGAATCACAAATTACATTATCACCGATTAAAATTAATTATATTACAAATAAAATAATGGGAAGACGTTACTTAAAATGTCACAAAATTACGGTAAACGTCCTTAAAACATTTTAAACTGTTTCCAATTAAGTGAATGATTTTGTTTAAGAATTTCTAACAATAGCACTTCAAAGCGTTTGGTTTGCAATAAGTTTTTCAAGTAAGGTTCTTCTTAAATCATGAATGTACAATTAAAAAAATATATTAAGGGTTTAAAACCGTAACGTAATTTTTTTAAGTAACTTCTTACGTAAAAAACGGGTAAAAAAACCGTTTCCGCTCGAGGTCGAAAATTAAAAAAAAATCGCATTACTCTTAATAATACACTAAAATACACTTATAAATAATGTTTTGTATAAAAAGAATCCTCAGCCTTGCGGGACGAAAAACAACAAAATATCTCACCAATGACGACTCGTCGAAATGTGCAAAAATAATCTCCAAAAAAACCAAATCGCAACAAATTTTCTAACCTAGATTTTATGTAAGTACCAACAATGTTAAAATCATTTAAACAAGAGAGTATTAAACTTGTACACAAAAATGCTTCCTCTTCATACCGGACAGTAAAAGTAGAGAGAACATTTCTTAAACACCTACGATAACGAAAGATTCAATTGCGATTTTGTTTCCATTTAGCACGCCTGCGCTTTAAAAATACTTTTTCGGTAAAAAAAACAAAACAGTTATAAAACCTACCCGTGTAAACATTTCTACTTAATTTTTTTTGTTTTTTTTTTGATTTTATGGTCTTTTTCATTTCATTTTTCCTATCGAAAGGACGAAGCCGTCAGGTACACATTTATTTCTAGAAAATAATCGGAAAAAAATGCGGCGGAAAATACTCGTTAGACAGGTGGAAGGAAATATTTATAATAGATGTCCTATAGGCAATCTACAAATTTAAGAAAACGGAGGGGCATTCGTCTAGAAGTCGAGCAAAATAGGTAAATTTTGTAAATATACCTCATGAAAAGGAAGTTGGGGGCAATCTAATTAAGAGAAATTGCGGAAACAAGGGGATATCATCTAAGAGAAATGGGTACTTTTTCTAAGAGAAGGGGACGGTAGGTTTGTTATTTCCTCTGTGTGCTCCCAGGAAAACTCGCCGATTTTTTCTTCATTGCGTCTTTTGTCATTTTTCTATCTATTCTTACTTTTTTTTCTATTTGTTTCTCGATCGACAGGTACACAGCAAATGCGAAGGCGACGATGACTAACGTGTCGTTAACGATGGCTGCTACCTACAAATAAAACAATGCATAAGATGCTATTTTAACGATTTATCTTCGAATTCGTAATGAAAAAATAAAAAAAATATTCCAAAAAAAATAACCAAAAAATAATTTCCAATGAGAGAAAATTAATGCACGGTATTCAAGGTGTTATGTTACCCGATAAATAGGTTTATTCAACATCTATTTTATCCCTAAATATCAAATAAACCTTCAATTATGTATTCATTCAAAACAAACAAAACTGCTAAATTTTTGCTAGAAAAATTCCGTTTGTTTTAAATAAATACACCTGTATCAAAACCCAAAACATTGCACCTCATTCAAATTAAAATTTTACCATCCGAATGCTAAATATAAACAGTACAGACATACAATCCCATTATTTTTTTTCGTTTCACCCAATATTACAAACCTTGCGTTTTTGTTTCGGATTTTAATTGTACTGTCATATTTTTTGATAAAAATATGTTTGATAATAAAGAGGATTCGGATAATAACCGAAACCGTGAGCGCCGGGCGGCGGATAATACGAATTCGGTAGGTTCTTGTATGGGCTAAAAAAATAAAGAAAACGCATCAAGCACAATACATCATTTGCCAGGATAGAGAGAGCTAATAGTCATCAGAGTACATCCCTTGTAGAAAGTTACAGTGAACACGAAGGAACTCCTTTATTTCCGCTCACAATCCACTGCTATTAATTGATTGGGAAATAAATAAGAGGAAAGCATTACCTGTGACCGATCATGCCATTCACCGAGGACGTAATGGTCGGCACCATCTCGAGCTCGACCAACAACGAGAAATGATCCGAATAGATGTGCGGATGCGGACAGCCTATAACCTTGTTCTGCTGCAACCAATCCTGCGACAGCGGCCCCAATAGACCCAAAGGTGTCATGGTTTGCTTCGCGTAGAATATGTAGTCGATTATGCCCTTAAAATCGAATCTAAGCAAAATAGAGAATACGGTAGGTTTAGTCAGTTATCGAGCTCGCGCAGCGAGTTATACTCACGTGTAATTCGTGAACGGCATGATCTCGTCGTTGTACGCCGACGCCAATTTGAACGAGTGCGTAAACTCGTTGGGCTTGTCGCAGCTGAGCGACTTCTCCAAGCAGCTCTTGTAACTCAACGCCTTGAAGTCCCTGTGGTCCTGCGAGACCCTTCCGGTACCGAGGAACTCGATCACGCCCGAGTCGGGCAGCGAATTGAAATCGCCGCACAACACCAGCTGTATGTGACCGGCGTCGGCGTCGAGGTCGCGCGATCGCAACGTCCGCGCCGACTCCTCCAGTATGGATTTGAGCTCGTTGGACAGCATCATCGTTTGGATGAGCTTCACGTCGCTGAATTCCGGATCCCAGTGGATGTGGGCCGTGCACACGAGCAGCGGTTGCTGGAGAAACGGCGCGTCCGGCGGTGCTATAAACGTCCAAATTAAAATCAATCGATCGAACTTTGTAATAACGTTAAACTCACCATTGTCCCAAGCGGCTTCGGTGGTTTGCAAAAGGGCCGCCAAGCCGATGTTGTCTTTAGGCATAACCCTGTTGAGCATGTGTTCCATACCATCCGCACTAGCCATAGCTAACTGGTTGAATTCCACTAAATGTTCTTTCACTAAAGTAAATCTAAACAGAAACGAATGCATTACAAAATGAAATATTAGTTACGATAGACATCACTTACTTGGATGCTCTGTAAAAGATGGCGCAACCGTCGACGTACTTCCTCTCGCTTTCGGCCATGTGTTTGGCCCTCGATTTGGGCGAATAAATGCCGTTGTAGCCGTCCATCTTCAATTCGGGCAGAAAATAATTGTAAAACTGCTCCATCTCGACCTCCTGCAGATTGACGATATCAGCGCCGTAGAGTTTGATCTCCTCGAGGATGCCCTTCTTCCTGTAGTCCCAGTTCAACGCCCAGCTGGGGCAGTAGCTGTACATCTGCCTGGTGGCGTATTTGTCGCAAAGGACGTTGTAGCACATCACCGTGAATATACCTGGACCAGATAAATGTTATAAACTAGAAGAAATAATTTGATGCGGCTCTACTTACAAGTCGGCCTGTTCGTAGAGGGTCTCGCTAGGGGAATCCAAGGTCGAGGAGGCGGAGAGGGCGTTGTAACTATAAAGAAATATTTTAATTAGAACTATAAGAACAATTGTAATTAGTGTTTGAATTTTCATTATCTAGGTCTAGGAGACGATATAATTGTCGCATATACATTAGCTTTGATAGCAGAGTGATAGAATACACTAATGCACATACTAATTAATGCAAACTCGTGTTAAGTATAAACATGAGAAAAATGTACTCCTCCTATTAACAGCCTTCGTACAAACTCACGGATCTTAGCTCATCTAGGAAACAATTTTTTGATAAGAAAACGCTGTTTTATGTGGTAAAATAGGTCCATGGGTATCCCATACAAACAATTAGGATGTGACGTATGGGACACAATCCAACGAGCCGATTATAAGTTTCGCATTTGTAGGAGTCCTTGATGAAAATATGCAACATCACAAACAGTAAACTTTCTACAAGTCAACAGACTCGAACGGATTGTGAAAGCTTCTTCTGTACGGCGTACACATGTATTTATTTATACGTTTTTTCCTACATCGTTGAAAGGTTATCGGCGAATAAACAGATTAACGAACGTACTTATTCCCATCGACTTTCATTTCGAACAATGAATAAAAAATAACTCTCCCTTCTTCATCGGTCTCTTCTCTCTCGGAATCATACCCGTAACACACATATCTTTTATTCCATTCATCAACTATTTTTATATCATTTTTTTTTAATTATTGACCCTTGAGAAGATATTAGGCCGTATTTATAAAAAAAAGCACAATCTTTTGCTTCAAAAACTGAAGGGATTGCTTCAAGGTAGGAATTGCTTCATATGCGTAAAAAGAAGAGAAGGAGGAGAGGTTTTGCTTCGAGGATCCTGCTGTTGCTTTAAAGCAAAATGTTTTATGGTTTTAAGATCTTTGTATAAGGTTTTAGAACCTCTTTTGTCTTATTTTTTGCCTCTACCTTTTACTTCAAAGTGAATGCTTCATTATTATAAATATGGACTAATGCGGAATAATTTGTGAGTTTGCATATTTAATCGAATTGGCAAAAAATATTTAAGAATTTCGAAACGGGATCATTGCCGAATTGACCCGTAACAAATACTCCCAAACAAACGAATTGTCTCATCCATTAAAATCGTTTCAATTCCCATCGTTACCGTTTCCCATAAAATTACTAAATCATCTTTCGAAGTCGAATTGATTCGGTCGCTCCACTTTTTCCGTCGAATTCGCGTGTATTCGACCGTTCCGTTCCATTTTCATTAAAAGCGCCATTGTTTCGCTGTTATTACTCATTAAAATTTCGCCAGCCATTATTACACAGCTAGTTAATTGTTAGATTTTAACGAACGAGGACCATTAAGTCAATTAAAGTATCGGTTCTTTTGAGAATTTTCCGCGGATGAGGCAACAGAAATAACAATGCATTTGGGGAAAAGTGTCAGTAGGCAATTTTTATTGGAACTCGTGCACCGAGATACGCGGTAAAGTTGCTAGACCTACCTATCATTGTAAAATTTCTTGACGATCAATTTATCAAAATTGCATGATTTAATTACTAAGGAAAATTCCGCATGTTTACTGGGAAATGTTTGAAACTTTGTGGCATCGGTAATTGGACAATTACGATTATGTAATTTTATGTTATCGAGTAAATACACCGAATTATATAACATGCAAAGCATCAACAACCGCAAAAATGTAAATATAATAGAATCCTTAATTAGGCATCTTTAATGCGTAAGGATAGATCACCGGGATTTTTTTTCGAAATTAAAAATTACCTAAACGTTTTTACAAGGTTGTAAACTTTTTTTTCCTCTTAAATCATTTGTCGTATTAATAATTATTAGATACATTGTTAATTATAAATAATTTTTACTGGACTTTGCCTGTTTGAAATATTTTCTAATTTCAAAAGCTTATATTCACTCTTATCTATAAAATTTATTTTTCAACAATCTTCCTTATTCAATTAAAAGATATAAATGTATCCATTGGTGCATCCACCCTGAAATGACAGTACTATCTAACAGATAAATTTAATGTCTGCGCCTTCATGCATCCAGCCTGAGGCCAATAACATAAATACAGAGTGTCTTATATCTTATACTTTCAATGTAGTTAAAAGTACGGCCTTCTTTCTGCTTTTAAACCATCCACGCTTCAGTAGGATCGTCAACTTTCTTCAAAGCATAAAAAACGGATTATCGTAGGCGCTTTCCTCCCTTTATCTTTCACTTTATCCCGCACGCTTCATACAATGCCTCTCTTTTACTCCTCACACAATACGTTTCTCCTACTCGAAAAATTCTTCATTGTATGCATATTGGGTCCAATAAGTGCGTGTGTGTGGCGTACTGAACGTTGCGGAAAAGATCTTTTCGTTTGCAACAAAAAGAAGAACCTCAATTATAGACCGATTTTAATTCAGACGTGGGCTCGTCCGGCCCTCCCTGTGCCTGCCTTATCATTACCATGCGTTCTCGTTTATTTATTATTACTGAGCCTTTCTTTTATCGAAGGAGGGAACCACAGAGGGAAGAATTAATGGGCAGGTTTTCGAATTCGCATTACGAATTATCGCCGGACTGTTAAGAGCGCCGTTATATTTTCGGAACGCTCCGCAAAATCGTTTTAATTACTATATTAAATAATGTTCCAGCGAGGCAATATCGGTTTTGAGGTTAGTTTGGAAATTAAGACCGGCCGTCGAGAGTCGTGCAGACTCGCAGTCACTTTCTATTAGACACCCGTAAACAATAATTATGAGGCGAAAGAAAAGAAATAAGGCCGCTTTTATTTGCCGGTTTTTATACAAAGGAAGCCGGCTTGCAACACTATTGTTGTTTGCTTCGAGCCGCTAATGCTCCGGATCGAATCGATTTTCCGCGTTTAACCGGAAAAAAGCTCCGCGAAAAATTCGAACGAAAGTTGCGCGATGATCAATTTCCAAGTAAATTCTATAATCGATTATGTTCTAGTTGACACAATTTCGCTTTAATATTTTTTTATTAAATTCTGCTATACACGACTTTAATATAAAACAATTTAGTGCAATAAGTACAGTATAGAAAATGGCGGTGGTAAATTGGAAGCAGAAATATTTATGTATTATCTGAGAGCTTAAAAAAGGGAATTAGAGTAGTGTAGTGTAGATGAGAGCAGAGTAGAAGAAAGGAGAATAGAGTAGAAAGTGGTATAGTAGAGTCAAAATAAGTAGAATAGAGTATGTACAATAATAAAGTACATGGATAATTCCAATTTTTGAAAATAATCCTTTAAGAGAATGTGGATGAAAATACTTTTCTGTAAATAAAACTTCTTAAGTATCAAAAAAATCTGTTTATTTTCCGGGGACTCTGCACCCAATTTACCTAAAGGATTAAAATCTATAGGTAATCCCTTTTGCGCTCAATTTAAATTCAAATAATATGAACCCCAGAAAGGAAATCAAACAGTCCATTACTGCATGTGTATAGATAATAATTTCTTATTGTGGTTTCGTTTTGATTTTCTTCGTGACGCCTTCGCTTCGCCGACAAAAACGAACGTTTCGTATCTGTTTTAACTTGGCCGTTTTTAATTAACCTTTTACGCGTCTACGAGGTGCGTTCGATAAGAACCAACATCGCATTATGCCGAATGCATCTTTTTCCACTCTACACCGCAACGATTTCTAATAATAACGATTCTTGCGTAAAACGTAACGAGTGTATAAGGAAAAAATTAAAAACCGCAATAGGTTTTACAAGAAAAAATACGCATTATTTACATCGGGTTGCCGCACCTGCATCGATGAAAGGTCTCGCGGAATCTCAAGGAAAAGGAAAAATTCGTTTCGCAAGCGATCGGAATTGCTCAAATGTTTCATATACAGGGTGTGTACCGAGAAATCTAATAAATTATAATGGAACAATAGTAATTAAGGAAATATAGTTTCGTTTAAAAAAACAACGTACGAATTAATTTAAGCAATATTTAATACAATAATATTCATACACTAAAAACAATTATTTGTGCCAAAAAAATACAGTGGCAAAAATAATAGAAAATAAATACATATAATTGATCAAACAATCACAAAATAAAAACACAAAAATACTGTTTGCTACAATATCCGTTTAATAAATTTCAAATAAAGTCCAGACAAGTTCGCGGTTACGTATTTTTCTTTTTTTTTTATTAAATTACAACGCGCGTCATTGGCTGGCAAATTTATTAATTTTTACGAAAAATTAATTAATTTACAGAATTAATGTAATATTATTATATTACAATATAATAATTTCATACACTACTTTGTGCACAATGATCAAAACAAAAAATTTTCCTTTTGCAAAAAAAAAAGAAATAATTATAAATATTCGAAATAATTACGCTCTCATACCAAACCATATTCGTGAAACGCCCGGGACAAAAACCTTAGAAAGTCTTAAAATAAAATAATCGTTAGAGGAAAACAATGAAATAACGGTAAAAAAGTGAAAGCGTACTTTTTTTAATAATCTAGACGGTAGGTTAAAGTGAGGCGAAGCGAATCGGAATTTCTAATGCGAGAAAGAGAAAGTGTCTCGCGTATTTATTTTTTCGTCGGTTTCGAGAAAACGTATTCTCCTATTTAAATGATTTTACTCCTCGCGTTACGCTTACAAAATTAATAACAAAGAAATTCTCCCATGAAACATTTTAATCTACCTTCGACGCAGCAAAACGACCGAGACAAAAATGAATAATGAGCCAGATAAAAAGGATATGCAGGAGTAAAATAAATTAAAAATATCCAGTTAAAAACTAGCCAAACTCGTCCCATAAAGGTATCTCAAATCTCTTAAATAACCAATTAGCATCATTTTAGAGCAAGTGAAATCGCAATTTAACGTTATTTTTATTATTCATGTATCGGCCTGAACAAATTATGGTCAAAATCGAACGAAGGAACGAACGAACGACTTTCTCGCCGCAAAATAACCTACTTTTTCCGATTATTCGTTCAAACACGACAATTTTTGGTCCAATCATTGACCTAACGCTTTCGATAACACCTCAATTACACTCGTATAATTTGCAACAAACAAGTCATATGGAAAGCGCTTGTGGATCCTCTAACGATTTCAAAATATCTCAGTCATTTTCGGAATTACCGTGAACGTTTCACTATGTCTAACAGTGAAAGTCCACGCGAATCATTTATACAATTTATAAAATTAAATACATACAATAATAATTCGATTAAAAAACTTTTTATTAGTTTAAGAATCGAATTAATCCAAGTGGAACGTCCTTATACGATACTAAATTGATCCGATGCGGTTTCCTTAATTTGATTTAAACGTTTTTGATTTGAGGTAAAAAAATACACTTCTTTTAATCTGTTTTCGCGTTGTTTTTTACTTAATTCAAACGAGATAAGATTCCTGATCTCTGATAAATAAATAATTAATTATCGTGTCATTGATCACATTTTTAAATCCGTTTAATCCAACGACTTGAAATGCCATAAAAAACGTCGTCGAGTGCGACACAAAAAAACCCTTTTCTCAAGTAAAGGTTTTCGAATGCGTCCTAACACAAAACGACCTTCCGTTCCAATTAAAACGGATTTTTACCTCGTGTAACCTTTTCAATAAACCAGCTCGCGCGCACTAACTAGCACTCAATTCCTCCGATTCGACATTAGGATTAGAAAAAAACTTAATCTCAATGTCACGATGTCCGTTCAACGAAGTAACAATCTCAGTGGACACTTCCAAGTCCCTGCACGATGAACTCGACGACGACGACGTCGATGAGCACCTAGAAGTCGTCGGCTTCCTCATCAGGATATCCTCGTTGCCCAACGACACCGTCGACATTTTAAATTCCAAGTAATTCAACGCGAACGCGTCAGGATTCACGAAGTGATCCTTGTTATTGTTGACGGCGTTGGCGGCGACGAATTCGTCGGGATTGAACAGCGAATACCGAGCCGTGGGACGGGTGAGAAACGGCGAATAGCACTCGCGATCGACGTCCCAAATCTGCCCGCTCGGATCGCAATAGCGACACTGGCAGGCGCTGCCGACGTCGACGCCGTCCTCGTCGACGTCCTCGACGTCCTCGAACCGGTGCTGCAGCTGCGGCGTTTCGCTGGCGTCGCTCCATTCGTTGCGCATCAACAACGGATTGATCAGATTCGGCGGTACGCCGCCGTCGAGATCGCCCATCGGCGGCTTCCTGTCCTTTTTCCGCCGCTTGCGCGGCTTTATCACGCGCGGCAGGCACATGTCGGAATTGGCGCTGCCCGAACTCTCGTCGCTGGTCGCGCTGTTCACCGTCTTCCTGTTGCGCCTGTCGTTGGTCGTCCTGGTGAGGATGAGCGGCGGCCCGGCCAGCGGATTCGCCTCCTCCGGGTGTTTGCGCGACGCCGCGAACGGCGGCTGGTGGTGGCCCCGGTGCTGCTGCTGCTGGTGGTGGTGGTGGTGCCGGCGACGCTGTCTGTACAGCAGGAAATCGGCGTCGATTTGGCTGCGGGCTACCAGACAGGCGCCGATGTAGCGGTCGACGGGCGGACGGCCCGCCGACGACGGACCCATGGCTGACGCACGTGTCGGGACGCGCGGCGTTGCGGTGTTCGCGTATAACGCTACGGCGAAGACTGCGCGGAGACTGCTGGAGATGGCATCGACGAGAACCGGAGGAACGGTATACGCGGAGCTACCACGAGCGAGAGGCCCGGCGGCATTGCCACGTTTAACGCCGATTCTCCAGGTCTAACCGCTTCGTATCTAGTACATGCTGCCACTTGTCGTAATCAATCATACCTCGTTCGATATAACACACAGGAAGGACAAGTTGCTAGTAATTTTTACAAAAATACTATATGTGGTGCACCAACATAGTAGATTTCCATCTGGCCAGTGAAATTTTGGTGCATTTCAAGATTCTGTAGGTACAAAACCGGCTCTAAAGACACTTTTTAAGCTATTGGAACGAGCTTAAAAACAACCAATTCTATTAAAAGTTCAGTGGGATGACAAAATATTCATTTACTGTGACTAGTTTGTTATAACAATTTCACTCCACGATTCCTATACAAAACCCTCAATCTCTTCCTTCCACCAAATTCGATCACAACCTTATCTCCTTTTACCCTCATCACAATTTCATCATCCACACCATCCAAACTTCCAAAGAACCATAAATTTTCTCGGTTCTTTCATCGCCAAGAATCATAAATTTTCTCGGTTCTTTCATCGCCAAGAATCATACATTTTCTCGGTTCTTTCATCGCCAAGAATCGTAAATTTTCTCGGTTCTTTTCTCGCCGAGAATCGTATACGTTTTCTTATAGAAGAACTCATCGGCAACGCCGCGCCCAAAGAGAGACCGTCCGCAGTACCGGCGGCTTCCCCACCTGGTGCGAGCCAGCTCTCGCTAACCTACATCCCGGAGACGGCTTTCTCGCCGTCGGAAAAACAAAGCGAGCGGCGCGACGGTGGTGCGCTTGCGCCCGGCTCGCACACCCACACAACTGGGTCACTGGATGATGAGGTCGCGTTCTCGTCTTCTGTTTCTTCTTTCGTCCGCTTCTTCTCCTTCTCGCGCGAGCTCTCCGCCCGGCCTACCGCGCGTCTCGTCTTCCTTTTCTTCCATTTAAAGGCGTACGGGACGCGTTATCTTTCGTCGTTTCGAGTTTTATTTCCTGCGCTCGAGTTCGTTTCTTCTTTTGGATTCATTCAACGACGCGTTCACGGTCACTTGATAACATTTGAGTTCACGGTTAATTGATCGAAATTAAACGTTTCCATACAATTCTTTTTTTTTTAATCCGTTTTATTCGTGTGTCCTATTTACCCGGTGCTTAATAGGAGTAGGCAACTAATTTTATTTTAAAGGTGGAATGGTTTTCAAATAGCAGGTTGTTTTGGGTCGGATCGTCACACACGAAGAGATATCTCAGTTAGCTCGATTATCTTTCATTATCTTCGTTTATTCTTTGTTTAAACAAACGCTAGTTCGGCGGTCCAAAAACATGGCCAACCATGACCGAAGGCGCTTCCTAAGAGAGCGTGTTAAAAAGAACACGTCTCGCATGCAATGGGGGTCAAATGGATGGAATTATCTCCAAATCGGTGCGCCGTATACGATGAAATAATTAAAGAAGATTGTTTACGATACGCCTCGATAGATTTTTTTGTCATACTTTTCGTAGCGTTTTTATTGGTTTTGTGGTTTATTTTCTCATAATAGTTATACTATTGCATAATGTTCCATTATTCAATGATTTACAAACGAGTTTTTATTCTTATTAAAAATAATAAGGTCGATATATTTATTACCTTCGAGTAATTGTATTTATCCTCAACATTTATTATAAATAAAAAATACGAAAAAGTCATCGTAGGTCAATTCTTTTCTATAAGCTTATCCACCTTAAGAAGATAAGTTATCCAATCACATTAATCCAAGATTGAAATGGATTCAAACAAATAAAATACACCTGTTAGATAGAATTCATAATTGAATGGTTCTCATAAATTTACCACTAGAAATCGAAGTAATATTTAGCAACAACAATTCAAAGATATACGAAACTTAGTTACTTACACCTCATTATATTAAAGGATATAAAGCGTATGACATTGAAGACAATTTTTACATTCAATTTTCATAATTTGCACATTTTTTCTTATCAATTATCAAGGGAACGGTGCGTTGTACGATAAACAGTGTAATGAACTTTCCACAATATCTATTCAAATTATTATCGCATTAATTCAGGATAAATGTGATATATGTGATGGGCGCTTCGGCGGGATTCGATTTTGTGCAGTTATATTTCGATTGTGCATCTGCAAACCTGGCGAGTAGAAGGCCGGACCATTCGAGACGCGATGAAAAAAAATGGCCGACCCAGATTCGCCTCGTTTTTTCCTTATAGAGAGATGAGAACGAGCGAGCACTCGAAATCACCTCGCTTTTTCTAGGTCATTTTGCGCTTAATTTTAATGTCTATAACTGTCGAATTTGACGCAAGCGATTTTCGAAAATTCCACACGCCGACAATCAATTAAAAAATTCGGAACGGAGAATCGCTATATTTATTCGGCCACTTACCTTGTAAGTTGTCCAGCATGAATGTCAGCAATTTGACCGTGCCATTTGGTTCGCTATAAATCGATAGGATGTCTTTGTTGAGAGGGTTCCCAGTCAGATTGAGGCTGAGTAAATTGAACAGTTTGCCTAGCTCGTATGGCAAAATCCTTAGGCAATTGTTGGCCAAATTTAATTCCCTGCAACAAACCAAAACCACCGATTTAATGAATTAGCTTAGTTCGATCGGCTCAGTCGTTTACCTGAGGTGTATCAGTTCCCCCAATTCAGCGGGCAGCGATCTCAGCTTGTTGTTGCTCAAATCCAAATGCCTCAGGTTGACCAATTGGCAAATGTCCGCCGGCAATCGCAGCAACTGATTGTTCTTTATGTAGAGGGCGGTCAGGTGGGTCAATCGGAACAGGTTCGCGCTCAGGTTCCTTATGGTCCCCGTTATCTCCAATTCCGTCCAATAGGACTTTTTGCCGCTGGCCTGCTCCTCGGCGGACATGTAGGTATTCGTTCGCCTGTTCGACGAACCGTTGTTGTCGAATTTGTTGTCTTTGCGCGGCATAATTTAACCTGAAAGGCGGTCATATTTATTGTTCGTTATCAAGTTGATCGTTCGGGCGAAAATTGGTCAATATGTCGCCTTTGTGACGTTATCGGATTGTTCATAATTTCACTTGACTTGCTATTGACAGGATGACAATTAAATTTGCAATGTTGCATGTTTATTATTTATATTTAATAAAAGGCATTTCTAGATAAAAGCTGAAATTGTGAAATTTGTTCAAAAAAGAACTTTAATAGATTTTGGAAACACTATACATATAAGTCTTAATCATTTTTTACTACTAATTAACGACAGTTATTCTAAAAACGGGTTTTTTACGGTTTAGTGTTAATGTACTCCTTTTAGCTATTTTATAATATGTACTAAAAACTGTTTCGATCAGAATTATGCGGTTAATTTGCTACAGGAATAATCTTTTTAACATTAAGATTCCATATTGCCTCCACCTGTTATCCTAATAATTCTACCAGAAGGGGTTGATAACAAGTATACAAAAAAATATACAATTTGTAGTATACCTAAAGGAATATTAATAGATAAATGAATACTATTTGCACAAATTAAAAACAAATTAGCTTCATTATTATTGGTTTCAAAATACAACCGAAATTCATCAAAATTAAATTTTTCCACTGGCATTCTCCTAGCCAGTATCAATTTTATATTTGTTGAAAAAAATAACAAGAACCCAAATCCAAAATAAACTAATCAATCGGTTCAGAAACAAAAACTGTGCTTTTGTACAATCCAAAGCGATTGAGAACGTTTAGCGATGCAAAAAATCGAGAAATTTTCAACGAAACAAGTAACAAGGAAGAGTTCAAAGAACCCGAAACGACCCTGTAAACAAACGGTTACCAGAGATACATGGTAAAAATTGAAAATCGACTGAATATGAGCCCGCTGGATTTACAATAGCTATTCTTACGGATCCAATTAGAATTGGAAATGATCAGAAAAAAGAACCCATCGTCAAACATTATCGGTTATTGTGTGGTGTTGTTGACGATGATGGCGCACTTTGGCCGTCCATTAAAATCGATAGAGAAGCGTTAGGTACTTAATTATACGACTTACCTTCATCTAATAATAAATTAAGTATTAATAATAGAAGATATGTACAGTCAAATTGTTTTTTCCTAAAAATATCAACACCTTTATATATAAAACACAACACCGCACTCACGACAGCCACAACACGTCTGCCAACTTAACTAGACTCGTTTGACATTGACAATTGACGTACATCAAATTATTAATGGGAATTTCTTTAAAATTCTAAATCAATTTTAAGTTTTAATGATAGTGTTTATTGTAATAGGGATTAATACAAAATATAACAACGCGAAATAATGTATTTATTGAATTTTTTGAAATTTTAATTAAGTGCCACGTGCTGCTATCTACACTATCTTAAGATAATTAACAATGCTTTGTTCAGCCAGGCGCCATCTAGGAAATTAATTTGGAACTTGCCAATTGCATTGTACAGGGCCGAACTCGCTCAAAACTTAATTCTTGTAAGTTATGAATTAAATAATCAAATACGAAATTTAAATATACAAAAAGACTAGGTTATTTATTTAATAAAAAAGGATACACCTTGTTAGCCTTAAAAATGTTAAGGTTTTTATTCATTGCATATTCATTACATAGGTATAGGTAAATGTAACGTAAGCTGGTAGCTGGTAATTGAAAAAGTACGATAATTTCAGTTTTAAAAACAATTCGCGTAATACAATTGTATCAAATTTTTTCTAAATTGAAAGACCAGTTCTTTCATAACTTGAATATTTTATGTTTTAATCTCAAGTGACTTGTAACCAATAGTTCAGTGGAACTTGGCCTCAATTGTACATTTTTTTAATTAAACAATTTTTACTGTTATTCAGAGATATATTTGTATAAGAGTAAAGCGACAATTGCTCTACAATATTCAATTAATGAAAGATATTTTATCGCTTTTCTCTTATAAAATATCACCTCAGATAGCATTAAATGTAACAGTTTTTGATACAAGATTCGACTAAATTTTATAATGGAAAAACTGATAAAATAAATGCATATATTGGCTTGTAATAATCATAGAATACTATGACGTCCAAAGTTACTTAGTAAATGGCAGATTAGGCAACCTATAGGCTTGTTCGACAAGTCCCCAATGGAATTGTGAATAAGAATTATGGTCTAATATTTGGAAAGCTTATTTCGCACTACTCTGATATTTTCAAATCTATTCAAAGGATAAATTTTACCTTTGATGACCTCAATACTCTCTTCACTACAGTCTGACAATCCAAAAACTTGTCTCAATGATATAATTTTAGTGAAAATCCACATTGAGTTGGCAGCTTTAGCTTTAGATAGCTTTAAAAATTTGCCCAATATATTTTATTACGCTATCAACAAGTGGAACATTTTTTTATTTCTTTATACACGTTAATAGAAATAAAGTTCACGTTCTTTATTTCCATCTCAATGTGGGTTTCACCATAGATTTTTCCTTAAATTTACATTGAATTATTCAAATGTTATAGTATAAGGCAAAGTTGGTAAAAAAAGGAATGTAGTTTCAGAACCGTTACGAAACAAAAATACACCAAAATTCGTATGCGATCTAAAAGTTAGAATGTATATTGTATTGCTTGGTTTGGCATTATTTCACATTAATAATCGTGATCGTAGAAAAATAGTTTGTACTCACATCAAACATGAATTTAAAAGTTTAGGGCACAAACAATAAAATCCTGTCGTTTCAAAAAAATCCATTATTACGGCAATTTCTTACGCCATCCTTTTTGTAACTCAACATTTATGTTTCTTTAATAAGAAATTTTCAAAAATTGGCCAACTCTCATATGTTTAAATCCCACAAAAAACCACCATTTGCAAGCGCATTAATGATACCTATCTTACTCAAAAAACCAACGCAATTGATGGAGTATTTACAAAAAAGGCACTTCGCATAATCTCTAAAAAAATTCTCATCATTTTTCATATACTTACTAAACCCGACATGACAAACACCCCCTTAAAAAATTAAGAAATCCGCGAAAAAGTTAACCAACCATCTAACAACGTTTCCGATTATATTCGTAGAATAAAAAAAAATATCAATAAATAAACCGCGTTCGATATCATTTCCTGACTAGGTACGAACGTAGGTCTCGTCCCGTATTCCTGCACGAACATCTGATCCGACTCCTCGGAGAAAATTCGCTCGGGCGAACGAGCCAAATGGTAGCGTTACAACGCATAACAATGCCCAGGACCGGACGTTCGTTCTTCAACGCGCCGGCATCATTCCTGCAAATCATCAACCAAATCAATTACGATACCAATGAGATATCAATGAAGTCTCACCGTTATTTGTCGTCAGCAAGCGATACAACTGAGAATTAGGATTTTCCAAATCGTTAGTTTCAATAAAATGCTCGTTTTCGTTCATCGACAAGTGACAATACTGCGACTCCTCCTCCAAATCGTACGCGCCCAATTCGTCGCCGATCATCTTCTCCACCGCCTCGTCGAACTCCTCGGCGGTCGCCTCGCCGTTCGCCGCCTTCTCTTCCGTTTTATCGACCGCCTCGTTCAGTCGCTCCTCCGCCGAATCGGCCGCCGTCGCCTCGCTGGCCAGCAGCTCGCGGTGCTTCTTCCGCTGGTGCTGCAGCAACTTCGCCTTGCTGGCGTACTGCTTGTGGCACCACGTGCAGTTCTGCGGGCGCGTCGTCACGCTGCCCACCGTCTGCGAGAACGTGGGATTCGGCAGGCCCGACACCTCCTGCATGGCGCCGGCGCCGCCCTGCTTGCGGTTGCTGGCCGGCAGCGCGGCGCCCGGGTGGTTCTTCAGTATGTGCGCCTTCCTCTTCGAGCTGCTCTTGTACACCTTGTCGCAGTACTGGCAGTAGTAGTCGCGCGTCGTCTGCAGTATCGGCAGGTTCAATTCGGGAACGGAGTCCGGAGGGATGTCCGGATGTCGCTTGGCCAAATGGTTCACTAACATTCCTGTAAAAATAGCTTCGATACAAGTGGCTGTGACTCGTCAAATTGATGATAAACTGACCTCTACGTTTGAACCCGACCATGCAATTGTGGCATTTGTAAATGAACCGGTGGAAATCGGTGGGTTCCACTTTCGGCATGAATTTCTTCATTTTCTGTTGCACGTTCGGTACGGTGTTCTCCCTTTCTTCCGAGTGCACTTTCTTGCAGTGCTCGTTGAGTTTGTCCTTTCTTTTGAATTGCTTGCCGCAAATGGCGCACAAGAATTCCCTGTGATCGGAGTGTTTCAATAGATGAGTCCGCAATTTGTCCAGCGTGTGGAATATCTTCGAACAATCGGTGCATTGGTGCGTTCGTTCGCTGTGGAATGCCCGGATGTGCTTCCGGATAATACTGAAATTAAAGGGTGTTATTCGAAAAATCCCGTTTTACCAGCGATAATAAGCCAAACCTGTATTTGGGAAACTTCTTATTGCAATGAGGACAGGTGTAGCAGTTATTCTCGCAATGGATGGGAACGTGTTGCTTTAGATTCAGCAGATAATTAAATGCTTCCTTGCATATGGGACACTCGAAAGGTTTCTTTTCGGCAAAGTGGGTTTTGGAATGGCACGCCAGTGCGGAATTATTCAAAAATCTTTTGTTGCAAATATCACATTTCAGTGGTTTTTTGTCATCGGAACCGTGAATTTCCATGTGTTTCTACAACAGAAGAATTATTAAAAAAACAATCATGCGAATCTTTGCAGTCTCTGTTATGGCCCGTGGATACACAAACAGGCATCCATTGAAGCTTTATGAGTAAGCAGCAGTAGAATGAGCAGGAAGTGCAGAAACCTTGGCTCCCTGTGCCTTTATTTAGTAGTGATTATATGTAAATGTAAAACGGATTATTTACCAATAGACGTTCTTGTTGCGAAAAACATTTGTGGCAAACGGAGCATTTGATTTTAGGCGGTCGTTCGTCGGTGATGAAGACGTGCTGCTGGGACACGTGCAGGACGAGTTGCCGTTGCGTCGGGTACTTTTTCTGGCAATCGGGACAAATGTGGTTCCTTTGCTCGTCCGAAGTGTCCGGATTGTGTTTGAAATTGTGTATCTTCAACAACGTTTCGGACTTGAAGTTCACGTTGCACGTGTCGCATTTGAAAAAACTGCAAATTTAACACATTTTTTGATGTACAAAACAAGAAGACAGGTGCTTTAACAGTTGCTGAAAGAGAGTGAACTCACTTTATGGTAGTAAAATATTCCTCGACGGTTCCTTTGACGTTTCCGTGCTTTTGCGTTATGTGTAATTTCAACGAATTGTAATTGTATTTCAGAAACGTTTCTCGACACAATTGGCATTCGACGGCGCCTTCGCTCTTCTTGTTCAACTTCCTTTTAGATTTGCTTATATTCTTTTTCTTCGGCTTGGCATTTTCGTCTGAACTTTTATCGTGAGCATTCAAATGGTTCTGTAGCTCATCGGACGTCTCGAATTTCAACGAGCACTCGAAACAGGGCCAATTTAGCTGCTTGGCAGGTTGGAATACAGGCAGGTTGTAATATTCACCATAAGCGTTACTGTACCACACCTAAAATATTTCAAATGAAATACCACTTCGAATAGGAAACGTTATTAATATAACATACTTTTAGTTCTTGTTTGGGTGCAATGTTAGTAGTTGTAACAAAGTAAATGGCATCATTTTCTTGGGTTATGACTAAATTTTGTTCTTCAAAATTCGTCGCTTTTCTAACAAACATCATCCAGTTGGAAAGATCTACAAAAAAATGTGATTATTAAAATGAATAATTCGAGAGTAATTAACATACTTTCATCAGTTACGTCGATTCTACAGAGATTCTCATCTTTTTCCACTAAAAACACCAATTTATTTTCCTCCAACTTCTTTAGTATATTAGGATCGTCTTTTACAGTAACCAGGACACCTTCTAATGGCCCAAATTGAGATCGTTTCGGTATAATTTTTTTAGCAATAACAGTAGTTTCTAAAAAAATATCTCATTGTCGGTAATTTAAATAAATAATTAGCATTATTACAAACCTCCGTCGGACATTCCGAAAGATAAATAAGATTCAGGAAGAGTCGCTTTAGCTCTAGATAAAATCGGTTTGTCCGTTATACTATAAACGCAAGGCACTAAAACATTCATTTAGAATATATTGTATGTACAAAAATTAATATAAATAACTTACGTATGTGATCTTCGGGTTCTCCACCGATCCTTCGACCATGTCGTGTAGTAGGGCCTTTAGCTACAGTAGTACTACTCTGTTTAGTAATTTTATTTTCGCATATCCTATTAATGTAATTATTGATGGCTTGGGATTGGAATGATTCCATTTCGCTAGAACAATCGCCCAAATCGTCGTTCAATTCCGTTTTTAATATCTTCTCATCTAATGTAAGTAAATCCGACTCTAAAATCGGATCAGGAGCTAAAGTTTTCAATAAACGCTCATCGTCTTGCAAGCAAGGTTCGACCAACAGTTCTTGTGCGTCTACACTGTATGAAATACCTAAAATAAATGCGTAAAATATACAAATAAAAATCTTTATAATTGAATATACCTGTTGCCTCATCTGTAATTAAGAGTTCTACTTTCTGTTCTCCTTCAGGTATTAACTGTAAAGCTTCCGTATTAGCATCAACGATGGAAGATTCGGTTTGTTCGACCATTTGTAAATACTTGCTGGTTACTTCTTCTCTCACATCATTGTTAGTTAGTACAGTTGGCATGTTGCTAAGAGGAGTTGCATTTAAATTACTTGAAACAATACTTCCCCTTAAATAGGGTTTTGAAATGTGTATGTTGGGAAATTACCTAATATATTGATCGTTTTGAACTGTTCCATCTTCCGATACGAGTTGATGTATTACTACTGGATTGTATTCTGCAGAGGTATCATTGTAAATAGGGCTGTACCTAGCGACTGAACTCATGTTCGGATCTAATGGACTAACGCGAGAGTTAAATTCTGCGTAAACTTCGTCTTGTGAGGCTCCCACATCGGGAACATCTTTGACATACTCAACCTTTAAAATTTAGAACCGGTGAATGAAAAATATGAAATAAATGATGGTACATGATACTCACTGCGATATACAGAAGCGTAGGATTATTAACAATTTCATTATTTGGTGAATTCCAGTTAGTAGTCTCTACAATACTAACATCTTGAACGTGAATTCGGTCGTCTTGCAGCCCAATGTCGATGGCATCCATTATATCGACTACAAGTAGACAAAAATAGAGAGAAAATTTTCATTACAGTCATAATAGTCCTTACCCTTTAATACAAATGTCAAAATACTAAAATAGTAATTTGGTTTTGCAAGGAATTTTGCAAAACTTGAAGCATTACAGATGCATTTTTCTACAAACGAGGCACTTGTTTTTGTAAATAAAATTATTTATAAATCACACATATTCAAACATTATTAATTAAAACCAATACGACGGAAGATTATTTTAACAACAAAGTATTTTACAAAATGTCTGTCATAATGACGTCTGTCAAATATTTAAATGACATCTTCTTTTTTTATCACTTTTTAAAAAAATCGACAACAGCCAATTGGCCTACTACTACTATTTATGTAAATAAGAAGATGTCAATTGAGAATTTAAGGTTATGAAATAAAAGGTAAAAAACACAACTTTTTATTCGAGTTATTATAAATAAGATTTAAATGGCAACAAACGAAGAAACATATACTGGTAAATAAAAATGTACGTACTTTACAATAAACAAAATAATATCACATCATTTGTAGACACTGAAAATGAATATTCATCCGAAAACGAGTCCAAAGAAAAATTCTCGTATTTTGCGGAGTCTTCGGACTGTGAAACAGAACATGAATGCGATAATTGGGACGATGATTGCAGAGTAGTGGTTACAAAAACATCATCTCTTTTAGGGTGTAAGTACTTTAATTTTCCGCCAAAAAGAAATTTTAAATAAGCACTGATTATACCTTTTATTATTCATAGATGACCAATTATCGCCAACTAACGGAAACACACACGGTCCTCCACCAAAGCGGCACAAAATCAGCGCGGAAATCAGAAGCAACTTGCTTCCCGAAGCTTTCGTAAACGAAATCAAACTACATTGGAACAAGAACGAAACATTCAAAAACCAAGATGTAGAACTTATCGTAGATCCCTTCAAAGTGCTGGTGATAAACGATTTCGTACACGACGCGGATTTCCTCAATCACATTCGTGAAGAATTTTACGATCTCGACTGGAACGCGAGAAACATGGATTTGTACGAATTCTTCCAATCCAAGGACCTGAAGTATTTAAATTCGGAGTACATCAGCGCAGTGTACGAATTCCTAAATTCCGATGTCAGAAATTGGGTATCTAATTTAATGGGTTTCGACTTGACTCACATATCGACAACGTGCAGTTTGTACAGCAATACAGATTACCTCTTAGTGCACGATGATCAACGGGAAGACCGGATGGTGGCTTTCGTTTTATATTTAACAGGGAAAAATGGTTGGAATTCAAGTAAAGGCGGAGCTCTTCAGTTATTTAACAAAGACGAAAAGGGTCAGCCAATGGAAGTTGCTAGGGAGATATTTCCTGCCAATAATCAGCTGGTTCTGTTTCCTGTTACTAATGATTCCTACCATCAGGTAAATTATTTTATGTTTTTAACGGTTTAAAATGTACAATTCTATACGGAAATAGGTAGCTGAAGTGACTACAATAGACGACACCAGGCTCAGTATAAACGGATGGTTTCATGTACGAATCCCACCAACTTTTATAACACCCCCTTATTCTCCGCTTGAAAATGGCCTGTACAGCAAGAACACATTGAAAGCCAAAGATGTGGACATAGATTTAGATTCGTGGGTATCAGAAGATTACCTCGATCGAAAGACCATTAAAATGATTCAAAAGCATATAGAAGAGAACTCCGAGATTTCTCTCAGGAAATTCCTCAAAACCGAATGCTTTGATGAGATAAAGAGAGCGTTAAACGAACAGGGTAATAATTTAATTAGTCGAATTTAAGTGGTTCCAAAATTGATTATTTCGTAGATATAAAATGGATAAGTATCGGCCCACCAAACAGATATTGCTACGATAAAGTGGATTTAACGAATTTGCCGCACATCATCGAAAGATTTTTGAATCTTTTCCAATCGAAACAAATGTTTTCTCTGCTGAAACATTACACGGATTTAGATTTGACTGAGCACTCTGCATCGATGAGATTCGAGCTGCAAAGGTGGAAAATCGGAAGCTTTTCTGTAAGTAGGACTAATTATCCGTAAACATTAAGTTATATTCTGATTCTCGGTTTCAGCTTCTTAGCGATTTCGACTGGAATGAAAAAAACGAATTAGACTTAATTTTTCATGTAGGCTGCTCAAACAGTGCTGATATAATAGGAGCCAGAACGCAATATGTTACCATTGAAGACGAAATTCAAAACGCTCTGATTACCTTGGAACCAGAGGAAAATAATTTGAATATTATATACAGAGACTCCGCCAGGTTTACTAAATACTTTAGTAAACAGAGCAAGTGTAAACAGTTTTACACGTTAATTTGTTCGTATTCTGAATAAGTGTGACGGTAGTGTGAGTAAACAATGAATGTTTGAATATTTTGAATATTAAATAAGAACCAAATACTGTACATAATATATGTTTATTGAAGTAAATTATTTCTTTCCCTTAGTCTTAGTTTTAATGCGTCTAGTTTTGCCCAATCGTTGCTTTGGTTTGTTTTTATTGACAAATTTTTTCCCTGCCTGCTTCTTGGCCGGCTTCCCAGGATTTCTATACTCGCTTATATCGCCTGCACTGTCCTTTGTATTCTTCTTCATCCCTTTCTTCTTACCGCCGAAACCGAATTTCTTATCCTTCATCTTACGCTTCTCCGCCGCCCTCTTACCCATGGGCTTATTTTTATCGTCGAGAAAATCGAAATTTTTCTTCGCTTTCTTCACTTGATCCATCATTTCTTTCTTCTCCTTAGAGCGTTGCAGTTTCAGCTGCACCTGCAGCGATTTTCCTTCTTTCCTTTGCTGCCTCAATTGCTTCACCCGTTCAATCCGCTTCTGTTGCTCCTGCTTCTGCTTCAGGTTCTCCCTGATTTTGTGCATTTGCTCATCGGATTTGGCCATTTCAGCAAAATAATCTTCTGGTCTATCACAATAACAAAATAGTTTACTAACGTAAGAACTCAGTAATGAAATATATTACTACCTTTTAGTGGATATCCCTAATTCTTTGATTTTCGGGATGGCTTCTAGAATTGTAGCTTGTGCTTGCCTGTGGAATATTAGCTCTCGTTTGAAATCGTTCAGAACCGGGTCTTCGGATGGTTGGAATTGGGGAAGTTTTTTGTTGTTTCTCAGTTGATTACTCCTCTTTTCTTCGTGAACTAACATTTCCGCAGCCAATTCGGGCGCCAGGGGGGCTTGGGCGTTTGTACAGTCCAGCCTCTCGATCCATGGCAGTTTTAATTTGAATTCTTCTATTTTCTGATTTAGGCCACTCTGAAGTAAACATGATGTTAGGGAAGGTGTATTTAGTTTAAATTGTTTGTAATACGTACTATGTTGTTTACGAATTGCTTGGGAGCTTCTTCGATTTTATTTAATCCAGGTTTCAGTTTACCATCTAACAACGCTTGTTGCAACTAAAAGCAATAAGTATATTATAAGTTATTTAGTACAAAGGATATGTTTTACCTCAGCATCACTATCGCTTAATTCTGAATCGCTGCTATTCATTTTTAATATCTAAGTTTGTATTAAATATAAATTAACAACACGCTCTCAACAACATGAGCAATACATTAATAAGTGAGGTTATGTTGCATTCTTCTTCCTTTTTGTTTCGTTGCCATTTACTATTCGGAAACCAGTTATCCAACTCTATGCAAGTTTTTTCAATTTACTCAATTACAGTTACAAATATATTTATTAAATTTCATATAGCATACAATTTCTCAAAATAGAGCAACAATTAAAAAAAATCTAATCTAATCGGATGAATCACTAAAATTATTTGGATCGAAATCTTCATCGTCTTCATCATCGATATCCAGGTCTTCGAGGTCTTGAAAGAGGGACTCGTCGACTTTAACGGCATCACCTTCATCCAGGAACTTCAAATCCGATTCGTTGAGAGTGTTATCGGTCATGAACAGTTCCCTGCCGGTGAGTTTCCGGCCTTCTTTCTCCATCGAAAGCTTCTTCTTCGTTATTCCCAGCTCGTCTTCGAACGATTTTTTCCATTTCATAAAAGCCTCTACTGTAACTCTAGTTCCGTCGAACTTCTTTTGCTCTGCTTCCTCCTCTGCCTTCAACTTTCTGGCTAATCTATCGTCGTTTTCCTTTTTAACCTCCTCCCATTTCACGTTCAACCACTCCTGTGCACTGGACACCAACGTAAACACCATAACCATACCCAAGTTTTCGGTTATCTGTTCATTTAAATACTCTAACAATTGTTCTTCATATTCGTTGTTTAGATTCTCTATATCTTGTAATTCTATGATAGGTTTCTCTTCGGGATATTTAGGGGTGTATGTGACAACTAGCTCGCAGCTTATACCGTTACCACTATCCAGTTCGAACTCCTCTGTTTTGATTGGAATCGAGAAAGTCATCGGTTCCGTAGATATAACTTGGAAATCTCCATAGTAAATTGATTCCAAAGCTTCTACTTCGTTTTTCTGCTCTTCTAAATAATCCATGTTTTCGCTAAATTACTAAAAAAGCATTATTTATTATACGATTGACTTAAGACGTTTAACCTCAAATAAAAGTTGTACCCTAACCTACAAAAGATGTTTGATTTCGACGCCTTGTACTTTAAAGCCATTCAGCTACATTAACCACAAGTAGAAATAACAAAATAAGAACAATTTCAGACTTATTTTGATTTGAAAAGAGAATTAAAACGTAATTTCCAAGTTCTTTATTATATTGAACGCAATCTAAAATAACCTACACATCTACAAATTACATTTAAATCAGAACTTTAAATTATACAAAACGCAAACAAATTAATCCTGGATAAATCCTAAATATGATCTTAAAGTAAACACTTCAAAACTCTCTCCTGTGGTATTTATCTGGATCGAAGTAAGACGTAACGACAACACGATTGCTAAACTTACGACCAGTTAAAGTTTGCTGGGCCTTCTGGCAATCCAAGACGGAATTAAATTCGACAAATACCTGGACAAAAAAAATTTATACATTACAAAATTCAATATAATTTCGTCTACTTCATTACCTTTCCACAACCGGGCACTTCCACGCCATCAATGGGACGAGGAATCTCTATACTTCGAACCACACCGTACTTATTACATTCCTCTTTGATATCTTCCAAGATATCTTCGTACTCTTCTTCGTCCTTCAGCTCGTCCGGAGTGACCTGATAAAATGCGTGTATTAAAATTCGCTTGGAATAATCAATCGAATCGAAGCACTCACCATGTTAAGCAAGCACAACACTTCGGTGGCTGGTCCTGAAGCTCCAACCAAACTCAAACCCGGTACTTGTATTTGAACAGCAGGTAAAACTGTAGTATTTTTAGCACCTACGCTGGCCCTTTGCACTATGAGTCGTTTGTCACCCAACTGCATACCGTTCAAGCCGGCTATAGCCTAATAATTGCGTTCGATTAATCATCGGTAAATTAAATGAGTATTTAAAACGTACCTGATCAGTCATCGTGATGTCTATGTATTCAGCAAAAGCGTATCCTTTGCTCAATCCGAAAGCCGTATCCTTGACGAGGTTGAAAGCCCTCAACTGACCAAACGACATCAACAGTTCCTTTACCTGCACATACAAAAGGTATAAGGGAAATGTCTACCGAAAAAAATAAACCATGGAACTAAAATCAACGTAATTAAACAATGCCATTAATTTTATTTAAATGGACGAAGTATTGATCATTTTAAATAATTCATGTTGTTGTAACGATTGATTGTAGGCCCATGTTTAAACGAATTCAGAAAACTTACTTATTGCGGCTGTATTACAAAAAAAATTAACAACTGTGATAGGTGAAAAAGCATTACAAATCGAGTTTCTAAACTTTAAAATTTCAATAAACGAAGGAAAGTCAGAGAAGAAAATCCAACAATTTCGCTCCCATTCGTTTGCCTATCACGATTATTTCAGAACAGCCTCCAAGTCAGTCAGAATTAAAAAAATATATGAAAATTAACAACGTAATCTGTATCTTTCCCTTTATCTTTTTTTTTGTTCAAGTTTAATTTGTCGCCTCATATACGTCTATGTGACTTGCCTTGCTTTTTCCACAGGGTGTTCGGGTTAATTCGATTGCAGATACGCTCATACGCAACGAGTTGATAACCCTAGCTACAGGGCAAAAAAGCAGAAAATATCAGAGACCACATTCAATATTTTTTCGAGTTTTAATTTTGAGCTTATAGAAAGAATTAAGAATGCCACAATCACCCAAAGTGAATAGCTTGTTTTTTCTTAATTGAAGCAAAATATTTTCGAATAGGTTCATACTATTGTCTTTAATTTTATTTGCAACTATTTCAGCTACTTAGAATGGAATTTTGTAAGTATTTTTTTGTACCTATGTAATCTAATAGTTCAATTATTAATTCTATTGCTAGTGCTCTTTAATAACTCGTTTACTTTATAAATATATCCTTGAAAAATTCTTAGGTTTTTGAGGCATTCTTGAGACATATAATTTTGAAAACAATTCGAAATCGAAAACGACTTTAATACGAAAATTCCAATTTCAATCTAAACAATTCCATCATGGAATGACCTGAAAGAGCTGAAATAAACAACTGAAAAGAAAGTAATTGTCCTGCAAAGGAAAGGCGTTTATTAATCGCCCGCATAACCTGAAAAAGTGCTTTACAATAATGCTGAAAACCTGGAAAATGCAATTCCGTTGAGGTGTCTCAACACAGCATTAAATTATCTGCAAAATGCATCGTTTGTATTAACACATTGAGTACCCATATGAATACCATTAGATTGAATGAAATCAGCTGATTAACTTGCTTGGCATTCAATGTGTGAATTAAATAAGATAAATTAATGAAGCATTAAATGACCGGTTTGCTTTTAGATTGTGGCTAATAAATCTGAAAAAGAAGGCTGAAATTTCTTTTCTCTGTTTTGCAATATTTTTTTGTAACTAAGGCCGAACAAATACTGCGGAACCCTGTAAAACCTGTAAAGGCTGTAAAATTGGATTAAGTAATCGTTTAACAAAAACTCTGACTGCTGATTGGCGCCCATTTTACTCAATATTTGTTCCTAAATGCTAAAGAAAGGAGAAATCTTTTTCTTGCATTCGATCATCCAAATCACCTAAATCAAATCGATTACTTTTAATCATTTCAAATTAAATAAACGTACTGAAAATATTTTGATTTAGGCGAATTGTGTACATTCAAAAAAATCAATCTCGCATTTGATTTCACAATCCCCTTACCTGATCTTCGTTTAAGTAGTTAGGAAGACCTCCTATAAATATTTTGTGGGGCGAATCCGGCACAACCGTGCTTATTACACCAGCAGGTACACTAATGGAACTTTCCGACATACCGGGCATGGGCTGGTAATCGTGGGGTCTTCTAATTTTTAAGCTTTGTCCTAGAAATATTAATTACAATGAGAATTCGGAACACATCAAATTTCGATGCAACTACCTTTGAAATTGATACCGTCGAAAGCCATAGCTTGTGTAGTTTCATCGATAGACCGGAATTCCAAAAACGCGAAGTTCTTATCGAGGTTTATTTGACAAGCCAACACCGGATTTCCAGCGGCCTGAGCCAACCCGCTCAAATGCATTTGCTGATTGAAATACTCCATCATTTCGTCTTCGGTCACGCCAAAGGGAATGTTGCCCACGTAGAGTCGTCTCGCCTGTCTCGTAATCGTAGATCCCACCACCGGTACGGCCGCTTGAGGCGTATCGGCCACGATGTTGGCGGGGATTTGCCCGGCCGCCTGCATGGCTTTATACTGAAGCGGGGTGATGTGCTCGAAGCCTGGCGGCGGTACGTCCCAGTAAAGAGACGGTTTACGTCTCCTCGAGTAGCCTTTGTGTCTCGAACCGGAGCGGCTTCTTCTCCGGCGTTCGCGCACTTCGCGAGGAGATCTCGACCGGGATCGCCTTCTGTGCTCTCGCGAACGCGACCGCTTCCTGCGATCTTTGTCGTTTCGGTCCCTGCTGCGCTCCCGCTCCCTGTCTTTACCATCTGAAATGATGCGAGTTTCGTTACTCGGCTTGTATTTTATGTGTAATGATGATTCGCTTACCTTTATCTTCGCCCATTTTTTATTGAATGATTATTATACTAATTAAAGAATTATTTTTTAAATAAATTAATGGTATTAAAAAATTGTACAATTAAAAATACGATACACGGTAATCGAGCTAGACAAACTGACATTCGGTTAATAAAATGAAATGGCGTCTGGTCTTCTTTTTACTTAAAAAAAGGAATGAATTTTTACGTATCAAATAATGGCCATTTGCTAATAAGGTGTTCCGTTACTTAAAACCATTTTAAATAAGTAGTTAGGTAACACGAAATACAAATGAATGAATAATTTGTACCAATAAAAAAGATACTCTATTTCTCTATTATTAGATGGTAGAGTTCATCAAGAAGAGAAAAGTTCATCAAATCATTTATTTTTTATTGACACGCCTCCATCTCTAATAAATTGGCCTTTTACTTTTAAGAATTTTTGTACTCTCCTAATTATTTTGAAGAAAAATTGATTTTAATTAGATCTAACTGTATGTTTATGCTCTTAAAAACACAAATTATAGGAAAAAATTGTTTAATGAAAACTTGGATTTGAACGTCAAGTTATTGTGTTTTATATGAGCAGAAAAGGTTAATGTTTTTATGACATTTACGAAGCTTGAAAAGACTGCTTGTTTTCTTACTATTTTAAATCACGGTAATTACTTTTTACAGAAGAAATGGCTTGTAGAGGAACAAGTTTTTGTAGCATATGTGGATGCAGGTATGTTTAATAAATAATTAGCTAATAGTAATTAATTTTATTATCTTTAGTTCATGTTGACATTCTAGGTTATCTTCTACAATTCTTCTTTTCCTCTTTGCCTTTACCTTTATGAGTACAGTAGCTAATGGTCTCGACAACAATTTGGATTTTTGCACTGATCCGCATTTACCGTGCGAATCAGTAGGTAAAAGGTTAGTTTATTTTTTTTATTCATATATTAAGGATATCCTAGAATTGGATAAAAAATTAGCTACAACTACAAGTGACAGCCATCACCTGTCACTGTTACTTATTGATAGAAAATGGAACAGTTACAAAATAACTTTGAATTCCAATAATTAATCAAGGTTAAAGGGAGGTTCTTACCGGTCTTTCGTGGGGAGACGTGACGTTTTTTCTTCGATTCTATTCGTTGATTCGTTCATTTCCTTTGGGATCAGTCGCCGGGCTGATTGTATGCTTTGTACTTTATTATACATTTATTATTTCGTTATAAGCGCAATGGCTGCAAACCGTGAAAGGACTTTTATCATGATCAAGCCTGACGGCGTTCACCGAGGCCTCGTCGGAAAAATCATCAAGAAATTCGAACAAAAAGGCTTTAAATTGGTCGCTCTCAAATCTTTGTGGGTAAGTCCTCACGTTTTTCCTCCATACCGGCGTGGCAAACGTCACATTTTGCTGCATAAGGTTATTTTTGTAATGCAATTAAATTTATCGATTATATCGATATAACACCAAAAACTCATGCTTTACTTACTTTATCGTTTAAAGATAGTTACTCTATTACGATAATATAATTTTTTGTTTTATTTTAGCCATCAGAAGAGCTATTGCAAAAGCACTACGCAGACTTAGCTGGAAAACCATTCTTCCCAGGTTTAGTTAAATACATGAGCTCAGGACCCGTAGTGCCTATGGTATGGGAAGGTTTGAACGTTGTTAAAACTGGACGAGTACTCCTAGGGGCCACCAATCCGGCTGATAGCGCTCCCGGCACCATCAGAGGGGACCTTTGCATCCAAGTCGGTCGTAACATCTGTCACGGTTCAGATTCAGTGGACTCGGCCAATAAGGAAATCAACCTGTGGTTCAACGAGAAGGAATTGGTTTCTTGGACTCCGGCCGATGAGAAGTGGGTGTACGAGGATTAATTTTTTGATAATATTTTGTATTAAGTAGGAGCCAAAATAAGGAGATTAAACATTTTTCCCTCAGGAACTCACTTGTTTTGTTATTTTTTTCAAACTTAAAAATAAAAATTACCTTTTGTTCACAAAATGTGAATTAAAAATGCTAAAGATACACAGCTAGGCAACACTTTTTACATCAACTTTTCTTACGTAGCTAACTTCATGTGACCGTACTTCGTCGTTGACATTGACAGAATGACAGATATAAAAGAACATGTGTAAAAGTAAATAGTTTATATTTTCTTATTCCTATTAAAGAGTGCAAAATAAATGACTGAAATATCGTTTAAGCACAATGAATTTTGCTCGCAAACAGTTAGAAAAGTACGGTTGGAGCGAAGGTATGAATTTATTGGCCAGTGCATCAAAATACTTGGTACAAATATTAATTTGTTGTAGGTAAGGGCCTGGGGAAACACGAGGATGGTATCGTAACGGCCCTAAAGCCCCAATTAAAGTTCGATAACGCGGGCGTGGGACACGATCCCGGCGAACAATTTACAAATAATTGGTGGGAAAAGTTATTCAATAAAGCAGCTGATAATATCCAAATCGAATCGGGTAAGAACGATGTACGAGTGAAGTTGAAGTCGAAAGGGTCCGTCGAAATAACCACAAAGGATTATTCCGTGAAGGATTTCAAGAAAAATAGTCATTTAGAATACGGTTCGTTTTTAAAGACTGCCAAGCTAACTGGGAGTAGCGTAGAGCAGTATGATGTGCCCAGCATTTCTGAACCAAAAACGAGTTTCCAAGCTATGACCGACGAGGAATTATTCGCCGCCTGTGGCGGTAGGACTGCTCACAAAGGTGCTAGACATGGTCTGAAGTTGAGCGGAAAGTTAACGAGAATCGAAAAACAGGAGAAAATGCTGTTGAAAAAAATGAAGAAAGTAAGCATATCGGATACGACAACTGAAAAGAAAATGAAAAAATTGAAAAAATACAAGGACGAAACTAAAGAGAAATACGTCCACATAACGGAAGACAGCATGGAAAGCACATCTTCCAACGGCCTTAAGAAAAAGAAGAAACGCAAAAGTGTCTCATTCAGCGAAACTGTTACAATAACCCCCATTTACCCTGTTGATTTGGATACGAGTATCGAAACTATTGAAAGCGAAGGAGATTCTTTAGGTAAAGATGAAAATTGCAATGCAATCACCACCCTTAGTCCAGAAGATGGCCTTGAAAACATCGAAAATAGTAATGATCAAATAGATAATCCTAATAATTTTGAATTAAACATTAATGACCTATCAAAGGCCGAAAGGAAAAAGCTCAAGAAGAAAAGAAAGATGAAAGACAAAAAACTTACATCCACTGGAATATTTCTACAAAAGCTTCAAATTGATCCCAACGAGGATGCTAACACAAAGAAAAGCAAAAATAAGGAAGTTAATTTAAAGAAAAGGAAATATATTGAGGAAAGCGAGCAAGATTTAAACAAACACTCATCAAAACCTGAATCATCAATACGACAAAAAAGCAAGAAGGAGAAACAAAAAATAAAGAAACAGAAGAAAGTAGAAGAAAAGATGGATTTAATAGTCGAATCATTGGATGTGGTATGTCGCATATCGGAGAGTGAATAATCTAAATACGCTCATTTTTTTAGTTTAATTCAATGAATATTTTGTTTGTATGGAAATACTCGTTGGCGAAATTATTATCTCAATTATTTTCCTTATCTATAATTCTTTGGCAATTGCGTAATTTTTACTTCAATAACTTACCTTAAAAGTAATCTGTATTTGCTGACATAAATTAAGAGAAAAAAAATGTTCATTTGTAATATATTTCTTTAAAGTATTATGTTTTATGCCAAAGGATTATAAATGGATATAATATTGCCTATTTAAAGAGTGTGTATATTTATTTTTTAGATCGATAAGTATTGTTAAAAATTGTAATTCAAATTATTATTTTATAAACAAAGCCTTTTTTTGATACTAAATTTACATGTAAGTTTTACTTATGAAGAAATCTAGTCTTGTTCTTCATTATCTTCTTATTGTTCTTTTGAACACTTGTGATTTCATTAAACCAATTTCATATACAAACAATATGCTAATAATAAAACATTTATTCAATAAAAAAATCACCTCAAAAATACGCTGCCGATAAAACCCACCATGAAGATACAAATTTTTCTGATCCTTTAAACGATAACGTGACGTAATCTCTAAAGTACTAACAAGAGGAGATCCTTAAAAAATAGAATTAGCTGGTTTCAAACGGTGGTACATAACCTCCGAAAGCCTTCTCCAGTTCTTTAGCCACAGCTATGCATAGATGGTCCTGGTAAGGAGCCGCTACCACTTGTATACCCACAGGCAGACCGTCCTTGCTCAGCCCCATGGGCACTTGAGTCACGGGGAATTTCAAGACGTTCCAAATGACGAAAAAGTGGAAATTCCACGGGCGCAAGTACGACGCGTGGTGATAGCTAGCTGGAAACGGCGCCGAAGGATATAACAATACGCCATTGTCGCCTAATTTCTCCTAAAAGTACAGGCAAATGAATAATCTCCGAATACATACAGGGTGACATAGCTTAGGAGGGTATTATTATACACTTTTGTCCAAGGAATACCCTCCAAAGCTAAGTCCATCGAGTGACAGGACACCCTGTATTGTCTATGTTTAAATAATTACTAATAATTGCTTCTTCAATTTCTCCGTTTCCGATTCGGCCCACTCCTTTTTCGGCATCGGCAGTAACTTGTTGATGAAATTGAATATAGTAGAAGTAGTGTAATCGCTACCGACAGTAAAATGCTTAATGGTGTCTATAACAGGCCTTGCCTGAAAGTTTACAAACAATAAAATTCGTCCCGCTGATCGTTTAATCGTACGTACTTCTCCTGTGCGATCGGTTATGTCCTTCATGAAATCCACTCCGGATTCCTGGCTCATCCAATATTTCCACAATTTTCCAGCGAATTTCGTACCTTCGAATTCAACCGCTTCGGGCGGCGTGTTACAAATTTCTTCGAAGTGATTCACGGCCCTAAAAATCGGACATTTCACGCATTGTAATCGGATTTTATAATGAAATACAATAATTTCTTCGCAAAGGTTACATAAAATGCAAACAATTAGTGGCTACTACTACTACTACATAAGCGAGAAGGGTATAAGGTTGTTGAAAATTATACTGAAACCAATTATGTACAGAAGACAATGAAGACAACCACCAATTGAAATTATGTTCATAAGAGTTAATAGCTATAAATAAAAGTCTCGATCGTTCATTGGCCAATCAACGGCATTAATTATGTATGTAGTTCTACTGATAACCAGAAATAAATCCTACAGAAGAAGAAATTGTTTCAAAATCTTGCTTTCTAACTCTTAAAAAAAAAAGCAGTCACATCGAACAAGCGAACAAATTAACACAAGAAACTACGACAAACAGATCTCTTATAATACCGTAATAAACAATTCTTCGTGTCGTCTCTAAAGGGACTGACGGTGGGATCTTTGGGATTCGAAACGTACGAAATTCGTACGTTGGGAATGTGAACGGGTTCGTCTAATTTCAATCGATCACCGCTATCAGAAACGAGGATTTTCAGAACAGCCGTCAAATCCTCGGCCTTCCTGGTGAGCGGTCCTGTGTTTACCATCGTTTCACCTTCGTCGCCCTTTCTAAACGTTATCCCTACAAAGATTTTTTTACCAATTAGAGAATATAATCACCTACGTATCTTTTTACAACCATCAACTTCCTCTAAGTACATCAACATCCTAAGTAATCTACGCTTCGAGAGAAAAATAGAGAATATTTGTACAATAAAAATCGCTTAAACCGTAACCTTTGCGATGGTGGATGTATTGTAACCGTACCGTGTTAAAGTATCGATCATTTCTTGTCTGGGAACGCTGATGGTAATATCATTCACGTTCGAATTATGATAAATGTTAACGTTTTTTACGTCGACCGGATCGTCTAAGCGCAATTTATCGACGTTGTCGTGGACTAAAATTTTAAGTATCGGCGCCAAATCTACCGTATGTCTTGTCAAAAGACCCATAGCGACGATTGTTTGCTTTTCTTCGCCCGTTCGGAAAGTCGTTCCTGCAAAATGGCAATCCTCGTTTAATTAAAATACCGACAAGTCCAAAGGTTATCGAGAGAATTTAGAATTTCTGCTGGTTACTTCATAATAACGTCTTTCTTTGGTGCCTTCTTTGCGAAAATCACAAATTTACCACTCCGATACACTCTTTAAAACGCAAATAATAAGTAACGAGTAAGCACTTAAATAAGTAAGAAAGTACACCATTAAATTCCCATGCACTATTCCACAAATTTTAATAGTTTACCACCCAGTTTCGAAACCAACGAGTCATCAGATGTAAATGTATGTTACCAGTGCAATATAAATGACCCGACACAATTACAATTCAAATTCGTACCGGCTGTAAGCTTTCCTCATCGAATTCCGAAGGGGACTGACAGAGAAATCCTTCGGGTTGGTAACAAAAAATATATCGACGTTCTCAACGTTAACTGTCCTATCCAAATTTAATTTGTCTTTGTTCGCGTCGAGTAAAACGTTCAACACGGGCGCTATGTCTTCTGTGTGACGCGCTAACACCGACATAACTACTAAAGTTTTATGTTCCTGACACTTTTTGTACATTGTGCCTAAAATGCGAACGGCAATTTGTTTTGTTTCACCGTCGTTTGACTTAATATTTACTGATTATTGTACGATTATTTACCTTTGGTCGAGATCAAATGGGACGTAGGCTTGTGGCCGAACACTCCGCACATAAAGGCCGGAATTCTTATGGAACCACCGATATCGGTACCTAACAAAAATCAATATTATTGTATAGAATCTCTTAAAATTAATGATAAAATTTGTGTTATACCAAGACTGATTGAAGTTCCACCGGCTGCTAATAGACTCGCTTCACCTCCGGATGAACCACCCACGTTTCGGGTGGTATTGTAAGGATTATTAGTGATTCCGTATATGGGATTGTGTGTTTCTTGCCAAAGATTCAACTGCGGTACATTCGTTACACCTTAAATAATACAATTACAAAGTCAGGAATAAATTTAAGATGGGTATTTTGCGTTTGTTTTACCCAAACAAATAGCCCCCGCTCTTTTAATGAGTGCCACGTAATCAGCATCGTACGGAGCTTTTTTCCCTTTTCTCTTTATTATCCCAAAAGTAAACGACAGTCCTTCGACAGCGGTAGATTCTTTCGTTGTAAACGGTACACCTGCAATTCTCTTAATAATTTTTACACCTGTAATATACTAAATATTACCTAAAAATGGTCTGTCTTGGAAATCTGTGTCCTTGATTGTGCCATCTTGGATGTCTTTGTCGATTTGCCGGGCTTCTTCCAGAGCTGCCTCGTACCTCGAGTCGACTAAAGCGTTTATGATGGGATTGACTTCTTTGATTCGATTGACGTAGGCTTGAACGACTTCTTCGGATTTCAATTCGCGGTTCCTGATTTTTTTCGCTAATGATGTGGCACTTTGCATGATGATAGGATCGGTGCATTTTTTAATGTAGATTCTTTTGGAATCGTTGAAGTATCCAAATATATAATCTATCAGTAAGTCTAGGTAAAATCTTACGCAAAGGAACAGTTTCAGTAACACCGTTTTGAAGGGACTTGCAGGCCTTTTGGGTTGAACTTCACGGGAGTCACTCATGATGAAAACTGAAAGAATTAATTTTACCGGTTACGAGGAAATCGGGCCAGTTATTAACCGAGAATACATGTAAATTTAATTCGATATGAAATCTTAAATGCTTAGTCATTAATAGAATTAATGGAATATTTCGAAGGTTATTACCATAATTAATTCATGCAGTAGCGGTATGGAATATTGATGTGGAAAGTAAAGACCCAATTTAATGAGCTTATACCTATTATAAATAAAACGCATAATAAAAATCAATTTACTTACGTACTAATTAACCATACGTTTCAAACTTTTTAATAACACTTCAAGTACTTCAAGTAAAAAAAAAGTATATCAAATACAAATCATCACCTATCACTTCACGAAGTTCACGAACAACGGTATTTATTTACATCTGCTTCTTTTTTATTTTGAATTGACATCTTTGTCAATTTGTTACAACTGCATACACAAAAAGTAAGAGTCAAAGTTCAGATCTAAATGTCAAAAGTGTTGCCTATATTTGAGGAATTGTAGGAGTACAGAATTTGAAATCCATAATTAATTTATTAATTTTGCTAATCAGTAAAAAAATAAAACATTTTTCAATTTAAGAGGAAAAAATATATATCTTTTAAACAATATATATGTATAGAATAAAATATTACAATATTACAACATCAAATTAGATAAATATGGAACATTCATATTTAAGAAATAAGAACACAATTTTGTTTTAAACAAGGTACAATACGTACGATAATCTTACGTGTAATGGAATGATTGTGTAACAATTGAAACATAATTTAACGTTTAGTTCACTTTTTCTTCTTTTGCTGTTTTAACTTCCTCTTCTCCTCGCGTTTTCTCTCCTTTTCCTTGAGAGACGAATACAATTTGTAGCCAAAGAATACTGAAAAACAAGCAAGATCATTAAAATAATCATTGCACCGTTATTAAATAAAATATTAATTCGATATTAGATATTTTTGTAGACAAAAATAGCTTAAATGAAGCATCAGCTATTAAACTTAACAGTACTAAAATAGATGAGTGCAAATTAGTAAGCAATATGGTCTATGGGTGAAGGAAAAATAAAAAGTGATACTGTGGAATTGCAACTATCCTACTTGAACCGCTATTATTTGCATCATCGAATCAGTCTTTGTTCAACTCGTAGTACTGACCACATTTGCACTTATCTGTATATGAAACTCTGTCTCAGAAGAGAGCATCTAAATGCTTACAAAACCACTAAATAATGACAAATGTTATATCTTTGGTCCCCAATATTTTCACTTAAAAAAGCTCCAAAACATTCTCACCTAGCACTAAGAACACAAGGGAAATTAAAAGAAACAACACAACGAATTCACCCGAACTAGCAACAACTTTTTGCGTAGCTGCTCCGGCGATACTTTCAGCTTTCTGTGCCAATTCACCGCTAAGGATACTTTTCCTTAATTCTTCCTTCTCTTTCTCCGGAAGGGCAATGTTTTCTAAAGCTGCCAAAAGTTCTTCAACCGAAGGCGGTTTGTAGTCTTTATTTCCGACGTCGAAATCGGAAAGTACGCTTTCTTTTTCGCCCATTTTCGTGGAAATATGGTCGAAATTGTGAGTACTGACTGAGCAAGTAAATTTATTCAAATCGTTGCCATATCATCAATATAGTAAGTCTACGTGCGATTAGGTTATCAGTAATAATAACTAGAAGCGTTATTTGATAACTAATCGGAAACAAAGTTTAAGTATTTCACAAATATATACCTACTCAGACAAACGCAAGTAATATTTATATAATATATTTCGTACTGTTTTGAAAACTGCTATTATTTCGTTTATGAATTGCATTTTAACGAAATATCTAAACAATTTTTATTTGCATAAATAAAATACTAATGAAAATTATTGTAATTAAATGTGTTAATATTTTCAGAAAACGCTTAGGTTTTCTTTACTTATCAAAGGTCAATTTAACAATCAATGTACCGTCAATGTGCGATAATTAAATTAAAAATTATGCTTTTTTGCAGTACCCATCCGGGGTTGCAAAATAAGATTTCATGTAATTTTTTGTGTAATTCATAAACACATATAAAATATATTTGTTTTTAAATAAATAATAAGTTATATTATAGTCTCGAAACGAATATTTTCAACTATTATTAGTTCTAAGCGCAAGCTGGTAGCCGATATCAATGGTTTTTATTTAAAAGTAAAATTTCTATGTGATAATGTTATCTTCCTACATCACAAAAATTTAATATTATTTGTATTATATTTAGTTTTATCAATTTTAACGATAATTGCTTGTGTACGTGTATCAAAAAATTAATTGATTTCATACGTATAGGATTTAATTAAAATTTCAATTTTTACGAAGGTGTTAATAAAAATACAAAATAATACAAATAAAAACTAAATAAAATGTAGGATCATATTGGAAAAAATCTATTAACATAATTTTAGTTCTAACTGATTAGAACATGAAAAACACATCAAAATACCTCCAAAATCAATATAAATTGATGTACAAACCGAATATAAACAGTTAGAATATTAGAAAAATACTAATATCACCAATAATTACTATTACTATTAAACATATTTACATCAAGAACTCACCTGATAAAGAAAAGAATATTATACCGGGAATAATAAATACTGAATTGGAAAACCCATGTTCAATCGGTCCGTCTTGTCCTCCGCCTAAGTCAACCATTTCCTCAAAAAATTGGAAAATTCAAAATTTACCAATGATTTTGACCTCTGTTGACAGACCAATTTCTAACCTAAAAAAAAAACAAATCAAATAATCAAATATACTTCTTTTTAAGTTGGCCTGGTGTTTAAGTATAATACAGCTACTTATATATATATGCACAAAATCAACTAGTTATTGTCAATTTGTAGAAAGAAGAATTATTTTAAATGTCATTTTCAATTCAAATAAATGGCGAACGAATTTATCTAATTTAAAACGAAAATTTTAAGGAAAATGGGCGATGAAAATTTGTTTCCTTCAGACGATGATAATATATTAAGTCAAGTTGATGTAAATTTATCAGACACATTAATATCCTTTTAAATACACTATCTAACCTATAAATTAGTTATTCTTACAATTTTCAGTCTACTTATTTAATTAATAAGATTTTTAAACATTTTTGTGAAGAAAAGTGATATTAAATATTTGTTATTCCTTAACATTTCTATACAGTTCTTTATCAGATGCTAAAATCAATTTTACTGTGTTCGAAACAAAGATTAGGAAATGTCTTCCGTACATGTATACATTGGATATTGCAGAGATCGATAATGACTTTTTTAGGTGGTTAATGCCTCCTCTTAAAGATAATTTACTAAAGGTAAATCTAGTGCTCTCGTCATTCTGTTATTTACATTTTTGTTTTAAGGTTTTCAACAACAATGTATTACTGGCCGAGTTATGTGCGAATACTGAAGCCATTAAAGATAATTTAATAGTTAAGTAAAATTTGCATACTTCATAGATTGATTTTTTTATTTATTTCGTATTTTTCTTACAGAAAATTTGCAAATTGCTAGATGTATTGAAAGAAGTACTAAGTTTTTTAACTGAAAAACCGCCGGTTAATGTTGGCTCTATTAAATCCATCGCAATTACTTCCATTCAGATTATTTCGGAAACTCTAGATTATTTAAAAAAATGGTAAATAAACAGATAACCGCAAATTTGTACGCAATATGGTATATGGGTGCAACGAAGACAACTTCCATTAGTCTCGTATAAAGGAAAAAGCTATTGTGGAATGGTAACTTTCTCACTCTAAACACTGTTATTTGAATAATCTTTCTTTGTTCAACTCATAAAATTGACCCATATTGCAAACAACGTTGCTTTTACCCATATATTTGATTTAATACTCTCGTTATTTATGATTTTAGTTCAGAGCTTGAAGCCAATTTTGATGAAGATATTGCATTACAAATCTTTAACTTATTGAATGAAGTGCACTGTTTGTATCTTCAACTGATGGGATCTGTCTTGGTGTCTGAATCAGAAAATACGGATGATATAGAAATACTTGTACAAGGTATTTAAATGCTTTTAAAAGTATTACTGAAACTAACTAATATTTTTACAGTTTTGGAGAATATATTTGATTTTAGTTTTTTGCATAATTTGAATGTGAAATTTCTCATTAGAAATTGGAAATGTTTTATAGCGATTCTCCAAAAATTCGCATTTATTGTTAAAAATCGGATGGATGTGAAGAAACAAATTAAAAATTTAAATAGCGCTCTATCAGATAACTTCGCAATTATCCTAGATTCAGTAAGAAAACTTGCTTTAATAATTCAATAGAATATGTTCACTCTATTTATATTTGTTTAAGGAAAATTCAGATGTTGTAAACAAATACCGCATTATCAAAATCTCGGAAATTTTAGTTAAAGTGGTATTAAAGATTTTTCAAATATGGGACGACAAAATCGAGCTACTAGAAGAAATCGTCGATTTTTTGTGTTTGTTTTACAGGTAATATAATTCTTTTTCCATTAAACGTTACAACAAACTTTTTTTAGCGTTCAATTTAAAATATCAACACTAGAACACCAAATAGTGGAACAATCAAACCTGATATTTATTTTGGTAAAATCCTTTGTAGTTGCATTTGTGCAAGATGAAGCTTTTATGCAGGTACTGCAGTTATTATCAATAAAAATGTTTTTATTAATAACGCTTTTCTAGGTCACTAAAGACAAAAACTTCCTGTCAAGCAGGTGCAAAGATGGGTTGTTGAATTTTTTAAATACTTGCTTGGAATGCTTGGTGGTAATTGATAAATTGGATAATCTCGAGTTAAATATTTTAATCAGATTAGTGTTTGATGTAGTAAAGGAGTGTAGGTTACCTAATTATTTTTAGGGCAGTTTCGTTGAATTTTATTGTTGTAGGTTATAGCGAATTTTTGCTACCTGAAAACGTTTTTGATGATTTAGTAGTGAATATTGCCGGATCAGTATTAGTTTATGGAGAATATAAGAGCATCGAGCTGATACTGCTAGAGAATGTACTCGAAGAGGAGTTTTGGAACTATTTCCTAGCCGTGGAGGTTTGGTGTCTTTTACTAAGGTAATTTATATTGTCGAATATATCTTCTAAAATAATATAAAACAACCTGGAAAACCATTAGGCGCTAGTCAATAAGTCGAAGGCCTCCAATTTAGTAAAAAACGATTAATATTTTTTATCGCATTGTAATCAGAATATTAACGACTCGCCTTAATATATTATATACCAACGTTTTATAAATTTCAACTGACAGTAAGCTGGAAGTTACAATTCGTGATGCCCTATCTGTTGTTCATTACCAGGTGTAATTAAAAAAAAATAATTGTACCAACAATTTTCAACAGCTCTGTTTAATTGCCGTTCGCGTTATTTTCTATTTTCGATTACCTGATGATAAAATAAACTACTGGCTTACACCAATTAACGTAAAAAGAACGTCATGAATATCGCGGTTTATTTGAACTATTTTTTTCGAAACATAATTTTTTTAGCATATTTGTGTGATTTGCCATCTGACGCTAATGTAAATATTAATGTTATTTGAACGATCGATTTAAAACCGGGCGCTGTCGATTCATTAGGTATTCAAATTAAATAAGTACTTACCTGCAATAAGAAGAGAGGAATTTTAAATTACACGTTTATTATCGTTTAATGTGGTATCATATTGTTTTCCCCGAAGGTCATGTCTTATATTGAATTAGTTCACCAGTTGCGAGTCAATTCCTTGGCATTTTTATGGTACATTTGTGTTAAAGTTACATAAAATATCGTGTAGTTTACAAAATTGTAGAAAAATTACAGAATCATAAACTTACGACATATAAGAACATGTGAAAACATGGTCAAATCACATGAACTTGAAGTAAAATAGCCTCTTCGTCCCCTAAAATATATTCATACGATTCAATGAAAAATGGTACAAAATTTCACTTGCAACAAAGACAATTTCTATTAGTCTCATATGAAAGAAAAAGAAAGATTGATAGTGTGGGATTGCAATTTTCTCACTCTAACTACTGTTATTTTTATAATAATTCTTTGTCCAATTCATAGAATTGACTATATTGCAAACACTTTTGCGCTTACCCATGTACATTAAAATCAACCAATAATGGTGTAATAAGTTTGATTGGAAAATGATAATTTTTCAGGAACAAAAGGCCTGATTTTACTCAACAAGTTCTTATAAGTCTGATCGATATTTTCGATCAATTGGAATTCGGAACTCTCACTTATAGATTGGAAAAGACGCAGTTCAGGTATTTTTTGCACAGGGTGTACAGGTTATTACCGGATAATTTCAAATGTAACGTGATGCAAAACACGAACGACAGGATGGCGGTTTGGAAAATTATGGATGGACAGCATTTCCCCAAGAACATGAAATATTTTATTGATCAATTGTGCCAAGAAACGTTGGAAAAACTAAATCAATTGGTAAAAGGTGATTTTTCGAAAGAGGATTTTCCCCTCTTGGTAAGTACCCTAATAATTCGTTTTCTTTAATCTTGTCTAGCTATTATTTTCTTGAATCAAGGAGATATCATTACGAATAAAAGTTCTTAAATTCACGAAAATAAACTTTGCGTTTCCGTAACTTTTTACACCTATTATGGGTACCGCAAACCTTGCCGTTTTCACAGAATGAACGTGACATGGTTTCGATATCTACATACATGTTTATTATTATTATTTCGTTCGATAAAAACCTTGCAAGCGTTAATGACCTTATCTTATCAACTTGCTCAATTGTTCAATTCAACTGTTAAAAATATATTGGAATCTGAAGACTATAAACCTCCAGTTAACGAAACCACAAACTTTTACTCTTATAATCCAAAAGCAATCTCGAGTGATACCATCCAGAGTATTTCCAATTAAAAATAAACCTGATCCGGCGTTGAAACTATTTAGCCACATTATAAGCTTTCTTATTTAATGAAGTATTTATCGATTTCGTGTTGTTGATTGTTTTATAGTTGTTACCGATTCGATACAATACAAGTAAATTTCGATTGAATATTTTTAACCTAATAAAATGCCGCCCCGATTTCCTACATTATATCGGAAGGTTTTGAATACAAGTAGGTCAATGATTACCCGAAATTCAAACGCGGTATAGTTATTAATATTAATAATAGGGGATAGGTAAAGTTCGTCGATAACGAAACGTTTTAGAGACCTAATAATTATGTATTTGGTTTGTAATAATTTGACAATTTGGGGCAAATTTATTTTAACGGCGACTTATCTACGAATTTAACTAGAATTGATACGGCCCGTTAATATTTTATTCTACAACCTGCTTTGTTCGTTTCATTGTCTTTTTTATATACGTTTTTATCTCGAATATTTTAATTGCGCCATTGTTTGAATATTAAACCACTTCGGACGAGTTCGCTTGAATGTGTATGTAAGTATACTATCAATAATAAATCCCTGTAAATATATTTTTTGTGGAAATCAATAGCAGGTATTTATCGTGGGTATTTACGAGGAATCGATGAAGAATTCGATAGGTAATATCTCGTATCAAAGCGCATTGAGTTGTTAGTGTAAAGCTACAATTAGAGCCGTAAATTTATGAGAAGAAAATGAATATATTTGTGGTTTTTAGGTGGAAAATTTAGAGTTTCTGTCGACCGTCGATTTCAAAAAATTGCGCATCAATTCATCGAAATTAGCCGATGCGCTAGTATGCGTTTGGACATTAACATTCTCCGATATTTACAATAACAATTTATTCAGATATTTTATCGTTAAAGTTTTCAAAATAACTAGCGTTCTTTTCGCGGAATTTAACAACAAACAATTATATATGGTGAGTCATCGATACATTTCGAATAACTAAAATTACTTTTTTCAATAAATATGCCATTAGATACCAAGTAATTTTGCTATGTACCAACTAAATTGTTTAATTTTCCTATAGCGTCCACCGCAAAATGCAGTTAAATCAACCACGATGTTTTTCAATCACAAACAATCCTAATAATACTTTAAATTTTTACAACAGTTATCAAAAGCTTTACTTATTTATAGGCTTTTTTATCACACAAGGAAAAGTATTTGGTGTCTAAATACCATTATACAATTTATTACGTACTTCCTTTTGATTTTCAGGTATTAAACAAGCTACTTGAACTTTCGTTAATCAAGCATTTCAAAGTGCCGATCACATTTCTACTGAGCTCTCTTTGCAAACTAAATTTAACCTGTAACAATATATCCAAATTAATTTCGAATATTTTGATAAATTTATTGCGCGATTCCAACGTAATCGTTAAACAAAACGTTTTGGAAGTCCTCGACTTGTGCCATAGGAATAAACAGCAAACGGTAGTCGCCGATGTGATACTAGAACACGAAAACATCAACGATTTGATCAACGATTACTTAAACAGACGCGTTAACGGGCCGAACTTCAATTTCCAATACTTCAAGTTACTAGGAGAATTCAAGTTCAAGCACTGTTGCGTCGATTGGAGAGTAATTGAGCAGGAACCGTCTAGGAAACGCTTCAGGCAATCCGAGCCGGAAAATGTCACAGAGGCGAAACAAGTCAAGCCTTTGGTCGAAGAAAACGGGATTAAAAACAGACTGCAACAATTTAAATACAAGAAAATAGACAAACCGGCGATGGAAGAGAATAGCGAAAATAAATTCGATGAATCCGATAACGTAAATGATGTGTTATGCAGAATGAAAGGCGAAGTAAAATGCTTGGTGAACGTTTTGAAGACTGACAAACTTACTCCTAAGAATGTGGCTGATTTGAAGATTATCGCCAATCAATTGTCGTCGTTTATAAATTAAGTTTTATTTCATGAATTTCCTATATTTTATTATTAAGAGTTCATTGTTAAATTAATCGGTTGTGTGTGTTTGTAGATTTAATTATTAAGTTTGTGATTTATATTTTGCGTCGTTTCGTCTCGTTTTCAACACGACCTTCGTTTAAACAATTTGTAATTTTCCAATTTAAATAAATTTTGAGTATAAAATCTTTCGTATTGTTTGTTTCGTCGACGGCGGGGGTGGATCATTAAAACGCTATCGGAAAAGCAGTTTTTTGTGTTTTTATTACAGAATAAATTAGCTGATTTCAGATTAAAAATAATTAGTGTAATAAATGTTGTTTGGAAAACTGGTTGTTTTCTTATTAAAGCTACATTTACAATACAATAAAATTAATCCTAATTTGCAACAAAACCATTTTTATTTCGTAGTTAGGCGAGTTATGTAAAAATTAGAATAATATTTTGGATTTTCGATAAGAATTTATACTTAAAAATGATAAGAATGAAACCTTCGTATAGCCAATAACATTATTTCGATAAATATGTGTGCAATTTTAATGTACAGGAAAATTACAGGATACTCTAACTAAATGAATAAATGGTTTTGAAGAAATCGCTTATCTTACTGTTTATAAAACTGATACTTTTTCACTAACTCGTAAAAGGCCAAATAATTCATTTTTAAATGGTAACAAAAGTGATTGAATTCAGTGTAACATATCGATTAATGATGATAATTCCGCCGTTAATAATTAAAATATTTCATTTTTCTATAATTTATACAATTACTAGAAGATTGAATGCAAAATTTTAAGTCTCGAAAATAAAGTACTGCTCATTCACTTTTTAGAAATAATTAAAAAATTTACGTAACTTAAAATTTATATATTATGTACAAATTAATAATACACTTTTTCGATTAATCGTTAAACTAAAAAGTCGCAAAAATCCTTTTTTTTGTACCCTAAAAAAGGATAATTTTTACAAATAGAATATAATTTCAATAACAATATTTTTTGCAATAAACAAATTAGTAGAAACGAATGATTCAATACCTGTATAAACTTTAAAAAATATACAAATAGATATGTTTCGATGGGGGTAAAAATTCTGGTAACTTCATAAGGATTACAGTCGATTTAGGCACTTAAAAATCGTCGACTATTCGCATCAACTCTACATCTTCATGAGTAAACAAGCACCAAGAACTAATAAACCGTAATTAGCCACCATGACTGTGCTGGCCGAGTTGTCGTTCTTCTTCTCGGATCCGGCGGCCGGAGCCGGGGTGCTGGACTTGGTCTCCACCGACGACGCCGTGGTCGAGGTCGAAGCCGCAGCCGACGAGGGCGTCTCCTTGGAACTGGACGCTTCCTGGGTGGTTTGGCTGCCGGACGCCGGCTGCGCCGTGGACGCGGTTTCGCCGACCTGCTGTTCCTGCACTTGCGAAGACGTTTGCGCCAATTCGCCAGAGGCCGATTGCGAACTATCCACCGGTTTTGAATCGACTTGATTTTGCAGGAAAATCAGGCACAAAACTGCGAACAGGCAAACCGTTGCTTTGCTGGCCATGGTGATTGATGGTGAGTGTGGTTGGTTTTTGAATGATATGGAGCGCGTGATGAACCGTTGATGGACTGATCGGACGGACTGTGCACGAGCGTCTGGCACCGACGGCTTTTAACACCTGGCGATCTAAGCGACGGAATGGAATTGGAATGGGAGCCTTCGAGACTGTGTATGCGTATATGGGTGCTGGTGATTTGTGGAACGCTTTGCCATTCGATGCGGACGAAATATATCTATTCATATAACATTAGTCTGATTAATTTATAATTACTACTATTTTTTCGTAAGAAAAGAATTATGTCTTGGAAGATAAGATAAAAAAACTTGTCTCTGAACTACCTACTAATGATGATTATTTATTCATGATATGCAGGCGTATTTACCTATATGGAATCAGGACCGTTATGGGAGTAGGTGCAAAATTCTTAAGTATGGAAGGATTATACTTCAATTTTTATATCTCTCCAAAAGTCCAGATAGGTATAGTCTTTCTAAAGCCAGTTAAATATATTATGAAGTCTCACTAGTTCTTTAAGACCACTTTACTAGTAGTAATTATATAATTTTATTTAAAATTTCGTCTACTAATTGGGTGCTTAATATAATTTTTGAAATCCATTTGAACCTTTGTTTAGTGTTATTTCAACAACTTCAACTGGCTTTGGAAAAACTATACATTAAAAAATCTGTTACCTCCATTCTTCCGTTATAAAATGTCTAACATGTTGCTTTTTGGTAGTTACCTACCTACAATAATATATTACAATATGAGGGAGTTCGAGATATTTTACAGTATCATTAGTGTAATTTATTTTTGTGGCATTTCTAAAGAAACTATGCTTAGCCAAGTATGTAAATAATTTTGCATACACCAGCACAAAACCACAGGAAGTGGACAGACTGGTTGAACTGCTTAAAGAAGTCAAAGTAAGCATTATGGGAAGAGAAGCAATATAAAAATACCATCCTGGTAAATAATGAGAAATATAATTTCAAGAAGTAAATGTAAATAAAATATGTATAATGCCATTGAAGCTGTAAGTAGTTTATATCTAGTAGAAACGAGAAGGAGACAAATACAAATAAAATTTAATAAAACAGTGAAGATACAAAAATAATAAAAAGAAATAATGAAAAGAAATTTTTAAAATAACCAGCTACTAACAGTATTTTCTAGAATAAAATTGCTCTCCTACATCAATAACAAAATTTTAATCGTATTTTCGACATTATGAATTTAGATATTATATATTTTTCCATTTTCTAAACCACCAAGCATTCGCGGTATGTATTTATTTTTCGGTGCCATTCTACTACCTAGCTTGTTATTAATTATTGAAACATTTGTTTTTACTAAAAATCTTCAAATTGTGTCCACCTATTTGCTTCTCACATCCATGCAAGTGACTCACGACTCGGTTTCTCAACGGAAAATCGCTAAGGAGGACCGGTAAAAATTCCCAGAAGGGATCGCTACGGAAGGCAGCCGCTTTGTATCAACGAATTCTTTGCCGGGTATACAGGGTGATGGTTTTAAACCGAATCCTTGAAAGAACAATCTGTTTAGAGAGTGTGCAAATTTACCTTTGATAGCGTACCCTGTATACAGAGCGTGCGAAGTGTGTGGACACATAATTAAAAGAGTTCAAGTTAATAAAATATAGTTTTTAAATTAGAGTTTTTAATTAGAATGTTCAACATTCGAGTGAATGTAAATGAAGCGATAATAACTTTTAATCGCATAACTTTTTACACTTTTTAAAGCAGAAACAACCACAAAATATCTAAAATGACAATAGCCTCATTTATTTTTTATGTGATATACTAGGTAAAAAACTGTTGTATTAATGAGGATTTAAAGTAAGAATTTTATTTATGGATATTTTATTTCGATGCTGAGATAATGGTAAAATATCCAGGTATTTAATTAGCGAAATTCCATTGTTGAAGATATGGAAGGAGCACCTAAATATATTGCCGTCCATTACAGGTAAATACAGAATACGCGAACAGTTTCGTTATCGGAGCGTACAATCCTCAGATAATAGATTCGATCGAAGGAACTTTCACTGATCCACTAGAAATTCGCCTAAACGAAAAATTCTACTATCAAATCTTCCCGGCAACCTGTTAATAAAAGTAATGGATTTACACGACCTTAACCCGACCCTGATGCTGTTAGCGCTGCTAATTCTCGCATATCGTTTAATTGCCTCCGATATCCATTAGGATAATTAGAAAATTCACGTGTCGTGCTCGCCGTTTCTTCGACTACAGGTCGCCCGTTCGCACCCAAATTTTTGTAGTAGAATAGGGTAAATATTTTAATGAGGCGCGGCTGCGGCCAATAAAACCCCGCGAAAATCTAGGTCAATTACACCCCAAGAAATGCCTTTGGTATTTGGAAAACCCTTTAGGTATATAAATTCGTTCCGAATCCGCACTTTTATCCAGAGAGTTTGTTCAGAAGTTCCATCAATAAATTAATTGTACGGTAGATTAGTAGGATGGGTCTTCAATAGGGATTTGAACGAGAGATAAAGTAAATAATTTAGTAAATAAGTAAAGTAAATTGGCTAGGCCAGTTCTAGTTCATTTTGGTCTAAATTTAATTCATCGTATCCCCTTGGAGTTGGCTTAAATAAATCTCAATTTCCAATGGTTTCCAATAAACTAGCATAAATAGAAATTCAATTTAGTCGCTAATTTTTTTTATATTTCCTACGAAATTTTGTTTATTTTACATAATTGCATATAACAAAAAATGTATAGGTATAGTGCATGGTTCGATGCCCCCCGGAGTAACCGTAGAAATGGTAAAATCTCCCATCGAGCTCCATCATGTTGCGAATCAAAGCCAGTTCTGCGCTCACCATCCTCCGGACTGGTATACAAGAACTTGAATCCGCCGAAGGAGTCCGGGCAATCACGAGCAAACTCCGGTGTTTTTAGACTTTGATTGTGCGTAGAAACGTTTAATATATTTTTGGGAATTTTGAATTTTAGGTAAGCAAATTTTTGGGTAATTTATTGGTAGTATTTGCCTCCCTTAATGGGTTGTTGTAATTATTTTAATTAGGGTGAAAGTTATTATAAACAACCCTTTATAACACATCAATTTAAATTCGGAAAATTTGTGTCCTGTAAATTTTCTATATTGATCCTAGGTTTTCCAGATTATAATATCAAAAATTGAGACATTAGCTCCTCTACAGAAATTCATATTTTTTTTCATGGTGAAACTAAAATTAATTTTGCCTTTCTCCTCTTCTGCTAAAACGTTTAGTAAACTATGGCAGCGAACGTGTTAAACGTTGCAAGTAAATATCGGAAAATAATCTGTGAAAGTTGCACCAAACAATTTCATAACGTCAGATCCACAAACTCGATCAATTTGCGATAAATTGTGAAATTTAAAGTTAATAAAAAGCTATTTTGCCCGGCCTAATTGGAATTAACGATCCCTATCGGTTAAATAGGGGTGTATGGAATTAGTTGTTGCTGTTATGCAAATGTGCATCGAGACGTACGCTAATTTAACAATCTCTAATTAATGAACACAATTGCACCTATAAAGTTACGAAAAAATCGTTGTGCAAAACTCCAGATAGGAACACATACATGTAATTATTAATTTAGATATTTCACTTATATTCTTTGTGTACCAAGGTTAATGGTTGAGGTTCTAGTTCATGACACATATAATGCAACTTGGCATTATTAAAATTATCAGTTTTATCTGATTGCAATTAACATTTTTGGTCATGGTATTGATGGGACCCGAGTCTATTGCACCAAGATATTTTGCATTAAACAAATTAATTAGTTTAATGAGTCGAGCGGAATTGGTAAATAATTTTAGGCAGGTAAATGCATACCCAGAAAAAAATCCACTTTCCAGCAAACAACCAGTTCAGTTTAGTTGTGGGAGTGATTAATAATTCATTAATAAAAGCGTTACGTGCATGTGCCATTCCCTTTTAGCGCATGAAAAAACTGGAACGCGCCCACTGAGACTCCCAGAAGGGGCCGATTCGCGTTGTTTTAAACAATTATGTAGTAAATAAAAGTATTAATTAATTTACTGCTCATCTAACTTTCATGTATCGTGTGTACCAGTGAGCCGTAAAAATATATTTTATTTCATAAATAATTTTGAATTTATTTTTGTTAGTTATGGTAATGATTGTTACATTAAACAGCCACTGGTTAATGTTTGGTACGTTAAATTAAATATTAGTAATTCACGTGGGTTTCACTATAACGAATTAACGGATAAATTTATTAGTGTATAATATGCATAGACGGCGCTCGGGAAAATTTTTCTTGTTCTAGTAACGTTTCAACGCCGACGAATTCGTTCGCCGTAAAAGCGGAATGTAGAAAGTTCTATGGACAATTATAATTTGTTTGCACTTCTATCGGACTTTTTCCTTCGATTCCGCTGAATTAATCGGCGTTTCCGTAATTAAAGAGATTGCGTAATAATTGCATTAAATTCGAGCCATCGCATCGGCGCTATTTTGTAACGTTACGTTAAAAAAGAATTTCGGTTCGTTGCTGAAATTTTTCGAAATTTCGAATAATTAGTCCGAATTGACGGTTCATTGCCTAACCACGATTGCTGTTTATTTAATTAAACTCGAATTTTTGTTCTAGGATTCACTGCATCTGTGCCTACGATGTGCAAAAGGACTAAAACTTCGAAACTTGGTGGTGTAGTGACTAATAAATAAGCTAGGAGGCACCGTGATAAGTAGATGGGGCAAATTCGGAGTTGGAGGTCATGCGGAGTGCTCTTTGGTGTTTTCTATCAACGTATATTATTCTTGATGCAGCATGCAATCCTGTAGTAAGTACGAATCTGGATCGATTTATCGAACGCATATCACTCACAAGAAAATTCCATGAATAATCCTACCTATCCCTAGGGCGACGCGCCACACAACGTTGCCAATTTCAATCCCTTATTAAAACCTTTATATACCTTAATTTTAATATCTTCGTGTAAATTCATTTTATATTAATCTAAAATATGGAAAACTTAAGTGGAAAAGTCTTCAATAATAATCCCTTCATGCTCAATGAAGCAATACAATTAAGGGAAAGTTGTATTAACAGTTATATTAATTTATTCGTTTTTCACTCTACATTCTGGAATATAAACCAGACAACGTCGCTCTATGTCAAGCACATCAACCGGACAGTGGGTCGATTGGTGCGGTTTTACCTCTTATTCATCTCGAAGTTATGATGGGAAAATGCCATAAACGTCGGTGTCGTCTGCAGTTGCACTATTAAAGTACACCAGTCAGTAGGTTTATCGATTTCGTCTCGAATGCCGCAATACAAGCAAAACTCTGGCACGTACAACAACAATTTTTCGATTATCTCTACACCTACAGAATTATTCCAGAATAATGGAATTCATGGAAAATTGGATTAGTGCGAAATGAAACGAGAGTATGACGTTGATCAATCTTTGTTAACTTAATGCAGAGAAATTGAGACAGATGTGCAATATTTTTTATGAAACACGCAATGCATATGCCCATGGAAAATGTTTGTTTAGTTTTAGGAAGCTATAAAAATGCCATAAAAAATCACCGTTGCAATTGTTCCGGTCCCGTTAGTTTTGTCGCCTCACTTCGAATTTTCTCTGATTTCAAAATAATTGCGAGAAGACAACGCGACTATCAAATAAACACTGCTGTGTGCAATAAACGTCGACATTGCGTGTTTGATAATTTTTAATTCGTTCTATTTATTTTCTATCTAAATATATTCTACGTTATTTCATACATGAACCCTTATGAGAAAAAAAAACTGTTTGAGCACGTTCTGTTGAGGTAAGAGAATTATCGAGCGGGTATCTTAGGAATTTATAGAATATTTGTATTAGACAAATTCTGCCATTTTAAAGTAAATACGCAAGGACTAAATATTGGCAAGAATTTATTGCAGAAACTTTTTTGTCGACAAAACTAATAACGATAAAACGTTATCGATTGAAAAAGTGCATTTATGAAATAAATCATATCTACTGTACCTACTGGTAAACAGTTAGAAAAGGGTGTTTTTATCATTTATTCCTAAGTAAATATACATTATTTGAAAATTCTGTCAGGTTAAAAGAAAAAAATAAAATACCCAGAATAGAAAAATAACGGAATAAACTGACGCAAATATCGCTAGTTTATTCGTTTTGCACAACTCCTGTATTTTCTTATAGAAGGCGAAATAATTTAATATATCAGACGACTTCATCATTATCGTTTAAAAGATGTGACAAGGCATACAAGCCTTCATATCGATTTCCTTTACTACGTGGAAACCGTATGGGACGCAAACAGAACTGTTTGTTTCATCCTACCCTTTTTTTCTATTTATAAGAGGTATTTCTAATGACATCTGCTCGATGAAAGAAAATCAATTGACCGCAGGAGACGAGTTATTTTTAAAAACTTATCGGATATAATTACGTAACGATTGTAGTTGAAAAAGACACCGAATAAAAACATCGTCAATAAGGTAAAAGAGCCGGTTTTTATAACACTGATGTTGTAACGAACTCGAACCCACTGGCTCCGGTTAAGAAGAAAAACCCAGAACAGCAGAGGAAAAAAATTGGAAAGCGCGCTGCCGTCTATCTAACGGATATACAGTGTGTTTGACCCGTCCTTAATATGGTGGCTGGGCAAGAATAATGGCCATCATCGGTGTATCGATGGTGATGGTGTCGGTAACGGAGCAACCGTGTGCCCAAATAGCTAATTAGTTATATTTGCGAAGGTCGACACCTATTATGTCGTCGATGCGTTTGATATGCTCCGGCTTTTCCAACAACGCACGTCAGGTGTGCAAGTACGAATACGAATCGATTATTTCACGGTGCTTGCATACACCTCACGAAGATGTTCCATTACACTAATAGAAAATGATATTTACTAGGTATAATTACAACGCTAATGACACGGAGATTGCTCCTATCAAAGCAAGCGAGTCAAAGTTGGAGTTTAGAGAACAAGCATTGTATTTGGTATTGTTATTTGGCTCACTGGGTATGTTTTGTTTTGGAGGGCATGCAGGTGGACCTTCAATTGTTTTAATTTTTTTCACGCCCCGCCGAAAATCCGTCGATTGTTTCGCGTAATCGCACGTGGAGGTGTTAATTTCGTTTGATTCGTAAACGATATTAGGTTTGTAATTATCGAATTAGATGTATGAAATGCAGACCTTGTTCTGATTGGCTCCGAGGACTACATATGCTTACGTGAAAACTCTAGCTAAAACATTTAGCAAATATTTTTTAATCATTATTTTATTCCTGATTTGAGTTGGATATTTATCTGTTTGTTGCAACTTTCTGAACCGATAAATTAATTGTAATTAACCCTAATTGTCTAAGCAAATACGCAGAAAAATTATCTATCAATATTTCTATAAACAATTAGTATTCTTTAATTGTACAGGAAACATTACAGTAAACAAAACAAGGCATCCATATCGTAAACATTTAATGATCAATTCGAAATTTCAATGAAATTTAAACACGAAATGCCGCGTTCGGTAAGAGGTACGACCGAAAAATGGTATAATAATACAATTTTACAGTAACATGTCATTAAACAAAGCGCTTTCATGGACTGTCGTTTTTATTTATTTCATAAAAAATATTTCATTGTAGCGGGTTTTGCTTGCGTGAGCTTATCCAATGACATAAGTTATCAATGATGTTGATGTGTTGCAGGATAACCATTGGGTGTGTCGGGCAAATTAATGGAATGGTTGATGTTCGATATTTTTAAAGATCAAAAACAATCTAATTATTTTGAATGTATGCCTTACCGATGTTTTAGTGACTGGTAAACCTCTTTATTTTTTTTAATTCGCGGAAAAATGCTGATAAAGTAGTGAATAGTACAAGACGGAAGTATGTAGATGTGGAATTAAAAATATAATTATATCATAAAGAATTACATTCACCTCAATGTTGACATTTAAATCCATTAGGACGAATTACAGTGGTCACCAGCGCGTTTGACGGAGTAATCTCTTCAAGTTGGGAAGGTTATTATTAAAATATAATTTTTTAAAGAAAACAGCCGGTAACCAACCTTGACAAATACGACTACAATTTTTTTTCAAATTATCTACAGGGATTTTTACAGTTTCTTTACTTCAAACTCGAGTGAATTTCTCACTTGACACCATGCGTAATGCAATAAATTTGAATGCTTCACGGATTATGTTTTATTTGCAGGTAACTAAAGAACGTTTGAAAGAACTGCTAACTCCTCTAGAATGGTTCACGCTATTACAAAATTCAAATTCAGGTGAGTTTGGAGAGAACTGCATTAAAAAGAAAACGAATATCCATTACCTTCTAAAACCACTTCCCCATCTAATTTATTCCGATTCGTCAGTCCAATTATTCAATAATTACAGTCGATGATTATCTGGACAATTGGAAATACTTTCTAAGATTTCCATTATAAAAAACAAGATGCGCTTTCAGCAGAGAGATGCATAAATAATGCGCGTAAAACGATAGAGAAATTAAACGTTGAAAGTAAATGTGGCACACGTGATAATTTCTCGTTGCCTGAATATTTAAAATAATTAACGCTTTACGATGTGACCTGGCAGATTGAAAGTGAAATATCAGAAATATTCGCAAATTAAACGATATTAACAGCCGCTTACAACCCAGATAAGTTGAGCGTTTTCCTCCTACTTTTATCGACTTTCTTGATGCCTCTGCTCACTTGCAAATTTTGCAAAACCGATTTTTTGTTTTAAGGAGAAAATTTTTCCATAATTTACCCTACCGTCCGCCTCCGGGACGGGTCGCAAACGCATCGAATTCGCATCGAATCCGAACAAAATTTCGACGTCACATTCGTAACTCCCAATAACAATCTCCTGTCCAGCGATGCCCTATTTCTCGAAACTTTCGCGAACGGATCGCGGCCGCTCCAGCTCAACGAAAGCGACAAAAACTGCTACTTTAGAAGCGACAACGCCGCTTTAAGCCTGTGCAATGGAATTGTAAGTATTTTTATTATAATCTTCCTACATATAAATGCTTTGCGTTTGAAGAGAGGAATACTCCACATCGGCGATAACGAATATTTTTTAATCCATCCGCTGCCGGATCGATTTCACAACGGCACCGCCAAGCCTCATCTGCTGATCAAAAAGGCTTATAAACACCCGTCAGGGACCAAAGAAGAACATTGCTCACATCCTACACTAAACGATACCAAAGAAACTCACTATAATAACGTAACAAGCGAAAGGAGAAGACGGAAAAGGGAAGTGGCGTTCCCCGAAGGAGCTCCGGCTTTCGTGGAAACTGCCGTGTTCGTCGACAAGGATCTCTTCGAACACATGAAATCGAATTTTCCGTACGACACGGAAAGGGAACTCATTCGGTTCGTTCTGGCTATGATTAATGCAGTAAGTAATGCATTATATCGCTATTACTTCCGTTGATTTAACATGCTGTTCGATCCGTAGGTGCAGCTCCTCTACCACGATCCTAGCCTAGGAAGGCCCGTGAATTTCGTGTTGAAAAGATTGGAAATTCTGAAAGAAGACGTCGCCGGGTTGGTTAGACCTCCGGACATCGACAGGTTCCTGTCGAATTTTTGCAACTGGCAGAGAACGAAAAATCCGTCCGGTGATACGCAGCCTCTTCACTGGGACCACGCTTTGATTCTGACCGGGTTGGACTTGTACGTTCGCGGAAAACACGGGAAGATTTCCAATCAGGTTGTTGGTAAGTGTATTAACTGTTTCGTGTAAAGAGTGGGATTCTCAAGAAGAAGTTTTTACTCGTAGGTTTGGCTCCTGTGGCGGGAATGTGCACAGCAACCAGTAGTTGCACTGTAAACGAAGGCAGGCACTTTGAAAGCGTGTATGTAGTAGCACACGAAATTGGACATAAGTAAGTAGTACTTATACACCGCTGAGATTCTAAAATATTATTTAAAAATGATACAAATGTTAGCTTGGGAATGAGGCACGATGGACCGTTAGCAGAAAACGATTGCGATCCTACTACCTACATAATGTCCCCGACGCTTGGAAGCGGTAAAATTACTTGGTCGACGTGCAGTAAGCGATACTTACAGAAATTTTTAGAGTAAGTAACAGTCTCCTGTGATTTTCCCGAAATACAGTTCATTAACTCGCCTTCTAGCACTCCCCAATCCAGATGTTTGCTGGACCACAGCAGCTCAGCCGGGAAACTGGATCACAGCGCCGAAGGCGCTCTACCCGGCGAACGTTTCGACGCCAATCAACAATGTAACTATAAAATTCACCAAGCCATTCGACTATTCATTCACCCTTATTTGCTTTAGGTATGTTAAAATACGGCAAGGGTAGCAAACATTCCACGCAGCAACCTCTAAACGACGTATGTAGAGACTTGCATTGCGAAAGGGAGAGGTACACTTGGACTTCTCATCCAGCACTAGAAGGCACGATTTGCGGTAACAGCATGGTGTGTATTCCTATTAATAATACGTAGATTGGGGTTCATTATCAAATTTTACAGTGGTGCAGAGGGGGTAAATGCATCCTTAAAAGCTCGCCGATCTCTTCTGCTTACACAGCGCAAGAATCGTCGTCTGCCAGACTTGGGCAAATACACGGGGGATGGAGCAAGTGGAAGCATTCCAGCGACTGCGCTTCCGGCTGCCTCTTCAGCGAGGAAGGTAGATTAAGATCAGGCAGCACAGGTATAATGGTCGCCGAGAGAACCTGCAACAATCCTAGGTACTAATATCGAAATTCAATTACGTTTGTAACAATCTCAAATTTGCTCTCGTAGACCTCAAGGAGCCGGTTCGGATTGCGAAGGCCCGTCGACGAGGCGCAACACCTGCGTGGCCGAGCAATGCTCGAACGTGCCCAAGATGACTATAAGGGAGTTCGCCGATCAGATTTGCACGAGAGCGAAGGAAGTGGACGCCGATTTGACCGGCACCGGGATGCAAAAAATCAGCTCCGACGGTAAGAAATACTGTTAATTACCTGCTGTATTTCTAATAGGATTTACCGCTACAGCCGAGGAGGCGTGCGTGGTGTGGTGTCAAAAGCGCAACGGCAGCACCAGGAGTCGCGGCTGGACCTTCCCCGACGGAACGGCCTGCCAGATGCGGAGGAACCGCTACGGCAAAGCGAGCTATTGCATCAAGGGCAAGTAAATTAGAACTAGATGTAAACGAGTTGTTGCTATCCTGGTCTTCTACAGGGAAATGCGAGGAGTTCGTCTGCGATCCGCTGGAAGAAGCAGCGTTTGCTCTATCCCCGGATCTTTGTCCCATCGATAGGTACGATAACGAGTTGAATTGGAGAACCGGCTTGAGAAGAAGGGAAGGCGCAATCAGATGGAAAAGCGCCAGCGGTTGTCACTACAACTGCATTTCCCCTGGGTCTGGTATCAGGTTGGTGAAGAATAAAAAGTACGGCAGATCGAGCATACAGTTATGTCAACCGGAGAAGTTTGTATGTTGTATTTGTTAATTTCTTCAAGTTCTATAACGATTATTTTAGGGATGTAGTCGAGTGAAATCGCCGTTTCAATACGCTTCTATGGTTTGCTCGAAATACAAAGAAAGGGTTAGGAGATTGTCGGGACTCGGAATGCAAATTTCACCGGCGATAGGTAACCAATTTGATGAGTTGATTCGATTTCATATAAATTTCTTATTGCAGAGGATCCGGACAGATCCTGCCGAGTGGCTTGTCAGGACGATTTCATATCTCACAGATTCTATTTAGTTAATGGAGAAGACGGCTGGTTTCCGTTCGGTACAGACTGTTCCAAAGGAATGGCGTCCAATAAAAAAGCAACTTGCGTCAGCGGGAAATGTTTGGTAATTTAGTCGATGTTCCTATTGTTTAGCATCTTAATATTTTCGATGGGTTTCAGGAGTTCGGGGAGGACGATACGCCGTTGTCTCAAAGCGAGTTTACGCTCGCTTTGCTGTCGAGAGCGAAACGTTCGCTATTCAACGACGGCTCGGCCAAAATAAGAATGGAACTCAATCAGACGGAATTGGAGGAAATAATAAAAGATTTGCGAAGGGCATTAAAGGGAAATTACCGCTCGACTGCGCCGCACAAATACGCTGTAGACTTCGATAATCCGATTCACATCGATATGAATTCGGAAAGGGATCTTTCCGGAAACGACTTTTTCGATGAAGATTTTAACGATCATACGTGGTTCTGAAGTGGTGTATTTAATCGAGAAGTCCTTGTGGTTTGTATTAGTGATAGGTAGATGGAATTAGTTTTGAATAAATAAAGGCTACAGGAACTATTTTTTATTAAATATTCACAAGAATCTTAAAGAATATTTATACGAATCACTTTTAGGAAACATTTCGCAGTAGCGAAAGCTGTTTCCAATATGCTTCCTTTATCTTCTGAACAATTTGCGTATAGTTCTGCTGCAAGGACTCCGTCGGTCATAATTTGTCCTATTTTCTTCACGATTGCATCATGTTGGAGTTTGCCGTCTTTAACGAATCCGTGCTTCAAGGCGACGCATAAAACGTGCTCTTTTAGTTTTTGGTCGTCAACGTAGTCGAATTTTCGGGCTCTCTCCAACACAGAGGCATCCACGCCGGTTTGTTTGACACAGTCATGTCTTATCCTGTCGAGCAGTATTGGTTTTTTGTCGGTTGAAAGTTCCGCTAGCTAAAAGAAATGACCAGAAACAAGACTTTTATTTAAGAAATCTATAGTATTTCTACTTGTTGGTATAGAGAATTCAATTTGACTTACTTGGAGACAACAGACGCTGAAAACAAATAAAGAAAACCCAATGCACTTCATTTTTTTTTAGTTGAAAATTAAACGCTTGATTAAAGTTCAATACTGGAAGTGTTCTACAAAATTGTTCTCATTTATACTTGTCAAAAGAAAATGGAGCAAAAAGCTAAACCGATATCGTATCTTCGGATATCGATCGGGTTCATAATCAACGGATACCGATATCGATCGTATCAACGGATGTTAATATCATTTTGCAAATTAAATTGTTTTTCTTCTAAGTAGAATAAGGAAACAATTCCTTTAGTCTAACGGATTATGCGCTAATTAATTGTAAGAAAAATTAAGAGAACCATCAGGGTTTGAGTTAAAGCTAGGGAGGCCACATCAAAATCTTATCAGCAGCTAGTTGTCCCTTCACCGAGATATTTTTCAGTGTCGGATTTAATAATTTTAGCAAAATAAAATCCTTCTGCTACCCTCTACCTAACATCTATGACTATTAATCGTTTTAGTAGATAAAATTCTTGAAATATAGATGAATAAATAAAGGCTTCAGGACGACGATTTATTAGACGAGCACACAATGTATGGCATGATTCCATAATCTTAAATAATCGGTATAGGAGCAGTTTTTAAGAAACATTGCGCAGTGAAAAATACTGTATCCAATATGTTTCCTTGATCCTTAGAACACTTTGCGTATAGTTTTGATGCCAGGCCTTCATCTTCCAGAAATAGTCCCACTTTCTTTATGATTTGTTGCTGTTGAAGTTCGCCATCCTTGACGAACTGGTGCTTCATGGCAACGCATAGAATGTGCTCTTTTAGTTTTTGGTCGTCGACGAAATCTCTTTTTCGGGCCCTTTCCAACACTGTGGAGTCCACACCGGTTTCTTGGAGACAAGCACCTCGCCTTTCGTCGAGTAATTTTATTTGTTCGACGGTTAAAAGTTCTGCTAGCTGGAAGAGATGAGCAGAAACAAGACTTTTATTTAAGGAATTTATAATGTTTTGAACAAAAAAAATGTATGTGTATTTTCTACTTGAAGGTACAAGGAATAGTTGAATTCAATTTTACTCACCTGAAGGCAACAGACGCTGATAAGAAACAAAGAAAACCTAACGCACTTCATTTTCTTTACTGCAAAACTAAACACTTGATTATGGTTCACTACTGTGAGTGTTCTGAAATATGGTTCTCATTTAAACCTATTGATAGTTCAAAAAAATCGAACAAAAACTAAACGTGTTATCATTCATATTTAAATATACAAGAATAATATTTGGTAATTTAATTGTTTACATAGGTATACAGAGATACACTGAGAAAAAAGATCCATTCGTACGGATTTATGTTCCAATTTATTGTAAAAAAATAAGAAAAAGTCCGTTTTTTCTTGAAAAATTGACACGTTGACCTATTAAAACGACGAATAGAGTCTAATTGCGTTCAATAGTACCTAATTAGCATAGAGTAATTAATAAAATAAGTATATGTTTACTTGCGAAAATATACCAATTCGAAGAGAAAATTGCATGCTTTCAAGAATGTAGTGGCAAAAACTCGACTAACATACCTAAAAAAACGTTAAAAAACTAATTAAATGAAAAATTGAAAAACTTCAAGAGAAGTTGTTTTTCAGTCTAGTTTATGGAATAATTTTAAGCAATTAGAAAAATTTTGATAAATTTTCTAATACGTTTTTAATATCTTTACCTTAATAGTGTCTAACATTTTTTAATACAAGTATCTACCTATACATACATAAACATTAAGAAAATCACAAAGAAAATGAATTGGAAAATGAAGTTAAAAAATGAAATAAAAAACAAAAAATTGGCGATATATAAAATGATATACATATGTATTAATTCCATAAAGGATGTTATAAAAACTTAATTTAAGAAACATTAAAAATTTTAGTACCAAATACATAAAAGTTAAACAAGATCTATGTATGTATAAAAATAACGATATTACATATATTTCTCACGAATTTGTATATTTTTTATAAATATCGAATTAAGCCCTAGGTATACGCTAAACCTACTTTTTCTTAAAGTTAGAGTTTTTTAACAATGTGACGAAATACATAGCTATATTTTTTGGAAATGATGCATTTTAGTTTCTATTTTATAATGTGATTATGTTAATCTAAATTAGTGGTGATTTTCCATTTTTGCGCATGGTATGTGTATATCTAAATAGTATAGTCAAATGTTGAAGTGAAACTTATATAAAGTGATATTTTTGCACTGCGTTTTCCACTGTTTATTTAGTTGAAAACTGAATTGAAATGAATTGAATGTCATAAGTATAAAAACATTTATAAACATTTGTAAATGTGCATGGGAAACACGGATATTGTTCTTAAATTGATAAGGCAACCAACAAATTATTGTTAAATGTTAAGTGCGATTATAATAATTAATTTTACATCGATCTAAATAAAGACTTGTTGTATATTGTAATCATTTCTGAATTATTAGATGTCGGTAATTTCAGTGAAAAATAGTGATGAAAATCTCAAGACAATTTTATCACTATGTAGAAACTAAATGGATCAAATTGAAAGGGAATTATAGCCTTCACAACATTGCAAATATCGCGAAAATTGTCAAAAATTTTAATCACAATGCTTATAGGGTAGGTTCAAAGGCAACAGTAACATTATATCACCTTATATTTATCTCTACCAGGAAATATTTTCTTTTCTAAGTTCTTTCATTCATATTAAACTTTCTCTATACTTAAATTCAAATACCTCCAAGATATTTTGTCAAATTCTCCTTTTAAAGTATCAGTTTTGTGTTTTTCTTCTAGAGGTTTGGTGAAACTTTTAGTTTCTCTGCATATAAAAAATACCAGTCGAGAGAAAAGTTTTTGCTGAGTTTCTGCTTGAATTTTGGGAATTATAGTATGTATGTAAACAAACGAAATTTTTTAAAACATTTATTTATTATATTAAAATTGAATTTTAATAAACATCTCATTAATAGGTAAACTGAAGGTTTGCAACTATCACCAATCCCTTGCGATTATTTGAACAAACTAAATGACAGCAACATGTGTGTTACTTATGTAACATTGCGCAATCGCAAATACAGTTTCCAACAGGGAGCCTTTATCCTGAATGCACTTGTCGTAGAGTTGCTGGGTCAAATCGGCATCTCCCAGGATGGCGGTTACTTGTGTCATGACCACATCCTTCTGGACTACACCATCCTTGATGAAATTGTGCTTCTCGCCCACGCACAGAATGTGCTGCTTCAATTTGGCGTCGTTGGCGAAATTGCCTTTTCGGGCTTCTGCTAACACAGTGGCATCCACGCCGGTTTCTTTGACGCATTCATCGCGTTTCTCGTTGATTCTTTTCTGTTGCTCATCGGTCAAGAGCTCCACTAACTGGAAGAGAGTAGGATATTTTAATGGTCAAATAATTTACTAGCTGTATCACATGTTTATGCTGATGGTATTTCAGCTAACTATGCGTTAAATGTGAGTGGAATTGAGTGTCCCATGACTCGATGGTCGTAGCTTTTAGGAGGGTATTTTCTTGGTCAATTTTAAGTCGAAAAAGTCAATACTTAAGGAATTATGAGCGATAAATATTGGTCTTTATTGGCATACAAGAAATTATTCTAGTATTGGAAGAGGATGTCTTGTTTCCTGGCCTCCGAGATCGCCAGAGCTAATACCTCTGGACTATTATCTTTGGGGACATCTGAACAGTTTAGTGTGTTTAAATTCACCACAAAACAGAGATGCTCTTCATAGAGTTACATCTTCAATTGTCAGAAGATCAAGAAAGTGTTGCAAAGCAGGAGGAAGTTATTTTGAACAGTAAAATTTAAATAACCAATAAAAAACTATTATGGAATAAATATTACACTCCCTTAGTCGACTGCATCTATTGAATTTTGTTAATACTAATAATGTAAATATTGGCTTTTCGACAAAAGTGTACAAAAGGTACTTAAAATTGGTCAAGTAGTTCCTTCCTAAGCTATATCCATATAGTCATTGGACACCCTTTATAACTGTAGAATAATTAAAATTAATATTACTCACCTGGAGGTAACAGATGCTGATGATGACCAAAGAAAACAAAACTTGCTTCATATTTCTAGTTGAATATGTTGTTATTTGCAATATGATATTAAAATCACAAATGATACCTATATTTTTAATTTCGTTAGTTTATATACCCGAAAACCAAAAAAAAGTATAAAGAATCATAAAAATTACATCAATGCATAATTATTATACTACATTATACATAATTAATTATGCTACACTGAGAGAACAGTTGTCCTTTAATGTATACGATGTGTTTCAAAACAGAAATAATTTAATTAACAATCATCTCATGAGACAAAACATGCTTTAATTAGTTTTGGGTATGAAATTTTCCCAATTATTCTGTGACATTTTCTATTTGTACGTAGGGAACATCCAAAAATGTGAAGCAAATTTTTAGTGTATATTTTCTAACACTTTTTAACCATTAAATTGTTTTAGTGTATGTGATAATCTTTTTTTTATCATAATATATCATAATCATTATGTGATAATCTTTTTTTTATTATTAAATTCATATATTAGTCAAATATTATTTAAATTTTCTTAATTAATTAGATTTTTTTAAATTAAAATATTGCAATATTATTCTCGTTCAAGAACAAACCATTCTTGATGTTCAATAGCCCGGTCATAATTATTTCTAATTAAGTGTTTACTGCATAGTATAATGAATGTATTATTTGTTAATTATGTTGAAAAATAATTATTTTTGTGTGATAATCGAGTTAGGGTAGTCGGGTAAAAATAATTCAGGATCATTATGAATAAAACACAATTTTATATAACATCTATATTATATTTTTCTTTCAATAACAGTGTTTAACAATGCAATATAGTATAATCAAAATGTTTTTAGACGCATGCTTTAAGTATCTACATATATTTTTTGTAAAAACATACATAATTTGACAAATTACAGGAGTGTGAAGTTTATAATAAATATAAGGAAGTTATTATATTGGTAAGTTTTAGATGTTTAAACCAACAATAAATTTTAACTGTCCCTTTAAGCATACTTCACACTGCGTTTGCTAGGATTTGAAGACATTTTTTGTAATATTTTTCATATTTTTATTATCCAAAAAATATGGGATTTTGTATTAGTAATTTGTTGATATTTAGATTTCGAGTGGTCGTTTAGGTGCGTACAGGATAAGCCAGAAATATTGAGGTACTTCCCTCACCGGTTGTACCATTATGACAATACAACGATGATTTAAATATGAATACATTAAAAAGTACGTGAAAATATCGAACCAATTCTTAGTGCAATTTCATTCTCTCCAACTACTTATATACAATAATGTGGATAAAGAAACAACAAAAATAATTATTGACTAAAGCATAAAAAAACTACCACACCCTCTCGACAGTTTATTTAACATAATTCGAATTTATTACAAAAAAAATAAATCCACCTTTATGATTATTTCAATTTCAACAAACAACACATTAATATATCGTATAATAATATAAATTATTTTAATTTCAACGCCATTTAATTCAATAATTATTTCTGCTCGCAAAACTAATTAATATTTATTTTTATAATTTATTTATCTATAATAATGCGTCTATTCCGGATCGAATTTTTCAACGTTAGGTACTAATTTATCACTACGTACTTGATTCGTTTGTATTAATTCGCTATTCGTCGTCGGTGTCGCCTTCGCTCGAATAATCCTGTATGGGAAGAGGCCTTAAGAACGGCGCAGACGTCATCTGCCTAAAAAACAACCAGTTAAATAAGAATTTAACGAACAAAAATTGATAGTATCGAATAATTTTCTACGTATAGTACTTACGATAACCTTCTGTAATGGTTCAACCATTCTTCAACCATTTGAGCAACCAATAACGGCCTCTTATGTAACGTTTGCTGCGCTACCAATATCCCGTTCTCCGTCTCGCAAACGTCCAGCCATTGACGTAAAATAGCTTCCTCTCTTCCCATCTGAAACGACGTACGTTTAGCATCGTACGATTACACTGAATCAACCCAACTCACCTCGGATTCGGTGAGAAAATGTATAGGTAAAATCTTCCTCTCCCTGTCCATCAACGGCAAGAAAGTGCTCCTCAAATGATCGGCATCGACGATGTTGCTGTGCTCGAGCGGCGATCTGGAATCTATTCGACTGTACGGCTCGATCGGCACCAAAGCCGAGAAGTGACCTCTCGTATAACCGAGAGCTATCGGGGTACGTATGCAGAAACTCTGCTCCCACAACAACGGCAAATAGACGCCTGTAGAAAGAAACTCGTGAAGGTTCAACGATTAAAGTTTTATAGGATTGTCTTACCTTCGAAGCGCGCGAATCCGATGGCTTCACCACGGAAACTCTTTACGTATTTAACACCGTAAACGATGATAGGTCGACGAAGCACGTGAGCCAAAGCGAAAACGTGTAATTGTTCTAAACTGGTACCAGGTTGGCTGGCCAACGACAACAAACTAGTCCAATCTTCCTCCCATTGCTCCTCCTCCAATGAATATTGAAGAAATGAAGCGTGACTGGATTCGTATTCCTTCCATCTCGGATAAAACCTAACAAAACAAAACCATTTTAATGTCATTCGCAAACACTCGAAATCCAACTTACATGTGTCCCCCTTGTCCCAGACTCTCCGCCAGGGCTCTACGAAGCATATTGTCTCTATCGAAGACGCCCCAAGTCGCCTGCATGACCGAATCCAGCAAGCAATCGCCCGCCGATCGGTTCCACAGCGCGTACAATCTCGAGCCCAATCGCACAGTGATGTCCAAGGACCAATTTATCACGGCCGGATCGCCTTCGAGCTGCTCCTGGGCGTCTTTGTCTAGCAACTCGTTGAACAGCTGCTCTTGAACGGTCGTGGGAAGTTCGTCCACTTCTGTAGACAATTATATAGAGAAATAGTGTTGGAAATTGGAGGCGACGTTCTTACCGGCCGGTAGAGTAAAAGTGGGAAATTCGGTGACGAAATTACAAGGAAAATTCGATTTTCTCGAACGTACGGTCGAAGCAAAGTGCCTTCTAATGTCAGCTGCAATATCAGGGGCGACGTAGCTCGGGACGCGCTTCACGCCCGATCCGGAGCCTTCTATTTGGGAGAGAAGAACGGCCAGCAGATCTTCCCTTTGGAATCTGAAACGACTTCGATATATACATTCGAACAAGGAGCGGCGGCCGGTCTCACCTTATAGCTAAATGTACCAGGGTGTGTCCGACGTCGAAGGCCGAACTTCTGTTCAAAATGGCCACCTCCGAAGCCGTCAAAGTACGGGCCGGATCGCCGCCGGACGAAAGGTACGCCTCCACCGGATTGGGGTCCCCGTCGATGACGCCCACGCAGGCGTTCAGCCAGCGCCAGTCCGCGTGGCGACGCAGGTGCCTCAACTTGCGGTCCCCGTCGAGGTTGTTCGGGCTTTGACAGGAATCTATCGATAAATTCGGCGCGATTAATGTACAGGAGATGATCGGTCGATAAGTTATATATACCTAAAATGTAGTCCGTGAGCCTGTCGTCTTTAGTGAGGTCGGAGGCGCGGTCGAGCTCGCGATGCTCGAGCGATGGCGACGGGATGATGAGACTAGATGCCGGAGACCGTTGGATGTTCGATCCGCACATGGCGCATTTCTGGGATCTCGGCCAGTTTTCGTACGTACAAGTCTGCAACAATTACAATTACAACATCTATATTCTACTGGAACTACATCTAATCTTACCGGACATATCCATTTGGATTGAGAAGACCTGCGCGAGTTTTCTATGTTGGTCAAACTGGCGGGCGGGCTGTTGTTCCTCGATCGAGACAGGCTCTGGGCTAAATCGGAGTTCGGAGTGATCCTCAACGGAGGCAGGTGTTCGTGGAGGTTTTGATCGGACAACGAAGCGGCGCCGCAAACGATACAAATTCCGGATAGATTGTAAGTACATTTCACGCATTTGGTTCGGTTTTCCACCGGCCCTGCGGCCGTTCCGATGGTCGAGCAAAACTTTTCTTCTACGTTGGTTTGTTCTCCGTGTAACCTAAAAACGACGGATCTTCAACGAAGGCTGCGAGCGGTCGGGTTTACACTCACCTGTAAATATCTTCGTTGACGAAGGGCTTGGGGCCCCTACACATGGTGCATTTGATAGCGGAAGGGTAATTTTCGTACGTGCAATACTCGCAGGCCCATTTCTTATCGGAGTCGCTCATTTTTTATGAGGGCGAGGGCGAGAGGGAAGGGGAATCGTTTCGTTTCGGGCGCGACTAGTTCAAGCTCGTCATGAATTTACCATACTTAATAGCTTTTCGATGGATTGTTTGTTGTCGCACACAAACCAGAAAGCAATGTTGAATTATCTAGTGGAACATTATCGAATTGATGCCTGTAACAAATACAACAGTTTGAGCTAAATATAAAACGGTGCATCTTAACTGGGCAACTCAAAAGAATGAGACCAACAATTCTAAAAACCATTACATTCCAATGAAAATTAGACAACGTTTCTGAAGACATAACAGTATAACAGGAACATTATCTTCGCTTTCTCTGTTATAGCAATTGATTCTTAATTTTGTGCTCATTTTTTCGACCATTGGAATATTCCTCTCCAAGCTAGAAATATTTCATTAAATATCTTTAAAAGCGTTTTAGCGATTTTAGTCGAAGATAAACAACGTATTTATTCGCCAATTTAAAACATTAAAATTGGCATGAGTTGTTACTTGTATAGGATGCACTGCCAATGTCAATTAAAAATACATCGAAAGAGTTTCCATTAGATGTGAATTTAATAATAATATGAGGAGCACGAATCGAACTAGTTGCGATAACATTTGGCAACGAACAAAAAGGTTCAGTTCTCCTAACGTCTACTCTTACCTTTAATAACAGGGTCATAAATCCGAAGGAGGCACAATGATAGAATTTTCTTGTCGATTCAAAAACAAACAATTTAGATACCATTTGTACGAAACACTGCACTAAAACAACAATTATTATTATTTAGATGTCAATAATGCGATTAACTCGTATATATTTTGACAAACTGCTTATTTATATCCTCTATTTTGTTTTCCTTTTGCATCGAAACGAAAGTGGGTAAGTGAAATGTCATTACTGTCAAAATTGCAGATCTCTGCGTTATCGACTCAACATTCTTCTTTCACGTTCAAAAGTAGCTAGTAAATTAAAAGATAACAGACCTTTTTTAATATACCCAGATCCAATATCGCGGCAAAGGATTAAAGTTTAAAATAAGAAATTTTAAAAATCCTCCCAAAAGTTGATAAATTACTACTAGACGAATTTTTTTGCTTTATTTGTTCTCTTTGTATACAATAATTAAGTATCCTATTCAAAATCTTATTATTATCTGGAGTAATTTAAATACGCTAAACAAATTTTTTTATGCCGTAAGTCGTATTCAAAATGTAGAAATTCCTCTCCGGCTCTTCCTGAGTAGCCATATAATCTCGTTTTTGTTCGCAATTATCTTTAATGGAGGGTTTCAAAGGAGGAGAGAGGCTCATGGAAAATTAAACTTGTTAATAAATTTTAATGTTATGAAGGGCTGCTTTGATTACTAATCAACGGGATTACTTAAGGGTTCATCATCCGCTTTTTAGGGATGATGGATGCGCCCGAAAAAACCCGGATTGTTTCACGTTTGATTACCTAGAAAGAACATGCATTGATTTGTATCTGATACAAAATTAATTAGATTAATAAAGTTTGTTCGCAGTTACAGCGCGTTTTTAGTGAGATAATCCTTGAACAAGCTCGCTTACATCCTTTTTTTTTCAACGCTTGTGGTGTAAAAATTCCAGCGTTGAAGTCTACATAGCCCAGCAAACGGCCCGAGTCGAGTGCCGTAACAACGTGCCTGTCAGTTCCGTCTACGCAGGACTCCGAAAGGATACGTGTCGTTCTCAAAGGACATTTACCCAGTGCCAGTGCCAGGATTCGAATCGAATAACTAACCTCAAATAATTTCCAAAATCACATGATACTCTTACTTGTCTGATTGGCCAACGCGGAAACGTTTTTGCTTTTAAAAATATTGTGCTGTGCTTTGTCGATTTGAATTAAATGTTAGGATGCTGCTAAAAAAGAAAACGGTAAATTCGAGTTTGGTTTATTTTTTCGCTTAATTTTTGGATTGGCTTTGCTTTTTTATTTTTGCTTATTTTTTTTTTTGGTTAAAATGCCGCTTAAATTTTAAAATGTTTAGATAGGTATTAGACTATTTAGAAGAAATAGTAGATTACCAAACGAATCACCGAAGAAACAATTTATTTTTAATTTTTTTTTGGTTATTAAATACCAATAATTATGAAATTCTTATTTATCATAAAATAATTAAATATGTATATTTCTTATTTATTTACACCACACTAGTGTCAAAAAATTAACCTTTTGAAAATAATCCTTTATCCATTTATCGTCACTAAAATAATATTTTATTAATGTTCGAAATTTAAAGAATATAGGTTGAATTATTAAAACAAATTGATTGATTCTGACACGAACAGAAATATTATTTCCTATAATTATTTAGAGAAATATTAAAGAAATTAAAACAGTACATACAAAATTCAATATATCAAGGAGAAAATTGTCCAATTATTTTAATAATATATGGAAGCTACAATAAATAAAATTAAAAAAAATAACGAGATAAAATAAATATATTCACCCTTTACTTACCGGATTATATCGAATTGAAAATTGAAAGCTGGGAAAAACTTGTCATGATGTCAACACCATTAATTACTTATGCTATTTATTCATTACTAGGCTGATAATTTAACGAACACAATCGGGAGGTATTCACATTTCACGTTTTAACACCTGTAAATTATTTAGTTTACCTCTTGGGAAAAGCGGTTACGTAGATGCCTTTAAATTTTCACATCGCCACAGGTATTTCCTATTAACAAATTAAGTGGTAAATTATTCAGCATAATTGTACTCAAAATACATAAATCATTTTTAGAGTATCTATACAGGTGCATTTTTAATAAAACATCGATCCTGATTTGATTTTCGTTGCTCTTGTGAATTTACATTACCCAGGGATAATAGAATATTTCACATGGTAGGTATGGGTAATTAAATTATAATTTGGTCGATTATTAATAATAATAATATACTCTTTAGTGCGTGTATAACATGCGTTTATGACTGGTTTATGATGTTTCCAAAATGGGAAATTTTGAAGTGTGTTGGGTATAGATAGACAATAAAATTACTTTCATATTCGATGTTCGATTTATCTCGAAATAACCCGATTTTTATCCCCTAAACCTTCATAAAACGTTGCTGCAGAGCAATAAAATAGTTCTTTATCTTCTACGCGTAGTCATTTTCATTACTAACACAAACATTTCGTAATTAAAGGCGACTGCAAAAGGCAATATACCGTGCCTTTACTGCAAATATTTATACCTGAACGATTGGAAAAATTACTGGAAACATCCAAGTTTTTAATAATTGTATAGGTATAAAATCTATATTAAAAATGCGTGCGAAATTCGAGAAGAATAGTGAAAAACATTGTGAATGCTTAAATACACACATGTAACTGGAGCAAATAATGCTACTGTTTGCTATTAAAAAATCAATAGGACTGGAAAAAAAGATGTGTTTTGCGCGTTCAACGTGTACATAATCGATTGATTAATAAATTTACCGATGCATTGCAACGAACGTTGTTATTAGAATGTTTTATTTGAGAAAAATATTTACCGGCGAATAAAAAATCCATCTGGTTTTAGCGAAAAAAATGTATTTTCAGCACCGTTGGAAAAAATAAATTATTAAAAGTTACTCTCTCTATAAATATGCATAGACGCCACATTATACAAAAACGGCGCCTCGACGACGATGAGATATTTAGAATTTTTTCATCCCCGATCTGCTCCCTTGGGATTATTTTATTGAGAGAGCATTCAAGAGGCACACGTTGCTAAAATCTCATTACAGACGGAAAAAACGCGTCCGCGAATACCTTAATGGAAAATTTTAAAAAAATTAGCCGGCACGAAATTTTCCACGACCCCCGAGCGAAATCCGAAATCCTCGCCTAACGAAAACAATTAAAAACTCCGATTACAGCAATCAAAAACATGAAACAGAGCGGTACAAATTCAATAATCAACTACGAAAATTAGGTTTGTTACGCATTCGCAAATGAAACATTCAAAATCGCCGGGCGCGCTCCGTGTTTTTCCGGCATTTTTGCCAAGGGTTTCTTTTTTCTAGTGTCGCCACGAGAAAATCGCGTGCTTTCCTCGAGGGTTACAAAACGCGTTTATATAATTTTAATAAGTAAAGTTCCACTGGGAAATTAACCAATTAAATTCGCTCGTTACGCGCGAATGACACGCTCTCTATCGAGATAATTAAATTTTAATTGGTAGGAAAAAAATATTGAGGATCCTTCTAGCTTTGATGTGAAAATCAAGCGATCAAAGCAAATAGTCGGTGGATTTGTCTCGTAAAAATAATTACTCGTATTATTGTGCTTTAGAACGATCGGATTTAATAGATTTTCAGTTTAATGGGAAAAGTTGTGCGGGAATTCCTATTTTTTATCCTATCCGAATTCTACATTATCTCCCCACTATTCGTTAATAAATATAGAGATAATGGATACCTGCATACAGTTTATTCTCAAACAATCCGGGTTCTGCTCTACACCTGTTGAGACTGGTGGGTAAACGGGGCTAAGTTTGAGTGGTAGAAATGTACTTCTACAGATCAATACAAATGTACTATACAATATCCAAACAAGTATTTCTCGCAGGATTGTGCATTTAAAAGATGTTGAATAGAGAGTTGGTTTATTTGTATCGAGAAAAAGTAATATCGATACACAAAAGAATAATCTATTTGTTTTGCTGTTTATAATAAACTTGCCCCACTTGCACCTATCTTCCAATTAGTGACCAAAATTCCAAATTTCTGCTTTATTGTGGTAATCTATCTGTATAGTAGCAAATGTACTGTGTACCTTTTCACCGCTTGTGGAAAATCTGCGGCTATGATGGTATGTGTGTGTATATTCACGAATGTGTAATGAATAGATAACAAATCCTTTGTATTCGAGTATTCGACAAATTCGAAATAGGGCCGAGTGGAATTGAGTTAATAAAACCGTGCTTATTGATAAAAATTGGTGCTTCAAAGAAAAAGTTAATAGCTATTTCGGGAATTTTTGATACCGGTCAATAAATTTCCTAAAAATAGTTTCTGTTGGTATACAAAACATATCAATTATATTCCTATAGTATAAATACATGTGCTGAAGAGTATTTAGAAAATGCCAAAAATTTAATAAACCTTTAATTCGAAATAATTCGTGATTGTACAATTCAAATTTTCACCGAAAAATGCATTGGCGGTGTTCCTGACAACATATTGATAAATTACACTACAACAGAATCATTAATTTTCCAATTTTTTGTATAATTAAACGCATGCCCAAACCATTATGGACTTTCAATTGCAACATTAACCTTGACCAAGAATCATTATCCACGAAATTAAACCACCCCTTTCTCCATTTAAAAATAACTTGAGTAATAACCATTAACCCGCAAGTGAGGCATTCTTCCTCATCAAACATCAACGTTTTTAATAGCCATTTAATTAGCTGATAGCGATATCTTATCATTTATCATTTTTACCAATCCGCTGGGCAATTTGTTCCTATTTTCCGTGTTGTTTAGCTGACCTGGATTTTCATTCGGGAACAATCCATTTAAAAGGAATGCGAATTAATTATAGGGTGAAGTCTTTTATAAAAAAATATTGCCATTTTAGAATTATGTAGGATTCAAATCGTTAATTATTTATTGGCTTTTGTAAATAATTAACAGAGGCTAAAAATACTGGATTGATTTCAGTAAATTTATTATTAATATCGGGAATATTCTAAAACCAGAAGAGCACTGGTAACTAACTAAATATTTAATTTTGCAGTCAAGCAAATCGATTGAGTGAACAATGGATTTAAAAGAAGCCAAAGTAAGCATAAACTATATGTAGTAAAATTTTCATTTTTATATCCACAAAGTATACTATATTTCTATTTGGGTATACACAATCTCCTAACGTATTTTATTGAATTTACTAACAAAGGGAACCGGTGAAACCACGTTTCGTTGAGTTCGTCTGGAATCTTTTCCGCTTCATGGCATATACTGCGGCAATTTATCGCCGCATCTACCAGGAAACTCTGGTTTTTCATTCGCTTAGAGTACGTAGGTAATTTCGAAAGGAAATTAAATTCCGAATCAATCACAATTATCTACAAATTAAGCGAGTTTGTAGGCGCTTGAAAACACGTTGAAAATTAAAGTTGCTATAGTAAGTAAACTGTTGGAGTGGAGGAATAGATGACTATCATAAATATTTGATTATTATCGAACACGTTTTACCAAATCCAAGTTAAATCCAACATTTAACGCTATTTTTAATTTTATATTCTGTTTGAACGCGCCCGTTGGAAAGGGCAGGTGAAACATTTTTTTGTAATCGAAGGTTATTCCGCTGCGATCGAGAGTAATATAATCTGACAACAACTGTAATCCTATTTAATACTGACGTATACAAAATATCCTCGCTTCATCAATTAGGTATCCTTAAAAAGTTACTACACTAAAATCCCAATAAAATCGACTGAAGTGCTACGAATTATTATTTATGTAGAAAATTGCAAACGTTTCAAAATTGTCAGTATTGCTGCAGTGTTGGTATAATTACAAAATTATAGATGCTCGCGATTATTTTTCATTTGCCTGAAGTATAAGCTGGCTTCACCGTACCAAGCGATTGTTACAAGTGGAGTACCATCCATTAGTTTAGATTCCATGGCGATTTTGTAGTGGCCCAATGGAATGCTTTTCGGGAAATATTTTATGCTATCGGTTGGCCAGCAGTTGTCTAAGTGCCAGTGGCCCTAAAGATTTAACAATCAAATTTGTACAGAAGCGTAAAAAGTTTTTCTTACTTTTTTAATATCGCACAAATCCACGTCGCCGCATTTTCTCATAATGGTTCTAATCCCGTACAAATCATCCTTCCACATTTTGCACACGTTGGGCACTTTTAATTGCACTCCAGTATATTTGAAGTCGTTACTCAAAAATTTATAAAGTTTCGTGGCGCTCTGAAACAAAGCTTTGAGAAAATCAATTGCTTAATAGTTAATTTATCCATTTAAAGTCTCATATGTGCTTACCTCTATTTTTCTACCGTCCAAATCTTGCAATATCCAAATAGATACGTTTATGGCGAATTGGCTTCGGTTATATTTGAACAATTTGAAGGACGAGTTAGGGGATGCTAAATCGGTATTGTAGTAATCGATTTTTATGTTTTCTATAAGGGACTTGTAATCGGACTAAAAATTAAAATATAGAAACTTGTTTCTTCTCCTGTACCATTTTAAATTAAAATTAACTTACTGGTGAAGAACATGAATAATAGATTATTGCAATTAGAATAGCTACTCTTAAAATAATCATTTTTTATAATAATAATGAAACTGTTAAGTATGTAAAATAATAACAAAAAATAAATTGATTTAAAGTTTATATATTTGTGTAAAAGTAAAAAGATGGTGGCTATAAATTCAGTAACGGGATTATAAAAAATTTAGTTCGAAGAAATCAGTTTATGCAGAACCCAAAGAAATATGGAACACTCATAATTATTTGTTAATAACAGTTTAATAAGAATAATAAATAAAACAATTCAATCAAATATAATAAATTGTGTCGCTTAAAATATGTTAGGGATATTAGCCACAATATTTAATGATTGTTGAAGATTCATGATAAGTAATAAATTTATTAGATATGATTGAAAATGTAAAATACCTCCACATCCTGTCTGATTCTGTATTATAATTAATTTACTGTGACCACATAAATACGTACATATTTAATTATGCCTACCTACATACTATTATTATTTAGTGAAATGGTAGGTATTTATAGAATTAATAAAATTCAACTTTTATTCAATTTGCAATTAGTTTCTAATTTTTCAGGAAAATTATGTATCCCTGAAAACATTAGAAACATAGACGACAGAATAAAACTATTGTAAGTAAAGCATAACTTGTTTTATTAGTGTAATTTCTTAGTAAGTACTTTATAAACTTTCATATTTCATTATTTTTCCGATTAATTTTTTCCAGTCTGCAACCGCGAGAATATTAATATTCCGCTCTGGTTTTGTGCATTAATTTAATATAATTGATTCAATTAAAACAAATCCATATGTACATATATCAACACGGGCTATTTTACACAAAATTTCATCAATATTCATGAATCGATTATTACTACATTTACAATTCAATTCGGAAGTATGCAAAATATAATTGACCAAAAATCAACTGAAATGAAAGACTTAATTTAATAATAGTTTTCGAATATCTGTTATTCTTAATAATTGGCATTATTTATTATTTTTTGATATAAGAGTATTGAAAATATGGGAGGCATTTCCATGCATCAAGGGAAATCAAATTAATTCTATAATGCAATTTCAAATTGACGCATTTTCAGCAATAGCTTTTAATCGACATCAAATCAAACTGTAGATATCAAATCAAAGAGGAAATATTCGGCAGCAATACGTTGAGAGAGCTTAAAGGATATTGACTTTCGCACCTGCCGGCAAAGCTGTATTTAATTTGGTTTCAGGACGGATTTCGAAGGATCTTATTATATGAACGATTCGAGTTTTCATTTCAGTCAGATTTATTCTTTATGTTGGAAATACAAATACTCTCAATTACCGACGGCACAAAAATATTCTTGTTAGATAATAATTACACCTACTCTGTCAATATTCCTGCAGGATTTACGGTGAATAATAAAATATTACTTTAATTTAAAAAGCTTAAATAAGTTTTTCGTTTTCATATTTCGGACGATTGTGAGCCTGAGTAATGCGTCTCGTATGATATACTTTAGTAAATTAGAATTTGAGAATAGCAGCTGTGCCGTGTATTATTTATTTGACATGAAATTCCGGCTCAAAACATGCCAGAATGCCGGAATATAAAACGTACAAAAGACGCGAATGTAAAGAAATTCGCAGGATTTTCTGCTGAGCAAACTTTGCAAGCCTTATACAGCACCGATATGAGGGCTTTATAAATGCCATTCGATTGTTATTTAAACGTTTCGAGTTTGGAAAAAATCTGATTCGATCGGGAAAGTGTATGGCGGGTGAAAAATTTGGTTAGAAATTGTGAAGATTGTTATCAAAACAGTGATGCTTTCGAATGAAATTTTCAACAGCTATGAATTTTTGTGGCGCATATTTGAGTTTCCATCTTGCGGGGTAATCGATGAAAAGAAAGTTTAGGAGTCTCGTCCGAAAAATTGGTCTCGGTCAGGCCTTGGAAACTAATCGATTTTAAACAAAGGTGTTGAACTTCGTGGAATTTCCAGCGGGTCAGCGCTAGTTTTTTATTCATCGAGCGTGATGAGATTTCCAAGAAAATTGCCCTACACAGTTCTATTTACGTTGTTACCGGAGGTACACAACCAATATTTTTTTAATAAAAATCTAAAATTTTTATTCCGTTAGTTCCTCTAAAAAATAGGTATGTATCTAAAACGGGAAGTTAAAAGTTCCTTGATATTACTTGCGGAGAATTCAAAAGGCGCCTGTCACAGCTGTCTTTTGTTGTAAACTAAATAGTTATTTTTAGAATTTGCGCTTTCAGAAGCATTTTTCTTGCATAAAGTTGGGTCTGCCGCTTTGTTGCGCGATGATAACGATTTACTTTACATATACAGCGAAGGAGAAAAAAACTGCTATATTCCAAAAGGCGTTCCATGCAAGATAAAATAATCTGATAATTCCATTTAAAAAGAACGATAACTGAAGTGAAAGTGGAATTAATCAAGCAAATAGAATAACACTTTTAAATCGATGAATCGAGGGAGAAATAAGTGAAGATGAAGACAACTTCAATCCAAAGAAAATCAAATTAATCTATTAAAGTCTACTGATTAAGTTAAAGAAGACAAATCCTTATGGATTTCCTAAATAATAATTACCTTCTTTTAGCGTTTAGTTCAAGCGCCCTATTTACTAAAATTGATGTTAAATCTTGTGAAAGTTTCTTGGAATAGAATTTTTTGCTCGTAATGGATTAAACTGACGACGCTACTGAACAAAGTAGATACGGAACTTCCTAGCAATTTGTGGTTCACGAAAAAAATGAATCGATAAATCGAAGTCTGAAACTATTATTCCATTCCCGTCTTCTTATCTGGTTTTCCGGGCCCGTTTAAGTTCTTTGAATTAAATATGATCGAGCGATTGAAAAAGCGTGTTTACCAGGCCGTCCACGAGAAACGGTTAATTTTAGTTGAGCTTTCAAAGAAAAAAATATCGAATGAACAAACGACTTAATTATGTAGCGAATCTTGAAGGGTTGTAAAAAATAATTGAATATTAATTACGCCACTTTGAATTTCAAGTTTTATTGGTTCGTTAAAAACGCTTATTAAAGTTAAGTGACTCTATTTAGCTCATGCAAATGAAGGCGTACTGGTGATGTTATTACCAAAAGGTCTGAAATTTTATTTTCATAGCCTTGAATATTTTATACCGCCTTACGTGTAGAATTTAGTTGATGAAATAGAAGCACTATTTCAATTTCACTTTAATATCCGTTACTTCAAGGATAAATTTCTATACAAATTAGTGTATAATAAACGTTTATTTATGTACGTGCATGTAGGTCATCGAGTTTTGTGTATAGTTCTGATTGAATTATTCATTCCTCGTACTAAAAAAATCTAACAATCTTATAATAATATAGGAATAAAAACACCGTGAAACGTCTTCCATTATGTATTTAACTTCTCATTAACGTCTTAACGCCTCGCGACCGCCTATTTATCATAATTTTGTCATCAGATTGCTTCGCTGAGTCAAATTTCCTGCCTCATTGTCGCTACGTCTTGCACTGATGACATCGGACATTCAAATTTAGCATTAGAGCTTTATTGTTTGAGGCGCTTACGTCGTATAGTAGCGCCGTGGAAAGGTCAAAGTCGTCGAAGGAAATTGTTACAAGTCTGGTTATTTTCGCCTAGTCGGAGCTATAAAGAGGTTGTTCCTTAGAGGGAACGACCCTGCGACCTTTTCGCAATGCTCCGAGATTAGAGCGTATTATTTTCAGTTTTTACGAGTCGTATTAAATGCGAATAAAAGAAAAATAACGAACGAGAGAAGTCGGGTGGTAATTAGACGAAAACACTTGAGGTAGTCGTGAGTTGGAAGCCAAATAGAGGTGTTTCTTTTCTTTTTAGGCGTTGTATTATTAGCGTATTTAAACTGTATTCAGAAATTGCTGAATTATTCATAGATTCTGAGTTACAAACTCATGAGTAAGGAATTTACCTTACGCTCGAATTAAACCGATTGTAGTGATATATCTACAATTCGACATATATCCCTATTAACTTCTGAAGTTTTTATTTACTTTATAAGTTTAGGGATAATTATGTGCTAAGAATAGTTGGATTCTTAATACTAATGAGTAACATAAATAAATGTAGTATTTTCATTCATAAATTTAAGTAGACATGAAAATTGTTATTGATCCTGTCTGGGAAATAATATTAGAAATAATTACTTTTAATAGCTCAATTTTTAGTAAAACTGTTCCTTAAAATTAGTGGCATAATACTTCATTCTTATAATCCAAATAAACCAATTTTGTTCTTGCAGATATTAATGAAGCGATTATCCTAAAACAAGATTATGCCCCACCTGGGCAAATCTTTTCCCGAAAATTTTGGAATGGCTTTAGATGAACAACAGAAGCTATTAAACACAGGTAAGGCAATAAAGGTAATGGTACAAGAAATCGGCTAATTACAGATTTCCAATTATATTTTCAGGTCGTTCCCAGTTATCCGTCACTATAGTGGAAGTTGGAGGAACTCCCAATCCCAGCCCTCTGTCGGATCGGAGTAACGAGCAACTTCTTCAAACGCCTTTGGATTCAGGTAGATATATTACGTAGAGAGTTAATTTTCTTGAATAATTGATGGATCGAAATTGAACCCCTTCAGAGATGAAATTCTCTTTTGGAGTTTAGATACACGTCGAGACCAGAAGCATAATTCTGTTACACATGAACGGGGAATTTACCTTCTCAGACAATTAGTGTAAAAAATTTAAAACAAATTTACTGTTTCCTAGAACTACCTACGTTTTAAATAGAGCGCTGCTTTGCAGTTGAAAAGGTTTTGTGTAATTTTAACCTAAATAAGCGAGATAAACCTTTTTCCATTTATTTGAATATTCTACGGCTGAGCTGGAAATTCGTTTGAGCTCCAACATGGATTTGCGAATTTTCGCTTACGTACGCAAAGGGTACCGATATAAATAATTTAAGAACTCCGGTGTTTCATAATACATATATTTCTCCAAATAAATTCTTAAAAATAATGTTCACTTGAATCCCACTTTTGGTAGAGATCAGTTTTTTGCACGTTTTGCAGCTTCGAGTACGACATGCTGTCAAGGCGTAAATCCGACTAGTCTCCTGCTGGAAAACCCGCCGAAATGGGGGGAAGCGGCGAGGTACGCTGTCAAACAACATCGGAAAATAGCCGGCAGAGCCACTTTCCAAGGACAAGTTTACAACTTTCTGGAAAGGCCTGATAACTGGAAATGCTTCCTTTATCATATTATAGTGTGAGTATGCAAACTAAATTATTATTATATTTTTGGAGTAGTACATAAAGAAAGAAAAAAACGTTTCTACATGGTAATCAATTTCTTGAATAATTTAATTGCCTAAATTTAGTAGACAATAATATTTAAAAATAATTACTCATTATTAATTTATGGAAAACACATTATAATCGCCAAAATTCAAATGAAGCGAGGGCTTTTAAACCCTTATATAGCTTTTGACGCATCAAATAAATTCAATTATATTTATTATAGCTAATCCTCTATATGGCCAATTATTCCGATAGATTAAAAAAACGAATATTCAAACCGCACTTTTATGAAATATGTATTACGAGTATTCAGTTCAATACATTATTGAGCGGGTTGAGTTATTTTTATGAAAATCCAATATATATTCACTTGACCAAAAAGGTATTCAATTTACGCTAGAAGGGTATTATTTACAAATGAAATTGATGAATATCCCGCAAAATAATCGATTATTTACGTGCTAATTGCTTTTCGGTTATTGCGTACCCAGTACCTTTGCAGGAAATTGCACTCGCTAATGAAGCGTATTATTTTATTTACGATTCAGTAATTAGTTAAATACAATATAGATACGTTGATTAAACCAGATCTGTAATTATAGTATAATATATAAAGGGCCTAACAGTATTTATTTTAGATCGTTCATAATATAGATAATTAAATACCCTGTAAACCTGTTCAGATAGATTTTCCTCGTAAAACAATTCCCGCAACGTTTTCCAATTAATTCGAGAAGTTGAATGCGACATTATTGCCTCCAAGGGGATAGTTAAGCAAAAGTGAAATGTTACTAGCTCTTTCGTAAAAACGAAGCTCGATTTACGAGAGCTGTTCGTTACGCTGTAATCACTGGATGTCAAGATTTCTGAAGTTACTATCGATATTTCCATCCCGCCCGTGAGCCAGATTGTTCGTGATCCAAAGCTTCAAAGCTTTGAGCAAGTGTATTGTATACTGCTCAGTTCATTTCCGATTAATACCTACCAAATGTAGAAGTTTAGATGCATAACTTTTTTTACATAGCTGTAAGTGAATTGAACATTACAAAATTGTAAGAAAACTATGTAAATATACTGGTTTTCGGATTAACCTCTCAGTTCTTGTTGTTTTTGAACGAGAATAGTAATTGCGATTGGGTCACACTGCCATTCTAATCCGCACGCCGAAACGCTAATAATTCATTTGCGATAATGGTTTGATCAATAATTCATTAGAAATTGTTCCGTAGTTTATTCTGGATTTTGTGGAATCAACCGCACGGAACGTTTTCCATTTACTAAATAGTAATATCAACTATTCCTTAATTAACGAATGAATGGGTTGACCTGTAGGTCCAGAAATCGAACCCAAACTTTACTCCAATTTAATAACATTGTTTTATAACCACCTGCATAAGTTTTCCCTATACATCAAAATTTACGAAAGAAGTTTACTGGAGATAAATTTGTACTAATACAAGATGAAGTTGCTAGCCCGAAATTGAGTTAGAGTTATAAAGAATAAGAAGTGGGCGAGGGAATGTCCTAAGTATCATATTTCTGTGGTCCACAGATACTGATTAAAGTGGAAATCAAGTTTTGTAGGTTAGGGAGACGAGGGTTTCGATTTCTCGTTAAGGAATTGGGACTGTACGGCACGTAAATACCGATTTATCGGATGATTTGTGCAGCCATTTGTGTTAATGGACGATTTATCGGTCTATCGATCTCAGCCAACACTCCAATTCGGAACTGATGGAAGCCGTAATAAGATACTTGATCGGCGAATGATGCAAAATTACCCAACTTTTGATTACATCCCTAATAATTCAATTTTTCACTACGATACTACATATCTTTTAACTCTATTACTCCCGGTAGAGAAGTAAAGAAAATCGTAATTGGCTTATTATTCTAATGAGCCTTGAAACATATCTAACAGGATTAACAAAAAACTTTCCTACACACCCGCCAATAATTCCAGTGTGCTATTAGAATTGTAAATAGAATACTTGCAAACGTAAACTTATTTTGAATAATGAACCTCGAAAATAAATTCGATACACCGACAGTTCACCACTCCCCCTATCTCTGAAACGTGAAAGTTTCGAGGAAAGCTCCTGGAAAAGTTTCCTAAGTCACCGACAAACAGCTGGTGTCATGTATTACGCGCCAGCATTGCCAGATAGTTTTCTTCTAACCGGAATATCCTTATTTAATTCTATCTATAATACAGTTCAAATTTAACCGGTTAAATTTGCAAGAAGTTTTGGTTTTCATTTTGTGAAAAAAAAGAGGAATTTATGAAATTAATTAAAATGCAGATAAATAATAGTAGGGATGTAGAATAGTTTTTTATTAATTAATTAAATTATTTGCATTTCTTAAATAAAGTTCTATAAAATGGTTTGTTTTAATATTATATTATTAAGCGCGTTTTCAATGATATGTATATTTAAGTCAATGAATTAAAAATTAAGAATATACTGGTTTCATTTAGTTGAAATAATCCTTTCGTGTTCAATTTACTTTAGAAAGTATACATTTTTACAACTATTATATTAAATAAAAGGACCTATTTTTTTGTCTAGTAAAAGAACTATTTTATTATACAGTCTTTCTTTCCTGTAGTACTTCCAGTACATTCATTATCCTGCATCAATATCCTGCTTCACTATGTACAACTTTTGGGTCTTAATTACGAATATTATAGATGGTTTTTGACAAAATTTGAAAGAACAGTCAACGCCGCCAGGTGAGTATATAACGAAATCGATGACGAAAGCCGTAGACGCCGACGCCGCCGCCGGGACGTCATGGCGTCTGTGTCCACACGTCGTTCGGCGTCGCACGGATGCGCCGTATGGGCCGTTTTTCATCGCGAGACCAACAGTTGGTTCCGTGAATCGGTCGTCGAGAGTGCCGGCGCGAAAATTTTGATTTAGTTTTTTTTCGAAATGAGCGAGAGCTCGATGCGAGTCGCGATGTGACGGCCAGTGATCCGGCGATTGTGGTTGGTTTTTTTGGAGTGAATTTTATTGAAAAATTCGAATTGGTTTTTTTTATAATTTTATTTAGAATTGTTTGAATTGAAATGAAAAAAGTTTTTAAAATGTTTTCATGAGGTTTTTATCGATTGAAAATTCGATATTTCCTAGAAAATATGTTGATACAACTTCTATGAAAATTGTTTCTAAAGTGATTTCCCAACAATGCATAACATTTACAGAAACAAACACACGTTTGTTTGTTTTTAACATTCTGAAATAACTCAAAAAATTATAAAATTATTGATAAATCTGAATTAACAGTAATATTTCGAAAAAAACAATGGAACGACGGATTTTCAATATTTATCATCGATCGCTATCTGAAGCTGCAAGAACTTTCTAAATTTATTGGAAATAATTTGGTGGCGAAATTTTTTCAATAAAATGTGGATGATTTGTGAGCATCCGGCAAAATTTCAATTTTGGGAATCTAAAAATGATTAATCGTTTTACTAGATTAAATCAAATGTTTAACTCATTGACCTACAGTACAATTATTAATTGAACACATGATTATATTCATATTTAAATGATATTTGTAGAAATTGTTTATCTACATTAATTATTATTGTCCTATTTTCATTTCCATTCTCCATTTTTATGTCTATATAAGCATTCGAAATTCTGAAGCTTTTACGGTTGCATTGTAACTCCCCTAATTGCTGTAATTTCCTTTGTAGTAATTTAAGGAAATTCGTGAACAATCATTGTTGTGTTATAAATAGTTCGAGGGCTATTAATCAATTTGGAATTTTCAAAAAGCACATTCTCGAACGAAAATAATTGCGAGTATCCCAGTAATGATATATGAAGACATGACATGCGAGTTTTGAAGGATGAATTTTAAATTTCAAAATGTTATTCAAATTTATTCCGTCAATATCAAGGAAAATAAGTCAAGGACTCGACTAGTTGGAATGTAAAAAAATGTGCATGGAGAATCAACAAGAAAACATACGAATGCAATTGTATCTTGCAATAATATAATCCGGTTTTCTGAACAACTCCGGCGGCTATAAAATATGGATAAACGGTTGATCGATTGTAAAATTTTTATTATTGTATACCTACCTATTCAATTATTGATAATGTGGAAAATGTACGAGTCCAGGATTTTTTGTTATGTATATAATAGTCGATGTGGGAGTAAATAATAATTTCCTTTTAGTTATATACAAAGTAAATACCATCAGCATCGACATCAAAACCGACCGTAAAACCCTTAAAATTTCCTCCTGCATTATCTAAAATGTCAAAGGTTAGAAAAATGATCATTGTGGTATATCTCATTCCGAGATTTATTACATAACCTATTTACGATTATGGCTCGAGCTTTTTAAAACTTTTCGATTAAATTTTATGTTTCGCCTTTTGCGAGCCATTTTCATTTCGCCCAAAATCCCCCAACAAAGCCCCAAAATGGGATTTTTTCCCTCGACGGGTTTATGCGCCCACCCCAAAATTTTTATTACATTCCAGATTACATGCACGAGGTGTTTCATTAATAATCGTACTAAAATTTCCTTCATTTTACACTATACAGGTTCAAACCACAAATACTAAAACCCGACCAGTAACAATGAACAAATCGCGCCCGACCTGAAAATTAAAAACCGCCCGGCAATTTTCATCCGCGCTCGCACAAACTCAAAACCCGCACGGAAAATTTCGGAAAAATGTTCGCCCGGTCAGCGTTTCCCAACGATGCGAACGCGGGGGGTTAGTGCGGCCTGCGGGGGGCCGATCCGCCAATGCTTTCTTTAGTGATGTTTCGCGACATGAATCGAAGCGAGCAAGAGATTTTGTACCGAACTTCGAGGAAATTGAGTCTCGTGCCCATCAGTCAATCCACGTCAATCGAAAGGAGGGCTTCGGCTGTTAAAGAGGACGCGCCGCAATCCTACAATAACGAAGGCGCTTACAGAAGGTAAGTTGTTGGATTTTTTTTCAAACGGGTTTATTTGCTAGAGAGACGAGCTTGTCCCAAAGAATCAATTCATCATGTCTTTATACTATAAAATAAACTAACTAATAAATCAACTCAATCCTCAGAGTTCCACAAAGAAAACGACTACAAAATATATCTACCCCCCTTCTTTTTATTTATATACCTACAATATTTTTATAAAGTAAATCATTAATAGGTATGCCCTTTCCACATCAGTCTAGAGCATATTCAAGCGCCGAATGCCGAAGATAGCTTGGGCTTTGTAGCAAATTTCGCTTATACCTGCCTGCAATTATAGCAATCTCTGGCGCACTGGTAACATCAAAACACTCGTAAAGTAGATTGTGTGTTTGTACTATGCTTTATGATTGTAATAATGCGAAATGTGGAGGTATTTTGAGAGCTTCCAGGCGAGACGGAAAATTGAAAACCTTCATAACTTGGCTTCGGTTGGGAAAATGTCAACGGGTTTAATTTATTAAAGTGAGCGAGCATGAACGTGTTTATTAAAAAGCGAATAAGCGATTCGATTTCTTCGTGCGGTCGTGTGATACTTTTTTTATCGCGAGGAATAGTCCGAAAAGGACCTTCTATTATCCTTTTGGCTTCGTCCGGAGTGGCCATCGGCCATCGTAAAAATAGAATTAATGGATTTCTGCTGTATTCACTTTGACCCTAAACTATTGTATTTGAAGCTACAAAATGGAGACGTGTTTTGTGAAAAAGCAGATCTAATTTCGAGCACATTTTCAATATAATTACACTTTTATTATCAAAATTTTAATATTTACTGTAATAAAAGAACTCATATCTCCTGCACTATTCGTACTAAAAACTTTATTGCTTAAAAATTCTTCTTCTAGGAACATCTGTTCTTTTAATATTCTTTTAAACGACAGTTTTAGTTTATACGTGGGTACCTTAAGTTATTGCGGAATTTAAATTTCAACATGGTAGGTAACAACATTCCATTATAATTAATTTCCAATTTTCACGTAATTCGCTTAAATTAGGGAAGTAAAATTGATTTTTATTAGGATCGTCAAATTAATTAAAAATTATATTAGCTTCAAGTTTTGCCACAGATCTGTAACGACCCAGTTTCCTCTTAATTTAATTGCTATTTTTTTTTAATCCTGTGGTACTATTTAATGACACTCATAAACTGATTCTACCAGTAAGTAAAAAAATATAACTATTAGGTACCTAAAATTAAAATTGCAACATTTAATAAATCCATCTAAATTTGGAAATACCTAACAATGTTATAAATAATTAGTTTTTGTAAAAGTAATATTTTGAAAATTCAGTAATTATAACCTACTAGTACGGCCCTGACATGCTTTTAAAGTTGGCTTTAAATTCGGAAGTGATCGCGGATACACCAATTTTTACGACTATAAAATTTCCTTTGTAATTAAATAAGCGAGCTTCCATAAAATCAATTTCCATAATTTATAATAAAAAACTCAGCCCAATTAATAATTAATACCAAAGAAAAAATCGTTACTTACCTATCCCCTTTTATTAAACGAAATCGACTTGACCTATAACGAGAGGAACACAGTAAAAAATAGAATCTAAATATTCACAAAGCTCCCTAAAAATCCTGTACTCGTCTCTCTTCAATCAAGCCCATTCTGTTAGATATTATTACGAAATAACTTTGTGACAAACGCGTCTCAATTTTTCAGGCATTCCTACAAGCAAGAGGAAGACTTTTGCCCTATCCTGACGGAGGATTTGCAGCGCAGTTCGAGCCCTCCCAACTTTTCCGAGGACTTAGTCCTAAGCGTGCTGAAAAGTCCCGTAAACCACTCGGTTTATGAAATACGAGAGTCTAATTGCGGTTGTTCCTCAAACGAGGAATATTGTGGGGATGCCAACACCGAAAGGGATGACGACAGGTAATTATCATTTATATACAGGGAAGGGTTCACATTAGTCCTGATTTATACTGATTGAAGAAACGGCTCTAAATATGTGCAACATTAACCTATTATAGTGGATTTATAGCGGATGATGATTCTCTTTTGAATAAAATTTGATTCAATTTGGTGAATAAATTTGTGATGGCCCAATAGGGTTCTGATCCGATCGATACACTATGATAATGCAGTAAGTATTCTATTTAAATTCGCTATCCTGTCGACGGGAATACATATTAATTTCGCATTGTGCATTTAAAGTGCCCGCCGCTCTTTCTGTTCGACGAAATATAAATATTTGAATATCATCAGTTAAAAATTAAATTTTTAATAATAATTTTATTTTGAAATAAAAGCGCTTTTAATGAACGAAGTATTGGTTTCATATTATATTATTCATTGGGTTTTCATTTTAAGCTTCATTTTTAATTTTTTATTTCTGGAATGTCGAATAACGTCGACTTTAATTTATACGTTTATTTTAGAAGTTATTGAAAATTTTTTATTCGATTTCATTCACGAATGTATTTGCTTTTTCTTTGTGTATGTTGTACCGATTGTATCGTCAATTTTAACAAATAATTAATGAATTACGACGTTAAATAAACTGCTTTAAGTGGATTTTGCTTCGATTTTATAGAAAAATCACGAATACAGTAATATTCATGTAGGAGTGCTAAAGAAGTAATTTATGAAGCGCTTAAATAAAAGATTTCAGCTGTTAAAATTCTTCTTCAGACACTCTCATAATTTACAAATTCATGGAGCCGGAGCTTCCTTCTAATTCATTCGCCTCCAGACCCCGCATTTAACATTTTCCGCTGAAGATAAAAAAACTCTTTCCGGGCAACAATAAAGTTTACGGTGAACGACTGTCAGCGCGAAATGACCGTGTGTTGCGGAAAGAATGGTAGGCAGAAAGGCGAAGGGCTAAAATATATTTACATATTTAATGCGCGGTGTCGCCGGGAAAATTACAAATACACTGCACCCTGACATTAAAAAAGATTATGTACAGGGAAGATTAGGGTTAATTAAAATTTAATTAACAACGTAATCAAAATTCAGCGACAAGTACATTTTTTAATGGCATATGCAGGCACATAAATTTCGAAAAAAACCGGTAATTTTCTCGGACTATCGAGACAGGTGAATTTCCTTTGGGTATCGACCAGGCTATGAGACAACGCAAACAGTCGCACACGAGCAGGAAAACTCCATCCGGACGCTGTGCCACAGGTTTCACCTTTATAACGCTCATTATTTTCATCTTTTACCCGAGGAGCTTCTTGAACTTTCTCGACGTTCTTGTCGCTTCTGAAACTTCAAGATGGATAAACATTCATATAAAGAGATTTCTAGCGTTTGTTAGCGTCTTATTTTTGGGAGTTTTTCCGGTTGTTACTTTCTGCTATTTTCATCAAGAGGAAAGTGTAGTCGCTCGGTTTATTTTTCGCACTGAAAATTACCTATTGTAGTCAATTATTTTGATTTGGAAATCGAGGATGCTCGTACTTTTAGTCTTTATTTGGTCGGATATTAAGGAAATTTTTCTGCTTTTCGACACGGAAAATATCGTTATATTCGTTTGTAAGCACGGCTGCCTTGAAGTGCATTTTCTTTTTCATCCAATTTTCTTAATGCTAGTAAGCCGGTCTAGCTGGATCGAAAAGACTTTTTTATTCAATCGGATAAACATGCCCTTAGTACTTCCATTTATTTCACTTCGAATTAACTTCCTTTATATCCTTTTTTGCTCTATTATCAATTTATTGGTGGCTGGCTTTTTAAATGTAGAAACTTTATAATTTTCAAATCCATTATCTTAAATCTCGATAAAATATTTTATTAAGGAAAATATACTCGTTTAAGCTATTTATAAAATAACAAATTAAAATCTTTAACGACCGGCTTCTTCAAAAAGAAAATGAGGTAAGGAAAAACTTATTACCTTAATCCCTGGAAGTAAGGACTTTTAATAGCCTTATTATTATCCTTGTTTTCTTTCAATAAGTTTCTGCTCGATACCTTACACAGTTTGGTATACCTAATCCGAGCGCTTTCTAGCTATAATAATGCCCAGAGTCACGTCCAAGGATAAATACGAGATGATGGATTTTAAGGAATTTTTTACAGAAATTGTACATTTTTAAAAGTAGTAACATAAATTATAAAACGGCGCATCTGCGCAAACATTTCAGCAGTGCGAACAAAATGTAATTTTAGTTGCATAATAATTTGTATTAGTTTGCTATTATTTACAAATCCAAATAATTAAAAACAGCTAGGTGTGCAAAAATTTATTAAAATTTCGTTAACGCTATCCATTTGTAATGAAATTAATAAAAAATAATTTGTTTATGCTCAAAATAAACTCCCCAAACGGTTAAATTCACTGTAATTAAAATGGAAATGTCAGTGAGTAAAGTTGATTTTTTCCACGTGCATAAAATTGCATTAGCGTGTTTAATAAAAATAAACTAACATACAAAAAAAAATAATCGATAAAAATGTAGAAGAGTACAAAATGTACGTGGTAATTATTTTTTATTTAGAGTGCCATTAATACCCCTAAACTAAAAGTGTAGGTACATAAAATAACCGTACAGGAATATAAAATAAAAATTCAATTTGGAATAATCTAAAATAAGGACCAACAATAAATTATCATCACGTGTAAGCGAAAACAGTTTAAATTAAAAAAGTAAATCAAGGACGCAGAAGAAATAAAAGCTAATTTCCCTACATTTATTACAAACGCTGCGACAACGACAACAAACACAAATACAAACTCAGAAAATAATGATTTCGAAGCCAATGACATTGAAGTTTCATTGATTTACAACTACATGAAGGTCTCCGCTAAATGAACTGAAGTGTACATATCGAACGGGACAGACATTACATTACCGACTAAACTACATACAATTTCTCATCGATTTTTTAAAAGTAGCGTGAACCGAATTGATGGAAGATAACGAAAGTGAAAACCGATCGCTTTGCTGAGTACCTTCAATCATTTTTCGAATGAGCGACATTTGATAACTGTTTTAATGTTTTATTGCAGCAGGAAATGGATATATTGGACGAATATTTTTATTCTTCTTTTTCTCTTGTAAATAATGGATTTATTTTTACGGACAATTATATATATTTTAAATTACAACCGATTTATGATAACATTAAAAAGATGCAAGATATGCTCCAAAAGAGGTTACTACTTCCCTGGGATTATTATATGAGTTACGATTATCGATAAACCGAGTTTTAGAATGGAAAATTAAAGGATATAAATTATGTGCTTTATTATGCCGTATAAATTTTATTAACCCATATTAATGCCCCTATAAAAATGTAACATTAAAAAATTTGATTTCACATTAAGTAATCCTTCGTTGGAAGTTTATGCTTGAAGTGAATTATTTGCAAAGATTTCGAAGCTGCATGCATTATGCAGTACGTTTGAGTGATTTCAATTGATATTGGAATCCGACGATTTATGCAGGAACCCGGTTTGCAGGACTACCATTAAGGTGCAAACTCAGAGAGAATATTTTAACATCCGAAATATCTCACTTTTCCTCTTGTTTATACGTATTTTCGAGCACCTTACTTCTTGTCATATTTGTTTAGGTTTTTTTTTTGCAAACGGCAATTTGCATAGCAGATGTCGTTTTTGGACTTTTTGCCGAGCCATTTCTTTCTATAATTCAGGATCAAAAACTTTTCCATTCGATATGAATATTTTACAGCGAACTTGCGCCTGATCGATTGCTCGTTATTTACGAATACTTTGTTTTTTTAAGGTGCAAGCACACGGGCAGCGAGGACGAGGATTACTGCGAGAAGCTGCCCTTCCTGCATCGCCTGCGCGGTCCTCGCACGCCTCGCCTCAGCGAGTCCCACCACCGGCGAGTACCGACGCCCATCAAGAGATCGAGGAAGAAGGAGAAAAAGGAAAAAATCCTGGCCGACCAGGAGGTCGACGAAGAAGTGGACGAAGTCGACGATATCGTCGATCCGCCCTTAGACGCCCCCAGGGGTGTTCCCGACCCCTATTATCCGATTTACTTGCCCATCGATCAAGCGTTTAAGACCAAATACGTGTTTCACCACAAAAAGGGCAAGACGTGCCAGGAAAGGACTTACGTTTTCTTGGAACACCCCGGAGGGTGGCTGTGTTTTATTTATCATTTTTCTGTGTAAGTAAACATATCATTCTCGAACAGAGCTATTGTGGAAGGTAAACTTTAAAATTCTTGTTGTGAAACTACAATACATAACATAAATAACGTATCGCTTCAAGTTTGCATTGTCGGAATTCGCAAAATGAAAATCAAAAAAAATCTCCTTTATTCGCTTAGTTTCCTCTAGAAAAATTCCCATTCTGTACGAATTCCTTTCATTTTTGGGGCCCGGGCGAACCGGCAACTCGAATGTTGACTTCGTAGACAAATAAAGTTCTCACAAAAGCCCGAGATGAACTAAGTCGCCTGCGAAAACAGTTCGCCATGATCTATTCAGCGCTTTAACAAGTCGAAAATTCTAATACCGATAGCGCTTCGAAATACGCTGACTAAAATGTAATGGATCCTAGATTCGGGAAAACTTAATTCACAAAGTGAGGTCTATTATGTTATTATCTGGATGGTTAAATTTGATGATACCTTTGGCATTGTATATGTAGTATTACTAACATAATTCGAATAGTTAGGAAACATTCTCAACCTTTGATGTTACTGGCTACACAGGATATAATGCATTAATGAAACCACAGTTAGATGGACTTTAGCAAGTAACAAAAAATCCAATTAATACATTAATCGGGTTTATGGAAAATTTCCGGTTTGATAGACATTCGTATATCAATAGACTTAATAACGAGAGTTATTAATATACAATATATTATTCATTACTGCGCATAGGTACCAGAGTATAGCTTACACGGATCCGCGTAATAACAGGCAATCTTGACATGTAATACCTGGAGGATTTAAATCATAATTCAAACTAGGTTGAATTTCGCTTGTTATAAATTTCAATATATTCTACAACGAGGCTTAATTTAGCAAATTAATACAATACAGTGTTATCCGGTGTACTTCCCTGAAACTATAATGGTTCTTTAAGGAAACTCCGCGAGTAAATAGACTGCAGTGGTGTTTTTACTGCAATTTACTAGATAATTTATTCAACTGGGTATAGTCACAGACTACTTTTAAATTACTAAATATATTATAAGTAAAGGAAGCAGGAAAATTATTTAGATGGTGTTATTGATTAACTTTATATAAAAGTAAGTACCAGGAGTAGACTTATTTTTCCTTCTTTTCTACAAAGTACACAGCTTTATAACCCATTTGTAGAAGACACAGGGTCTGTTTTTCATTCGAGATCCGGTATTGTTTGAGTATCCATTTTTGGTTTTAAATTTTAAACTGACTTTATGCCCCGAATTCCCATTCTCTCTTCCGAAACAATCCCGGCACGTTTTTAGAATACTCTCGCAAAAATGAAAATTTAAGTAACACCCCCGGGCAATATTTTCATATTACATTAAACTAACGCGCCTGAAATTTTCCAACGAGGAAAAGTTCAATGTTTCTGAATCAATCTTGTTAAGTTTAACTCCACAATGCGAATTACGAACTTTCTATGCAACTTTCTATGTAAATAAAAACACCTAATCACATAAAAGCGTAATTTTTTATTAACCAAGTTCTGAAATATCTTACTGAATAAGATAGTAGAGTGTAGAGCTAATTAAAGGTAAATATTAATTAGTTAGCTCGGCGGGTTTGAAGTTTCCCGTAAGTTCGAATAATAATTAAAATTGCATTCGAAATTCATTTGAAATTCAAAAATTCAATTTTCCAGCTAATACATAAAAAATAAATTCGTTTTATTACATTCGTAAATTGCTTAAAAACCCCGGATTGTTATTATCGAAATCATAATCAAATTCCCTTTGTATGAAATATGTACCTAGTAATGTTAATGGAAATTATTACCAACGCAATAAAATTCGTATGGAATAAAATTGCGCTCTAATTATAATAGTATCTAATTACGAATACCTTTGTTAGTTATGCATTTTTTTATTACTCCAGTAAATCACAATCAAGCGAATATACCCTAAAACCTAATTCCCCATTTTTAGACAACAATTTCCATAAATTACGGCCGTTTTCAACTTTCGGCAATTTACAACGAAACTAACACTATTTCGCGTAGGTCACGAAACCGTGCGTGAACACTAGTTTCGGATTCTTATCATCAACGTTTTGAGGCCTTTCACGACATGCCATAAGCTCGTTATAATTATCCTCCCTAATAAATACGTACGAGCATTGTTCTATCTGCAATTTACGAAATTGCCGGTTAGTAATTTTCAAAAACATTCGCAAAATTTCTCCTCTTTACTTCCTAAAGTTGGTGAAAGATTTTGCAAATGCACTAACTAAATTAATAATTATTTTATTCACACTATTTGGCAATGCTACCCTGCAAAAATTAACACAATAAATATCCTATTATTAATTAAAATTTCTCTCAAAGGTTAAACTCGATAACAATTGTATTAGCTAGTATCAGTGTAATTTTTCGAATTTGCGGCAGGCCCGAGAGAGTTGTAAATTATTACGAGAGTAATTACACGATCTCCGTACCGTTTATACGCCCTGTGTAATATAGTTAATGGAAGCTTTTGTCTTGGGAATCTTTTAATTGAATTAAGTTTAGGTGCCAGGTAGAACTGAGTAACTTTGATGTTAACTTCAACGTCGACGTTAATTTGTTTTGTCTAACGTGGCGAAAGTTATCGAAGCGTTTCCTTTGCAAGCGGCTTATGATCTTCCGAAGGTGGCCTTTCGCGCAGCGTTAATTTATATAAAAAATTCCTTTTGTACAATTTTCGATGGCGCTAATTGCGGCATTTGCGGTTTTTGATTTTTGAATCCGCAATCTCGCGGAATTTGAGTCGGTTCGGTCGCGTGCTAGAAGCCATTTGAGTCGGTCTAAATATTTTATGTGAGATGTTTCGCGTGCAAATTTCTCGAAAACCCTTTATCGAGGAAAATAAAAGTCAATAGGTCGAAGTTTATTCGAATGTCGCTAATATTATAATAAATGAGTTCAGCGGTATCGGAAAATACTCCACGCCACGCCACAAACAATAATCTAATGGCCACGGCATTTTTGAATAGATACCTACAACAAGGAAAAAGGAGTTTGATGATAAATTAGTTCGAATAATATCTATCATTTCGTTGGTGAGTTGACGCGTTGAGCCGCAAATTGCTCCTTTGATAAATTTACTGAATTCAGGAGAAGTAGGAAGTGGGTCGGGCAATGTAGCAGATCCAGTTAGTGAGTGGAAATCGTTTAAGATTAAGCCTGCAGGATCGGTTCGGAATTCGAGCTCGACGAAATACATCTGCAGCTCATATCTCGAGCGTGATCTATAGCATATATAGGTGTTTCTTAACTTGTTACGCTTTAATTAACTTCCATTAGGCTCTATCCAGAACTGGACAGACGAATATTGTCTGTACTTTAATGGGTTTGTTCGGTTTCATCTCTGCTATTTTTATGATGGATATAAAATAAACTTTTATAACAGCATACATTGCACTACTCGAAATCTCTATTTTTATTATCATCGACTACGGTAAAAGTTCTAACATAAAAGCATAACGTTTCTGCGTTTAACAGATCGCTCTTGTAAGGAAATTCCGAAATACTTTTGGTTCAAAATTGCCGTATTATTCAAATCCTATTCCGTTCTTGAGGCTCTTATTGGAATCTCCATGATTTATCCTATTATCCTTTCGACTGAACGTCAGATTTGTGCTCTACGTTTAGAATGGTGTAGTGTTTTTCGGTTTTCGAGATATATCCCGAGCGCTCCGACGGCGTTTGCTTAAATATCAAATTCGAATGTCGCAACGAGTATCGCGAAATAGATTTTACTTTTAACCCAAAGCTGTTATAAACTATTAAGTAAGTATTAATTGTGTGTCGAGTAGAGTCAACAGATCGAAAATTGATGGGAAAACGTACCAAGCACGTTTTACACAAGTGTGTTGATGAAATAGCGATTGAAAACCTTTAAGATTAAAAAGAACGGTAGAAAGGAGAAACAGTGCTGATTAAAAACGGGTTGAGCCGAATGAATAGGGAGTATCAGTTAGAGATATTTGTTTCAGGTGAATTGAAGTAAAAAAATAATTTCAAGAGCACAAGGAAGGTGATTAAAAACGTTAATTGAAACATGTATTTAATAATTTTCATTCGCGTGTGGCACGTCTGCTGATAAATTTGAAACGACCGAGCCCGATAATTTCGACAACAAAACGCGACGGGAAACATAAAGAGTAGTAAAAATAAGGATCTTGACATTTTGCAGTAAATTGAACGGGGCTGACAGCTCGGCCAGCGCCGCACAGCATTCATTCCTTTATCCGCATTCCTCAACAATGTATTTATTGATCCAACAACGTTTGAAAATTAATATTTCGCATTCCGTTTTGTTTTTAGGCGGAACGTCAAGGAGCGGAGTGCGGAATGTCAATTTTCCTTCTTATTGTTGCTTATTCAGCCGCTTTAGGTATGCCACGTTCGCTAGGCGTAATTAAATTATTAAGCTCATCTAAACTTTTCACCGTTATCCTTTATTATCATTGCAGTTACGCGAAATACTTGAAACTCTCATTAACGTACGAAATATCCCTTTAATGGAATAGTCTTCATGTAATTTAGAGAGGTTGTTTTATTCGTACAATTTTAACAAATATGTGTCAACAAAGAGAACCTGTACATCCACTATAAGTGTGGAATTCAAAACGCTATATCAAGATACAAAAAATAATTTCCTGCAGAAATACGTGTTTATTTCTTCCTCAGGATTAATTACCCAATTAAAAAATTTTATCGTAAGATTTGCATGTAAGCTTCCCGAAAATATGTAAATTCGCAACTACCGGGGTTTAGATAAATAGCAGTGATACTAGATTTTATTCCGCTCTTTAACTTTTTGATAAGCGGCTTCGCCGTCCTGCTTGCAAGTTGCCCCAGCTTTTCGCAGATGTTATCCTGCTTGGAAAAAGCGGCGACCAAGGAAGTAATTTCAAGTTTCAACTCGGGACTATTTATTGCAATTAGGAGAACCCAAAACAATTTAAATTTCGCAGGAAGGCAAACGCCGTTCGGAATTTTCCGCAAATTGTTTATATACTTTCGATAAATCCTGCATAAAATGCTTCAAATTGAACCGGGAATTCGAGCGTTGTTTGGTTTAATATATCTGATATAATCCTACAGGAGTGGAATAAAAAATGTGGTGGGTATTAAAACTTTAGAAACACCAGGTACCTAAACGTCATGCGTTTCTTTCGGAATATTAAAAAAAAAAACTAGTGAAACGCTTCGATCGTGCCGGTGCCGATATCAAAAGAGTTTTATCTTCATTAAGTTTGACGTTATACTTCGATCAGCAACCCTTCCTCTGCGCATAAATCTTTCAAACATTCATAAATATTTATCAGATGGCTGTGGTGGTGTTGGGAAACAATTTGAATTGTATTCCGTGAGGAAGCCGGTGCCGTCGTAAATTTTTTATGAACCGATTTCGAGTTAAAAAAAAGTTGAAAATTGAATTTTTCCCAATTGAATAAAGTGCCTTTTAGTTTGACGGAATCCGATGTTCCGCGTCTCGTTTCAGTTTTTTACCGGCGGCAAATGTTTGTTTAACTTTGGAATGAATTTTCAATCCGGGTGTTTTATGTCACACTCGTTTTGTTCCATATAGAAAACACCATTATCGAGGAATAATAATAATAGAATAAAACACATTTATTGTTTCTACTATTTTTTCATTCTATTTTCCGTAATAAATTTTGCGGTTTCGTTACATCACTATAATGCGCTTCACAAGAAGTAATCTGAAGGAGACTCGATGGGATATAAATAAAGAAAGGAAAGTCAAGATCTTTTATTTCGAGGGCTATATCTCTTCCTTTTATTTAGACTCCGGAAAGTTACTATTTCAATGACGATGTCGTGCGAATTCATCTACATTACTTCGATTACCCGTTGTCAATCGACTGTTAGGAGAAAGTAAATCTCATGTAATCTAAAACGGAGTTTTCCAATAAATCAAAGGAGAAATTATTCGAGCTAAACACCATTATATTTCGTTAAAGTGTATACGTAATTGCTTCATTATAAAGTCTTCTACGTCTATCTCTGAAACCATTTAAAACATCGTTTAGCGATTTTTTTTTATTTACAATAAAATGCCTGTGTATCAGGGGACGTAATCTAATTAGGATTTAAGTCAGCGATGTAAATTTAAAAACAACTGTTGTAGAAAATACAAAGCTATAATAAAACGTTTTAAATATAATTTGCTTCGTGCTTTGGAAGGCTAAAACAATAATGCGTTTGCATTATTCAGACGTTAAAGGAACGAAAAGTTAATTTAGAAATCTTTCTTTGAAAATGACATATTTCAGTTTTAATTGTTTTTAATTACACAAAGATGTATAAACAACTTAAAATTCAATACGTAACGATGGGAAATTATTTAGTGTTTAACTTTTCCTCCAATTAGAAGTGTTTGTGCTTTCAGAGGTTTCGTTTGGTTTGGAGCGCTCACAGCAGGAAAAAAATGTTGATTTTACCAAGTGAAACATTGAATTATTTATCTGATTTCAGCAGTTTTGTGATATTGAGGTTTCCAAAAACCTCACGAATTACCCAAATAGTAGATAATTAAAATCGAAGTCTAATTTTATCCACTGAAGTTTTGAATAACTACTATTATTAACGAGTTAATCTATTAAATAATTTAGTTATATTTTACCTCATTTATAAAAACTTTTTAGAGTAGGTAGGTATTCTCCTAACAAAATTATGATTTTTTTTTCTACTCCAGGAAGCACTATAGCAAAAGCTTTCAATTCAACGTAGTAGGTACAAAAGAAAATCCATAGTCAAACATTGTGTGTAGTAAATTAATTTAAACAGAGTCGTTACATTGAAATTTACTCTCTAGAAACCCTCTAAAAGTTTTACGCTTTAATTAAAAGGCATCGTTCAATTATGAAGCTCACCATCTGCATCAATATTTCATTTGACTTACCACGGTAATAAATGTCATTTTCCACCTTAGTGAACTCAATCAAATCTAATCAAGAGAAAGTCGTGCCTAAGCGAGATAATTAGGGTGTTACGAGTCTATTTATCCAGAATATATTAGAAGTGCCTCCATGTGATTCGTTATCATTGTTATCAATAGTCATTAACGTTTGCGCAGCGTGTACGAATCGATCGTTTTTACTGGAATTTAAAATTTAATTGGAGTATTGAATATGCACAATTTGTTAAATATACCTAAATAATTTAAAGAAAAAATCGATACAAAAAAAACGAAGCATTGGAAAAAATAAAAAGTAATAGGTACCTTGCAAATTGTGTTAGGCCTGTAGAGAATTGCCAGGAAGATTATGAAGTTATAATGTACATGCACACCAAACTAGCAACTAGATTATAACGCAAAGTTATGAAAATTTCGCAAATTCACGCTACAGAATAGCGCCCTCAGTTCCCGTTATTTTCCATGCCTTCCCTCACATCAACGGCCAAAAAACTTCCGGTAATCAATCACATCGAAAAAATAAACTCGCCGCTCTAATGGAAGAATCGCGGAACGATGTAAATCCGGGTAAATTTTTTTTCGCAACTTCGTTTTAAAAATGTTTCACGCAAATTAGCCGATACCTGGTTTCTATTATTAACGCGATCGTTTATTCGAATTGGACTTTTAAAAATGAAAAGAGCTCTAAATAGACCGTGAATGCAACGATCAATACGCACGTAAATATACCTGCAGTGGCAACCGGAGTTACTTAAATTGTTTTTTTTTCTTTCTACAATGTACAATTATCAATGTACTTAATCGACACATAATTTTACAATGCAATAAAAATAGAAAAGTGTGCAATAAGTGTAATGAGTTTATTAAGGAGTTTCCATAAAATTAATAATTTGGATGTAGTAAATTTTTTCCAGAGCACACAATTTATCGGTATGCACATATGCCGTTCGTACAACAACCATATTCGTGTAAAATTGATTCAGGTGGAAGCAAAAAATTCCTGACTGTTATCCTTCTGTTCCAGATTCATGTTGGTGCTCGTCTGTTTAATATTCAGCGTACTTTCAACAATCGATACGTATTCCAATTTTGCCAACGAAACGTTATTTTGGATGGTAAGTTCGTATTCAGACTCTAATTATTTAATTATCGTTTCTAATGAAGCGAATGCAACATTAATAAAATACGAGCCCTTCCTTTAGCCAGGAAAGCATCTAATTAATCCTCTTCTGAATATCGATTAGCCTATACATGTTTTAATAATCCTTTTTTACCCATTATTTAGGGAGATAATTAATTACGCTCTTCTTGTTTTCTGCTAATTCTTTTAAGTAATTAGCCCGCCTTTCGACAAGCTACAGATGTTCCCTACCGATTTTCGTTTCGCAAACTAAAACGTACGGTAAACAAAGTTCCGCGAACATGGAATGGTATTAAATCCAGATAATATCGCTCCCTCGTGATGAATGTATTCCCGTCAGAGTGCTGATTTATTGTTTAGGATTTGACTGAAAGATCTAATACATACCCACCTATGTCAGAATTTGAATTAAAAAATATCGCATTTTTCCTCATAAATAAAACAAGCTTTCAGCATGTACCACGCGGATATTCGCCAGGGGTAAATGAGTTCTGTGAATGAGTTAGGATAGAAGACATATAGAAGCTCAATAAGGGCGAAATAACCCTATTAATGATTTTAAATTGACTAATTTTGTTTCAGGAAATATGTTTAGTTGTTTTTTTCGGAGTCGAATATTTAGTGCGACTGTGGTCTGCGGGGTGCAGGTCGAAATATATGGGCTTCTGGGGTCGCCTTAGATTCATCAGGAAGCCTATTTGTATTATAGGTAAGTAGGAGTACATGTTACACGTTGATAATTGATTTTCATTTAGCCCAATCGACACCAAATCTAACACCCTTTCATCACAACATCAATATTGAATTAACTCAACCGTACCCCATTGCTCCGCTAATTGTTCACACAAATAATTAATAGATTCGTTTCTATCGACCAGGGTTTGCGCTAATTCGAGGACACGTATAATATTGAGTGGTTCTGTTATAACCGAATCACCACATTTCGATGTTAAATTTGAATTTTTAGGAATAATGAATTGGTTAATATTTTATAGGTGGTATTAAAAGGAAACTTCGCCTAATTCCTTGCGTATTATTTAACAGATTCAGGTACCAGCAACTTCTTCTCCCGGCTATATGTACTAATGTACATCGACAGGAGTTGTATTAAAGTTAGAGCCGCCACATCGCATTTTATCGGAAGCGTCATGTAAAACTTGCGAATGGCTTTATTGAAATCGGCGGTCTTTGCGCCGTTTTCGCCTTGAAAGTTGCCGAACAACTTTTAGCGCTTTTAAGATGGATTGATGGCAACTTAGGCCTCGTAAAATTTCAATTTTTCTCGAATCAATTTTAATAACATTCGCAGCGAATTAGGTGTAACAATTTAAGGAGGGACTTTTGGACTTTTGGAGAAATAAAAATTGTCGATTTTACGATAGGCGAATACGCCGATTTGACTCTTTTGGATGCCGATAAAACGCGGCAATACACCCGCATTATTAAAATATTTCCTTACGTGGAAAGAGAAATTTTCTTTTCAATAAAACGAACAAAAGCATCAGCGTATTTTTTGATTTATGCGTTCGCATTGAAATTTTCCTTTCATCTCTTTCGTTGGAACATGCATTAGCATTATCATCGATATTTTTTGTTACTTTAGACCTCAAGCCGTCTAATGATATTTTCGCCCTTGAATTCTAATAAAAAAAATGCTTTATTAAATTTTTCCATATATTTTCCACGGAAAAAATAAAGAAACAAAGAAAAGTGTAATCTATCGTGATAGAAAAACAAAGCTTCCTAAAAAATGTCCTGCACGAATTCAAAATTATGTCAAGGATCACGAAAGGAAATAGTACAGGAATAAAAATTAATTTCATTATTTATAAGTAGAATAACCAATAAAATATTCACTACTATATGTATGTACCTATTCTAAAATTAAATATTTTCTACTGTTTTGAAATATTGTATTTACATTTATTATGGTTAATACATTTATCCTTAATCCGGTCGTGTAAAACATTATCCTTGTCCTAGTATCAATAGCGTACTAATATGGAAAAAGAAATAGAAATGAATATTTATTTAATGAAGTTTGCTTGTGGTGAAACTTTCTTTTAAATTTCTCGTTACTTTATTAACCTCTAAAAATGTAGGTATAGTTATTTTTAGAAAATCTATAGAAATACTTTCCCAACGACGGACTAAAAAATACATAGTTTATTATTTGATCAATGCAATACCTATCAGTTTAATTTGAATACATACGAAACGTTCGAAAAATCCAAGCGATTTGTTATTAATCTTTGTTATTTATCACAAACAAAATTACCTATTTAGGCGAATATAAATGATGAATGTTGTATGCCTGAAGCGTGACGCAGGATTATTAGTAGGATCTCTAACGAATAATTTATTTCAGTCACTTTATTCCTCTTATTAATTAAACACGTCTACTTAATTAATTAGTAAATAAATTTGTTTAGAAAATAATCTTGATTAAAATTGTACCTTTTCGAATCCCATTTGTTCCTTTTCAAAAACTCAGTAGGCTACTAAATCATTAAAAGTTGACAGTTGGATTTGACAATTGGCAGCTTAGATAGCTGTCAAAAAGTATCGAAGAGACTAACTATTGTAAAAATTGTTACAAAAGAGAGTAAAATAATGGAATCGATTCAAGACGAAATGGAAATTTTAGAACTCGAAAGAAACGGGTTGCAGGAGGATTCGTTAAAATTGCTCCATGACATAGAAATGTTCGAAGAGAAGCTGGTCGAATATTACAATACTGTCGCCATCATGAGATTTGAAACCAACAAAGCGAAAATCGAATTATCGAAGGCGCGCAATGCATTCAACCATGCCCAGAAACAAGGATTTCGTTACCATAGAATATCCACGCCGACTTCTCCACCAAATGAAGACGATAACGAAGATAATCCGGAAATTTTAACCAACTAGATTAATTTACTGTAAAATTTTCCAACTAGCACATTAATAAATACATACTAATTTTGTTAACTACTTTAACACATGTGGGACTGTAATATCGCTCGAGAGGAAGGGGTCCTATACATCCTATCATGTATAGGAGATTTTACTTATTGAATTGTTGCAGATTTAATAGTGGTAGTAGCGTCAATTGTAGTACTTACATTGGGTTCCAATGGACAAGTTTTCGCAACATCGGCAATCCGAGGGATTCGATTTTTGCAAATCCTTCGGATGCTGCACGTCGATCGCCAAGGCGGTACTTGGAGGCTCTTGGGCTCCGTGGTTTTCATTCACCGACAGGTAAACCATCGAAATCCCATCTCTTGACTACGTTTCACGCGTCGTGCATTTGCAGGAATTAATAACGACCCTGTACATCGGCTTCCTCGGGCTCATTTTCAGCAGTTACTTCGTCTATTTGGCGGAGAAGGACACCGTCGAAGAGGAGGGAGGGAAGAACACCGGCAGCTTCTCCAGCTACGCGGACGCTCTCTGGTGGGGCGTCATCACGGTAACCACGATAGGCTACGGCGATACGGTTCCCAGGACGTGGATGGGGAAAATTGTGGCGTCTTGTTTCAGCGTGTTCGCCATTTCTTTCTTTGCTCTTCCAGCCGTAAGTATTGCGAAACTACCGAGCATTGTTCAATTGAAATTAATCGACTTGTTGCTGTTGTAATGTGAACGGACTTTTTGTCTAACTATGCAATTCTTTGGCTTTAAAATCGAACGTTTGTGTTTTTAGTTTTCGATTCGTACCATTAATTTCGATCGGAGGCTGATTCAATAATAAAGCGGTCGTTGTACATTATTTTCTGTGAGCGTTGATAAATAGATTTTTTTGCGGTCGCATTCACAGAGCGTGGAAGTTTCGAAAAATCGAGTTTTTATTCCGGAGGGTACAAAGGCATAACCGTGTTGTCTAGGTAAACAACGCGTGTATTGAGCTGGAAGCTTTTGAACTATAATTCACCAGGAAAAACAGCTAGATTGAAGACCGCTTGGATTTTATTAATACTAATTGGTGGTTTAATGATTTTATTTATTTTTAGCAATATTTAAAATGGTTTTTCGTTTCAATAGGCTTAATAACTCTTCAATAAATTGAACCCATTACATAAGGTATATTTTTATCAAATCATTCATGAATTATTTTGTTCGATTCATTCAATATTTCAGTATTTATTAAACATTTTTGAAAATACTTTCTTAAACAAACATATTAATGCAAAGTAAGACATTAGTTATATTATTATTAATGAATACTGTTTACTTAATGGCTTATTTGTCCCAAATTCTTGCAAATTAATATTACTTTATTTTCTTTTAAAACAATTAGCTTTATTCTATTTTATTAAGCAACGAGAAATGATTTTACGTTTAGGCAAATTATACCTATGCAAACGTTCGTATAAAACGAATTTTGGAACAAGAGGTTTTTCCTACTACACATCCATTTAGTTCAGTCACGCGAGATTTCGATTCTATTAATAGGCATAATTCAATCAATGCTTAACAAAGCTGCGGATAGGAATTGAAAAATCATTCGGAAACGTTCAAATTACACGATATGAGGAAGCAACAGATCGTGACAAATTGTCCCTCCGTTTGATCGCAAGTTCCACTAAGCGCCTGCATAAAGAATTTTGATGCATTTTTATCTAGCTCGAATATCTTAACAAATCTATTATTCTGATTCATTAAAGTTTCAAACGGGTTAACGTCAAAGAATTAAAATAGGAAGGCAAAACAACAACTAACCGAATGAAAATTTTATGAGGTCAATTATCTGCTAACTGACCCTTTAAATTATTTATTTGAAGGGTCCAGGTTCGGAAATAGTTTGCACTATAATGTGTAATTTGGAATTCGAGGATGATACGCGAAATTTGAATAAGGGTCGAACAAATACCTCCAGGCTTTTATCTAAACGGAAAACTCGGCAGAATTAATTTCAAACGATCAAAACAAATTTCACTACACCGGTTAAAATTTGTCTCGCGCCCCCAAACGAAAACAAGCAAATTTAAAAGCAATTCTATAGCCCTGAAACGTAACGTGAAACTCCGAATAGAGAGAAACGCGAAAACTCCTTTACAAGAACAAAAAAAAACCCTAATTTCATTTCCGCTTTTTCCTTACGCTTTTTAGGGCATATTAGGATCCGGCTTTGCACTTAAAGTCCAACAAAAGCAACGTCAAAAGCACTTCAATCGGCAAATTCCCGCCGCCGCCATGTTGATCCAATGCCTTTGGAGGTGTTACGCGGCGGACAAAAGCTTTAATTCAACCGCCACCTGGCAGGTGTATCTCAGCGACGCGAACGGCGGTCCCGTGGTCAACAGCAATTCCACCGGAGGCGGCGCCAGCAACTCCAGCATGCCCTTATCAAAGGTAAGCGCTAGAGATTCAATGGAGCTTTATTGACATGAAGTTGTAGTTTCGTAATTAATAATCTTAAGCTATTTAAGTACGTGTAAGCATCCGAGGGTATCATATTAGAAGCTCTTTCTACTAACCTTGTTACAAGTATTAACTAGATAAATTGTGTATAATTAGGTTAATTATAACTGAGCTTGGATGAGATATCATTTTATTCCTGTATTACAAGTAATTGTTTTACCGTTATAATTAGCATCCTTAAAAAATTCCTCTTAACTGTTAATTATTTTGTTCTTAATCAAAGAGTATATTAATAAATTTCACGATTCATTATTCTAAATAATAAGTAAAATGCTTCTAATACTGTTTCTAGGCCCACTTTCCCTAATTGGACAGGCCTGAAATATATAATAATAGTTAATTACATAGCCTTTGAAGAATATAAAACAGAATATACCGAAAGTAGCTTTCCTATACTAAAAAAATAAATCACTACTGTGTACCTACTACATTTTTGTCATATCCTCTGATTTATGTATGCAAAGCTTTCTTTTATAAATTGAACAATATGCATCATGCCTAGCGAGGATTTATCATTGTCGATATTCGGGTTCGGAATTGCCATATCCGTTCATAATTTATATCATAATATTATAGCCGTATCCGTAACTTTCCGTTTCGTCAACGGTATGATAGAAATTCCATATTCACCAAGGATAACGCATAGAAATGTGCCCCGAGGACCATCGGAAAAAGCCCGCCAGGTATTTCGTGCTTCTGATGTTGGCATCAAATTATGCCGACGTTGATTGAATTCTTTCAGGAAATAAACCCATGTCTTTGGCTCGGCTCGCTGTAAAGAAAATTCGCGGGGAAATTTCTGATTCGGGCGCGGTTCTATTAGCTCGATTTATTAATTTACTTTTGGGCGATGAAATTCACTATAAACAAAGATTTTAGGTGATTGAAAATGCACCAGAATTGAGTAGGTATTTTTTGAACAAATAAAATGAAATATTAATCTTCAATTTTCTAGAAAACCTGGTAATAGTTTTTTTGATATATTTATTTACGTAAATTTCTGTAGTCAATTTTATCGGAGTGGATGAAGGACATAAAAAATGCATGACTTAATTCAGCGCTGGCCTGGGGGAATTTATATTTTCATTTTCTACTCCGGGTAATATTCAAGGAAGGAAAAAAGGGAATGTAAAGGAAACCGCACGTCGAAAAACGTTTCCGTTTTGGCTTAAAAATCAATTAGCCAATTTAAATTTTCAAAATTTATAAAAGGTACAAACTCTGCCATTTTTGTGAATACACAACGTGTTTAGTAGAAATCGCCCAAATATTCAAGCAATGATTTCAATTTAATAATGCTTTTTGTATAGATTTTGTCTGTTCCAGACAGTTCTGTTTTGTCATTCTTTCCTTTTATATTTAAATTGTAATCCAACCTCTCGACATAATTTCAATGAAACTATTTAAATTTAGATATACGAGTACTTATGGGATTTGAGATCTCCAAATAGAAGCAGTCATTTTCAGATACATTCGGACAATATTGCATTAATATTTAATCGATATTCCAACTAGTATTTTAATTAGACAATAAACATGCTTTATACAAATACCGTCATGCCTAAACATGAATTTGTTAAAAGCACTATTATGCAAACTTTTCTTTGTTACTATATTCTAGAGAATATTATCAACCAATTATAGATTCTTGATAATTTCATTACTCATGCTAAAGTAATTGTGTATTTTAACAACAAAGTACATAGATATATAGGATAAAAATTCGAATATAATTCTACAAATGTTCACCAAACTCTAGTAGTTAAAAGGTCCTTACAACATGACATCCAACATTCAATTTACAAAGTTACTCCTACGAGTTGGAAAGTTTCTTCGCGTTTAAGTAAAATTTATTTAAGGAACTTTCTTTGGCTACGTCCACTATCCAGCATTATACCGACAGGAATTCAATTTAACTACAATAAGCAGCGACGTATATCGTCTAACGTTTACGTGCTTAGAGAAGAGCTAAGAGAATCCGCCTCGGGTGCTTACAGCTTAGTTTTAGATGCAGTGTTCGATGTATTGGTGTTGAATATCCATACGTTTGGGTCAGTCCCTAATATTGCAGGTGGCGAAAAAGGCGTCGGTGCTGAAGCGCAGGAAATCCCAGAACCGGATGGACGGCGCGCGATCAAGGACGGAAGTTAACACGCCGGGGCCGGGCACGCCGCTGACGGACACTCCGGTCGGGCCCTCCTCCAAAGCTCTCTCCGATACGGACGTTATGCTCTACATGGACGACACGAAAACAGGTTTGTTTATGGGGAGGTCGCTTTCAAAATTCGACACGTCTTCTCTATACTGGCGCTTTTTTACTGAGTTTCTACTGGTCGCTTGCTGGTCTTACAGATTTTCTTTTTATTGTTGCTTCAATTGACTTAATATTTTGGTATGGTGCATTTCAAATATTCTTGTAATATTACAATGGATTAAAAAATTAGAAGGTTAATATCGTGGAATTTGCTGCATTCAACGTACATAATATAAATTTTTGAAATGCACTGTACCTATTTTTATACAGTATTCTTTAGGTAAATTACTAATAACCACCACCCTTTATTTTCTACACATTATTAGTTGACACCTAATAAATAAACTCTCTCTACCATTACAAACTTTAGTGTTGATTTTTTATAATTTGTACAAAATGAAGGAACTCCGCCGCCATCGACGAGGCTACGAAGGGGCGAAAGGGAAAGCGTCAGAGGAGCAGTATTCACCAGCCAAACGAGCACCGTTACCGAAGCAGCCAGCGACGACATCGACGACATGGACGCCGAGCTTCCCAGAGTTACGCAGTGAGTACTCTACGGTTGATTCGAGCGAAACGTAATCGAAAAATTGAGCGACCCGTCCCTTTTGTTAGCGCATCTGAAACGTTTTTCATCGCATTCAAATCAACCGGAGGATTTCTATCCGCCCCGGCCGCGCTCCTTTTTCTCGCAGCCCTTTTAATTCCCCGACAACTTGTGTTCGAAGGAGGAAAAAAGTTTCTTTCCTCCGGCGAGAGCTCGACTCGACTCGTTAGAGATTATATATCTGGAGGCGGTTACTCTGCCATGCCAGTCACACGGACTTTTCGGGAATCGGGATTAAGTGAAGCGCGTCATAAGAATGTGAGGAACGTAGGCCGTGATTTTGGGGGTTATATAGTATCCGATTATTATGGGTGGAGTGGTCCTTTCTTTCATATTTTTTCGTTATGAACATAAGGCAGTTAGGAGTATTATCGTCGATTATTTCGAAGGATTATTGTCATAAACGATTCGTCTTATTGTTATTTGGCTTCTTTGGAAAATATTGTTTTTAACCGAGTTTTATTCGGTGTTTATGTAAGTCTTATTTATTCAATTGCGTTGTTTGCTGTGCTTCGTTGTATACGCCAACGGGTATAATGTATGATAAAAGAGCAAAAACAAACCATCGTAACTCCATTTAAAATTTTCCTGCAGCAAACTGCATTCGTATTATTGCGAGCTCAGCGATATGTTGTATTACCATAATAATGTAAAACTCGCGTATACGCAAACGAAATAACAAACAAACGACTCGGAGAATATCCCATTGAGAGCTAATAGTCCGGCTGGAAGGATAAAGATTTTTATTAAAAATGGAGAACATAAAACAATGAGGCTTTATTGATAAACTTTAAGCTCGCTATTTTTACGAACGATATAAATTTCCAGCTTACGTACAAACACCGGAAGGTAAATCAAATCAAATACAATCATTTTTTGTCGCACGGACCGTTTATTGGCATTTCATCTCTCCCGTCGCGCCGTGATTGATCATCTTATATTTTCTTTTCTCTCAGATTAACGGAGGCCCACAAAAACGCCATACGGGCGATAAGGAAAATCAAATACTTCGTCGCCCGGCGGAAGTTTCAACAGGCGAGGAAACCGTACGATGTGCGCGATGTCATCGAACAATACAGTCAGGGCCATCTCAACATGATGGTCCGAATAAAGGTAGGGCGAAGGATAAAAGGATTGGGTAAATATTAATAAAAGTACGGAAAAAATGAGGAATAACAGGAGCTTAGCAAAGGGTATTTTTTTTAAGAATATAGGATGCATTATACTTATGCTTTATTTAATGTTTGCAACTAGAATTAAATGAATAAGTAAAGATTTTGCAATGAAAGTACGGCAGGGAGGTTGTGTATTGATTGCAAAGGCGGTTCTGAATTTCGTTAATATTTTACAGAATTGCAGTTACTTTTAATGCTCTACTTACGTAGTAATGGGTATCTGAATAAGTAAAGCTTCTCGTTAGTGTACGTACGCTCTATTCTATCCCAACTGGGAATTTTTAAATAATGAAAAAAAAACGCATTCTGTTACGTTTCATTTTCTAATTACCGATTTTTTGCTATACAGTGAGAGTGTAAAGTTTGGAACAAATTCGTTAAATGTTTAATTTGTCCATTGGGGGAAAAAAAGCTCGGTTACGTCAATATTCTTTGGACATCCTGTACATTTTACCGAGTTTTTAAAAAGTGTAACATAAAATTTGGTCCATTGTAATGCTGCGTTATTAATTTTACCTAAAAAAAGTAATAACTACCGAAAATTTGAACATTAAATTAAACGCTGCAAAATTACAAAACTCGATTTTTTTCAAAAACGGCAAGGTTTAGATATAAATGTTGTTGTCATATCTCTTTTTTGGGACATCCTGTATAAACACTCTCAACCTTTTCTGACCCGCTTTTTAAAATAAAAATCGACGAGCTTTTTTTCCCCAATGGACTATTCAAGCATTTAACGAATTTGTTCCAAACTTTACACTCTCACTGTATAAAGTGTAGTCAATTTATTATTAAACATCAATTAATGATTTATTGAATAAATTTTTAGGAACTCCAACGAAGGCTTGATCAAACACTGGGCAAACCAGGAAGTTATTTAGCAGGAATAGATCGTGTAGGAAACGTGAAACCAATGACAGTTGGTGCAAGATTATACAGGGTAGAGCAACAGGTAATTTTTTTTGCATATTTTTTAATATAATCGTACTTAAGAGTCATTGCATTTCAGCTGGGAACAATGGATAAAAAACTAGACGCCATAGCTAACGTCATAAGTGTATTAGCACAAAAACAACATATAGCTATAAGATCTTCAGATGATAATCTCTGAGCACACATTTGATTTACTGTACAAAGGACCATATCGAATGTAGTACATACATTACAGTAGATACACTACATACCGATGCATATTTTTATGAAATTTAATAAATTAGATGCAGTTTGAATCTGAAGATGGCGTAATGATTGAAAAGAAGAAATATTTTTTGTCGAAATATTCGTATCTCCTGCATATATTTTTAAATAGTTGGTATTAGAGTTTGCTCTGGGAGACGCTTTTTGAGAAACAAGACTTTTCAAAATTCCTATAATACATTATTTTTCCTATTCATTTCATGGTAATACAAGAAGCCAAGTTTATTCTGTAACTTTGTAGATCATCATAATTGAAAAACAAAACTCTAAAACAAAATACCCACTAAATAAACTAGGTTTGGAGTGCTAATTACATATAATTTAGGAGCTTAAAAATTAATTGCTTCAATACATGACATGTAGATTTTGTTTACGCATTAATCAGTTTGTTTAATCAAAAAGTATGAGAGCAAACATATTTTGTAATATATCAAATTGCATGCATTCACATATCAGTCAAATTTATCTTTCCATTATCTCTTATAAAAGCAATTGAATAAATTTTAACATTATAAGTCAATATGTATTTAAAAGCACCCTAATATTGGGTGTACGTATTGGGCACATAATTATGTAAAGTATTTTATATCTAACTAATAATATTTCTACACACGTTTGTTTAGACTGTGCCTATATCTATAATTATAGATCTATAACTGAAATATATCAAACGAATATAATTGGTGATTTAAAGGGCATCTGTCTCAGTTAAACTGGTAACTGCAAATTAAGATGATATTTGTTGTTTGAACTATCATCATTAAAATAAAAAAAATAAGTTTCTAATAAATTGTGCAACAGTATTTTAACTGAGGCAGGAATTGCAGTAATTGCAATTAAAGCAGCTAATAACCCTTTGTAATATTTTCTTTAGGTTAACTAGAATAGGTAGTTGATCGGACAATCCGTATTTTTCTTAGAATTTATATTACGAATTTTAGATATTATAAATAGTTAATTAGGATTATAGTTAGATCTCTTTATATTCTGCATTTTATTTTCTACTGGAAAATTCATGAAATTTATAAAATAACAAAATGAAATTGAAACTTAATTAACCGCTTAAAGATAAATTAAATTGGTAGTTTCAATATTTTATAAATTTTATCCTATTTAAAAACATTTGTAGTAACTAAGTTATAAAATCTGTGTAATATCAAACGAATTGTTTTTTCGGTGTAGGTATCTACAATAGTAGATATTACACTGAATTTATGTTACAAAAAATTGAATGTTTCTAGATTGAGTGCCTCTAAAACTGTGATTTCGTCTCATATCTTCACGTGTTTCTAACCGAATTAAACATTGACAGCATTTGGATTTTTAAGAGGACCAAAGATAACAAAATCTGAATGTAAAACCGCTAATTTTGTCGATGAAATTGATACAACTCATCAACTTTATTTCGAGTTTATAGATTTTACAAGTCCCGTCGTTCACCACAAGAATTTATGACGACTCGATAAGGCAAATCTACCCACTTTTTTTACATACATATTTCCTATTAATTTTCTGTAATACTTACCAATACTGTTTTTAATCGAGCTAACGTCAATTTCGACTATAAAAGCACATTGGCATTTATCGACTGTTTAACCGAATCATTTTGAACTATTACGATAATTATTAATAAAAAATATAAGCAATAATATTGTGTCGTGTTGTCTCGCCGAAAACTTCGTTTAATTTCTTCGTGAATTATATCTGTGTCTGTATATAAACAAATTTGTACAAAAAGAATTATACACGAGTACCTATCACATCCTTTTAATCGATCTCATACCGCTGAAGTTAATATTTTTATTTATTCCCATATAAATACAAAATTTTTGACACTTGTAATTGTCCAAACCGATGGATAAGAGTATTAACTTTGTTGGGCCTGTTATACTGTTTGTTGTTATTCCTTGTTTTTGTTACGTTAAAACTTCTACACTTTTTTGTTGTTGCCGTTATGGTTGTTAAAACGTGGATTTACAACAATTTAAAGCAGATTTTGAGCTATTATTCGAACCCTGCTGGAAATTTTGAGTAACCGCAACAACTAAAAAAAGTTATCTACTCTAAACTCTACCGTAGATGCCTCCTTTTAGAATTAAAATATTTTCCATATTAAGCTTTATAAGCTTTTTAGATTAGTCTATTTCGATTGTGATAAGGTTGTGGCAACGTTTGAAGTGTAGGTACCTATTTAATTTTTAAAGATTTATTGTTTATTTAACATTAAGTACCTAAATAAATACTTACGATAGAAACAGGCAACTCAACGAGAATATTTGGGAAAATTAAAGCACTACATTAATCACAATATCATTTGATGATAAGTGCTCTTTACATTCCTGTTTGATCTCACAATATTGAACAATAGAAACAGTACCAAGTAGTAAATAGTTAATTTAATTTTTCCCAAATATCTCCATTTTATGGTAACCAGTTAATTGTGTGTAAATATAATTTAATATAGTTTAATGTTGACTTTTTGGGCCTAAATCTGGACATATACATAGACAATAACTTCGCAACGTTGGCACATCTTCGAACTCTAGTGATTCGTTTGATTGTGATAGCACTGTTTTCATTTCACGAATTGAATTTTATTATAATACATATGTAAGTATAAGTTTATTGTATATAAAAATTAACTAGTCATGCTCACAAAGTTCGTGATTTATACGGTTATTATTATCATTATTATCGTCTACTGGATACAGGATGTCCTAATTTTTTTTAACAAGTTTTGTAAATCAATATGTGGAATTTGAATATAATTGTCGATTTTAGTAACAAGATAATTCAATGCGAATTCGCGTTAGATAAATATGCTAAGCGCAAAATAAAATTTGTTTCAAAAAAGGTGACACCCAGTATAAATTACCAAATAAATTATACATGTAGCATAAAATATAAACCTTTGAAAAATATTCGATTAAATTTGTTGTCGTCTATTATATAGAAAAATATCATTAGATTTTCCTTGGTGCAATATAAATTATTCGTAGATGTGTAATTGCTTATAAAACATTAAACAATATCCACGCCAATGGCGTTTCATTTAAGTATAACCCCAAAAATGAGCTACTTTTTTCACAATTAATTTTCTCATTAATATTAAATTTCCCTTTTAACTATAGGTATGAGAGTAAACTGGACGTTATGCGATAAAAATAGTTTAATTATAATTTACATTAACAAAGTTTAGAGTACATAGTACTAAGTAATAACACTGTACGGACTAGATTTAGTTCACCATATCCATTTGGTAATAATATCAATAATCAAAAAATTTATTCGAGTTAACTTCAACACATTGTCCAACAAAAGCATTCACTCCTTTAATCTTTGGTTAAAACAAAACATTTTCTATAAATATAGCACCAAACGTTCCAAGTAACACTACTAAATGTAGCAATTATTTCATCTGTTGAAACATTGTTAATATAAATGCTGTGATCACGCGTTGCTGACGGATACTTCACTAGAATGCACCGAAGCCTCGTCTGTGTTGTCCCTAGACAATTCACTGGATTCCGGTAGAATGGGTTTGCCTTGCTGGTCCTCAGCAATATTCCCTGGCAAATAATCCTTCCACGACCTGAACAAATACCTGGTGAACTTCCGCAGCTGCCTGAATTTACAGTAAGTCGCCCCCTCGGCGTTTTCAGTTTGTTGCGTCTGAATCAGAAACCCCTTCTCCTTGAACGTTTGCTCCAACTTTTCCCTTTGGATGCTCTTTCGCGATTTCCTCTTCTTCATCCTTTGGAGGTCGTGACTAGAAGTTTGGGCCGATGGGAAAGGCGTCGTCGGAATTTCTGGACCGAGTAGGAACTCGGGGCTGGCTTTTACTCCGGCGAAATCCGGCGGAGGCGATGGGAAAATTTTTTCTCCCGTCGCTTGCAGGAAAGCGCCCGTCGATGACCCGTGGGTGTTATTGATTTGCTGCTGGAGAGTCTCTCTGGGGAAGAATTCGTAGCCTCTCATCGATTTATCGCCTGTTCCGCTGTAATATCTACGAATAATTTTTCGTGTTAATAAATAAAAAAATATATAATTGGTTTGAAGTACCTAAAATTTCCACCCGAGTCCACCGATAGCATCTTCTTTTCCTGCAGGCTAGGCTTAGCTCCGCCAGTGAATTTGAATTTGCAGATGCTGACCTCAGTGGCAGGATTGGCGTTGTTTTCTGTGGGTATAGGTGGTATAAAAATCGCCGATCTTTTTCGTTTGGTAGGTGTTTTACTATTCTCAGAATTGGGAGCATTTCGTTTCTTTATATCCTGTGCTTGAGGCGAGGGAGTGCTTTCTTCTCTGCTGTCTACTAAAGTAATATTTGTTTTAAATTCGCCTTATATGTGCTGAATAAAACATACCTTTAGGAGAATTTGGTTTCGGTTTGATAGATTTCGGTACCAGCTTCCTTAATTCGTTTGACCCGTTTTCCTTGCTAGCGCCGGTGCTTGTTTCAGGAGGCGGTTTTGGACTGTGGTTAGTTGGTAGTATGTAACTGTTACCTGCTGCCATTCTTTGGTACATCATTAACTGTTGCTGCAGTGCAACAGGGTGGATGAAAACTCCTGCATTGGACCAATAAACGTATCCTCCTGGACCTGCTGTGCCATCGGCTGTTTTAAGGGGGTCCATACCTTGAATATATTAATAATTTATTGAAAATTTACGTACCTATTAATTTTTTATTATATTACCTTCAGGAGGGAATAAAGGAAACTTTGGCTCTCCTTTTTGGTTGTTGGGACTTGAATCCTGAATCATCTCAATATCGTCATCTGATTGTGGTTCAGATTTAATTTCAGAGGTATAAGTGTTATCGTGTTTCTTTAACAGTCTTATTTTTAAGTGATTTAAGTCTCTTATACATAAATTTAAAGGTTCCTCTTGGTTTGTTTTATCCTTAAAAAAATAATGATAGAATAAAGATTTAAAAGGATAATTTAGAACTTACTTTTCTCTTATCGTTGTGAGTGTTCTTCGCGTCTTTACTTCTGTTGTATTCTTGTGTCAGTCTTTTTTCTAATAAACTAGATATAATTCTATGCTGTACGTCACTCCGGTTAAATTCCCCATCTTTAATCTCAGGAAGGTCGGATTTTTTGAAAATGTTATTTTCTTTTTCCAGGTAGCTTCCTGGATTTGGAGTACCGGGGAATATAGTGCCATAGTTTTTGTAAATTAAGTGGCAAATATCTGCTTTTTTAGGTTTCCTGCCTCTTCTTGGTTTCGAATTATCCAGGGTCATTTCGCCCATGTAAGGCAAGTCTTGGTATTTAACTACTCTGCTAGGGTTTGGTGTTGATGAACTCGCTGGTGCGTTTATTAGAGGAGGATTATTCATTAACTAAAAATCCGTACAAGCAATTAATAAGTAAATTTTGAATTATTTTGAGTATTTACCGAATTTAAAGGTATTTGAACGTTTCCTCCTAGACCACTAAGGTACTTCTTCTGCATTTCATTTTGTACTTCTGTTATTTTCTGCAACCAAGTTTTGATGGAATCGTTCGGATTTTGCGTAGGAATTTTATTGAATAAATTCAAATCGCCGTCTTTAATCGATGGGGTACTATCAAAATCTTCGTCTTCTGAGGATTCCGGGCTACTAACTTCCACTTTTTCGATATCATCTTCTAAGTTTATACCTTTATATCTCGTCGTTTCTGCCTCCGTACTGGAAAATAGATTTAGTTATTTATGAAGTTCATAAATCTTTTGTAGGTATCAATTTTTATCTTACCCAATTTCGTCTATGTGAGGTTCGACTTTGAATTTGGAATGTTTAACTTCTTCATCGACTTTGAAAGTCATTTCAGTTGGTATTAAATCTGTTTCCTTGCAAATCACCCCGTCTACTTCATCCGCTTGCATTGTGGCCTTTGCTAAAACCACGCAATAATTTAATTAATTAATATTTTTCTCTAATTGTCTAGTTGCCTAATTCAACCTTGAAGAAAAATAAATTTGAACGTGTTGAAGATGTTTACTTATGCAAAAACGAATTTAGTCGAAATTGCCGATATAGTTTCGGAAGTCAATCATTCCGATCTAAAAATAAGCCTTTGAATGGGACATGGCGAGCAAAAATTTCGCGCTAAATCGACCTAAATTTAAATTGGAAATTGGAGAAAAAATGTTAAAAATATATTAGTTTAACTGTAAACATGTTGTTCTAGTGCAACAGTAAAACTTTCCTAATAAACTTAACATCGCGCAATTACAATAACTTAATGAATATCTGTTTATTAATAAAAATAATTGCCGCTCGTTTTAAAAGTAAGCAATTAAATAAATACGTGTGAATATGATAAGCGTTAATAAATAATGTTGAACATTGCTCTATTATTGAAACATTTAAAAATATGTGAATGCTACAAATTTATTTACTCGTGCTAACATTTTAGTTATAAAATCCACAATAAATTAAACTATCAAGTATGCGAAAAATTAAACTCACTTTCACTTATATCATCAAGCATTTTGTCATCAAAACATTCACTTAAATTTTAATTAAAAATAAATCGTTTGATCCTTCTACTCGATGCACGCACGCCATCACCCACATACGCGTCTAAATAAATTCCCGTTTTCTACCGTACACCATTCATTTCGGACGTATTCGAAAAGATTTGCACATGAGGCGCCCGCTCGGTTTCCCGTGTAAGGCGTCCGCCGGTTTATTTCTGGCGTCCCGACGCCTTTCCTGACCACCTCCTGCCTTCCCCGCTCGATCAGTATATTCTCAAAATGGCCGTGCTGTAACCCGACCTAGTGCCTTATTAGGAACTGCGCGGCCCATTCGGTTTATTAATAACCTGTTCTTATATTGCTCAAGTCGAGCTTGGAAAGCTCGGCGCGCTTTGCCCGGCCGAGGCGCCGCCGAGGGACACGATTTCTTAACTCAACCTAACGGGCTTACAACGATAGGTAATTGCGTACTTTTATTAAATTTTAAAAGCTGTATTTTTGAACGTGATTAAAATAGCGTGTATCAAAAGGGTTAGAGGATGGAAAAAAATCAACTTTAATGTCTATTATAGCTCTTAAATCTGTTTTTATTGGGCTTGATTTCGGTACGCGGATATGATGCTGACTATTTTTGGTTCCTACAAAGTTTCGTGATTATTTTCGTTTGATATGGCAGGATGTTAACTCGCTTCCATGTGGTTTATTTGGTACAGTTGTAAACTAAATGAAAAATCTCTTGTTCGAATTTCGGGTCACTATTTTTATACATTTGGAATTGTAAGTGCTGAGGTTGTTATACTGCCTATTTTATTCGGGCAGCTTGAATGTAAAACTTATTTTTAACTTGTTGAATTATTTATTGACGATTAGAAAACTGTATAGTGTGATTTGGCTGAATTTTTAATTTGAGAAATTTTAAAAATATTCTTCGGAGAGACAAATTATACGTTAGTGCTATAGAATATCTTAGAAAATATAAAGTTACTTAAATGCAAATTTAATTTACATTCAAAAGTTAATACTTATCCCCAATCGAATAAATTATTACAGCATTTTCGTATTCGACGTTTAATGATTGTAAATTATTCGGCGATATTCGCAACTTCTAATGGGTTTTGTATTATCAATTCGTTTGTAATAAACCGATGGTTTAACACTTAATCTGTCGCCCGTAAATGGTAAATGTGAAAGGAGTAATATACTGTTTATATGGTTCTTTCTATGCAAAAGTTAAGGTATGTAAGTATTATACATAAATCTTTGTAATGGCTTAATAAGCATTGCGGGATTATTGCAGGAAAATAAATTACGTTAAAAAGAAGTTTGGACGTGTAGCATATCAAAATTATTCAAAATAATTACAACCATAATTTAGAGTAGGTACTTTTTTATTTGTTAATTAAGTTTTTGATTAATATCCCTAACATTATGAACGGAATTTAATAAATAAAATGCTTGCATGTAAAATGTTGATTCAATCACTTATTTTTAGTGTTTGTCTCATTATTCACATCTTATTAGGTAATACATTTTATTAGTAAATATTTTATACAATTATTACAAGGATTAATTAGGGACATAAAAGGATAATTTAGATACAAATATACTCTTAATTTAAATGTTAATAGATTTTGATTTCGAAAAAATATTTTTTTTTATAAAAAATTTTTAAACCTTACCTTAAATTAATATCCATATTATACAGACACCACTAAACAAACATCACAATTTTGTTTCAAAACAAATTTCACTACACTATCTTCAAATAGACAACAAAACTTCATTCATTTAATTATTATTTTTAATTGCACCCAGCTTTTACGAGAATGCCCAATCTGCGACAGATAAAAGTAGGGTGAATCACTTAATTAATTTCAACAACGTGTTTAATTTAATAAGAACTTTTAGGAGAATTAGAGAGCAACAGAACCGTCGTCTTTCTGGCTTGCATGTTTCAATTTAATGCATTAATCACGTAAATACTTTAAGAATGTGTAGGTTTTCATTCAGGGCGGGCAAAATGATATCTGTAAATTCCTCCAAGTTATTTCCAATTTCCTAATTCACACTTTCATATCGATATGATTCTATTAAATTAGAAGCAATATTTTAAACCTGATAGTTTAATTACAAAATTTAAGTGAGAAAACGTGGTAGAATAATACCACAAAATAAGAGAAAAAAATCGTGAATTGGAAGAATGAGTTGAGAGAGAACAAACCAAAGGAAGCACTGAATTAGAATAAACTCAAAGAGTCGAAGAAGAAGATAAAAAAGAAGATTAAACTTAAAAATATTTAGCAATTAAGTCAGAAGAAGAATCAATAGAAAAATAAAGAATTGAAGAATTAGAATTTAACGAGATTTCTGCCAATAAACTTCTTCAGAAAATGGCACAATGTAGCTTCCCAACCATCTCATTTTCAAACAAATCCTGCAAACATTGAATCAATAGAAAAAAAAATAATCAAAGCATTAGAAACAGGCAAGATTTTCTCCAAGACACCTCTCTATCCTGCAAATCTGTATCCTGCAAACACCAGTCCAATTGACAGAAACCTTTGTTTCTCATGTTCGCAGAACAACTTTTATGAAAATAGCGGCCGAACGTTGCGTGGAACTGTCAAGTGTGCACGTGGGTGGACCAGTGTTTCTGTTTCTATCTTGGTCCTTCTCCGGTTCCCCACCATTCTAACGACGGTGTTCTCTCGCCGCGAAGTCCCTACCGCTCGCCATCAGGAATGGGTTCTTCGCGATGCTCGGTGCCCGGTGCTTCGCACCTTTCGCATCGCAGAAGACCCGCAGAAGCGGCCAACGGAGATCGGAATGCTGATTTGATTAATCGATACATAATGAACTCGAATATTTTATAAGGCTGGCTTCAATAGGTTTCGACAGATGTAATTATATCGAATAAAAAGCTACAGAAGAAGATTTGATGACTAGAGATTAGATTCTATGATTAGAGAAGATATTTAGCTTTTGCAATTTAATATAATAATGCCTTAGACATGAATGATCCTGGTACAAAACGATATATCATGTATAATCTATTAATCTTTGGTTTGTTATATGCTGCACCCAACATTCATTATACCTATGTATGTATAAGTAAATATACTTAATCACCTTCGTAGGTGTTGATAAAGTCTACTTACTAAATATTAAAACACTAATCCTTTGTATATTTTAAGCATAATAATGATATTTTCTTCTTCAACTTGAAGATCAACGATAACTTCTGTCTAAGCATAAACTGGTGATACGTAATTATTCTTAAGGACTAAAGATTTTTATCGATTTTTCTATTAGGCAAGTGTTTAGTTTTAAACTTTTAAGTAGGTTATGTAAGTTTTAGAGTAAATGTTAAGCAGCCGAATATGGTAAAAGATTTTGTAAGGTAATATGTCAATAGCGTTTGTTACGAAAAATCAATATTTGATTTATGATTTACGAATTTTAATACGGCAGGTAAGCGTATTTAATACTTTAAAATTATATGGTACATCTTCCGTGAAATTTTGCAATTGTGCTACGCACGTGAATTTGAACGGTTTCGTTTAAATAGCGTTCTACCTCTTTTTGCATTATATCACCGAATACCTACTCACGTTCCTGCATGCACCTATAAGGTCAAGACCATCAATAAAGAAAATTTATACTACTTTCCTAAACGGCAAAAATATCATTAACACCCAAACATTACTCAGTCGATACTGTGCAGAAATATAAAATTCGCCAAATACAACTTTTAGAAATCGAAAAATATACGCCAAGCCTTTTATGGAAAATCGCCTATATAGAATATATAATTCTCTAATAATTGATTTATTGAGCCGGTAAAGAACTGTTCGTTTTCGTAGGAGCTGTACAGTAAAGGAATTGGCAAATTTGATTGCGGTGTAAACGGGATATAAAGTTTTAAAAACGAGTAGTGGGAAAATTTGGCTTAGGGAACATGAGGAAAGAAGAATAATTGATCAAGAATTCGTTTATTTGGCGAAGAAAAGATAACAAATTGCTGTATAAGTACAAAAAAATTACAAAAGTTTATGTAAAAAATAGCAACATGCAAATTTGATAATTACCTACCAAATGAAAATGTTAAGAATTCGGTACTGTTGAATTCAAGGTGCGACTATCGTCAGGTAATTTCCGATTCTAAAACAAACAACTGATTATTTTAGTAGAAACGTATAGAACCATATTCGAAACCCACATTGCGGACAAATATAGAAAATATGTAGGCACAATACGTGCTTGCGAATTGGAAAATACCTCTACTGGCCTTCAGAATGGTATGAATGGTAAATGGATTATCGCCTCAGAAAATTTTTGTCGTTTCTCCCTTTTTTTTTGTAAACCAATTAGGTATATTTTTATGCATCCAAGAATTAATTACGATGCATTATTTAGATATATTGCCTTGTGTAAGTTTTGTGCAGCATATTTACCTCGTATACACATCACAAGTTTTAATAAGATATCGCGCTTAAGTAGAGGATTGCATTAGGCCAGATGTATTGAAACCTATTCAGATAAAATGTAATTGCTTAATACGAAGCAGAACTGGCAGCTATTAAGACCAGTCAACTCTGATACTCCTGTTTAACTGGACTGAGATTTTATGTTGATGCGAACATATTCAATTGCTACCATTAGTTCTCATGCAATTTACATGATGCGAATAGTATGTTTACAACAGTAAGAATTTTATTAACTATTTAATATTTATGTCCAAGTTTTAATTTTATTTAATAGGTGCCAACATAAGGCTTATAGTTGCAGGCATCACATACTCCACTTATTTTTTTATTATAATTTAATTAGATATTGGCAGAATGATTTATTAAGAGTGTAATTTTCAGTAGACCCAAATTGATTTGTCACATTATACGCATGTGAATATGCATGACTTGATAATCTGAATCTAGTTGCTTTTAATAAGTAACACCTAGTGTTAATTACCATTAAAGACACACCTATTTCTGAAAATTATCAAACTTATCGTAGGCGTATTACAGAGGTCAATGTTTTAAATACGTCCATGTTGAGAGGAATATATTTAACCAGGTGCACTTGCTAATTTTTAATCAGAACTCTGATACTTCTTAATAATCGATAACCATAAAAGGATTGTAAATGTAAGAGGGTAATTCAAAAATTATTTTTGGTTAATCTTCAAATTTTGTCCCATTACTTTACGCATTCATTGGAAATTCCTTGATTTGTTTAAATGATTCTAAATAGGTATTTATTACATAACATGTAAATCTATAGGAATAACAGGTCTGTAATAGAGGTTTCCTCTCGAATATATTGGTTCAACAGGTTTAATACTAACAGTCAATTAAAAAACATCTAATGAAGATCTCATCCTACATGTTTGTAGTGCCATTGAATTTAGAATTTCTAAATGACTTTAACGAACTACTTTTGTGCATAAAAGTCCCAATATTATGTTGTAGGTAGTAGTAAAACCGGTCGCAAAATTGCAATATTTTACATGTTAAAAGATAGACCTTATTTGTACGAAACGTGGGTTTTCGATTTTTGAGCAGAGACGACATCGTGTCGCATCAGTAAGTAATTAATGATTTAAGTCCTTGGAGTCACACAGTCATTAATTTAATTAACAAAAAATTATTATTATAAAAAAAAACATAAAATTAATGAAGATAATTAGTGATTAAAGACTTTAACTGGTAAGAAATTATTTGGCTTCAGGAGATACAAATTTTAATTTGTTCCAAACAGCATATTATAAAATTAAGGTCAATTCTTTGTTTTATAAATGACTTATATTTCTTCCATTGAAATTTAACCTACCTGAGTTCTACCCACAGAATAAGCGCCATATTGAAACAATAATGGTTTCTGCAAAAAATATAGAAATAATCCCGCATTTTGAGTACAACTTTTCTAATTTATGCATTTTTGTAAACCTGTGGAGAAATCAAACAATTTACTTGAAGAATTGATTCGGCTTTGGTAGGTATGCGAAGTCAATTAAAGATTCAGGGGCAAAAAATGGTTGAATATTCTCGAAGGTGTTAATTTAGCATATGTTTATCGAATCCTGCTTATATGGAAGTGTTACTTTCAATGATTTATGCCTCAATATTGCCTCCATCGGCCAACACAAACGAGCCAAGCAATAAAAATTAATAAAAACCCGGTTAATGCTGCAATATAAAACACAACAATGTAAGTATAAATGATATTTATGTGGCTTCCAAAACAACCGAGTTATTAATTTAATTCTCGATTGCAAGAGAATTGTATTTACCTAATAAAAACCATTAATAAAAATTAGTTACTCAAGCGTATAAAACATGTTGACAGGTTTTTTATTACGAACATTAAAGCCTTCCTAATTTGAAGAGTATTAGCCGAATAAGAAGATGTCACGCAAAGAAGAAACTAGATTATTCATTGTATAAACATTTATTCATTTAAACATTTTATATTTTGATCGGTTGAAATCGACGTTTCATCTCCTTTTTAAGATTGATCCTTCCGAATAAAATTTTAATTTCCAACGAATATTAACATAATTATTAATTACACGTGCTGGCAGAAGGAAACTGGAAGTCTGTATACAGTTAACTCAATCAATTTCAGACCCACCTTTCACCAAAAGCTCAGCCCACGTTCGACTAATCTAATTTCGATAAAATGTAACAGACAAAGAGATTATCTCATTTTTCGTATAACGAGATCGGCTTCTAACAATACAATTCGTATGTCACCTTAATTCCATCGTAGATTATTGAATTTGTTCGAATATGGGGATTTACGAAAGTATAGTTAATTGAAAATTTAATATTTATCTACATATTTACCTTAAAAGTAAATTTTTCATGATTCGTGTTAAATACAAAAGTAAATGTATTCAAAGTATTCTGAATAACAAATTGCACTTCCTTTAGCCACAAACAGGTGCTTATTACGTATTTAATACATGCTCGGATAAGAATTGAATTATTTTGAATAATATTGATATCAACTGCCCACTTAACAGCTGTGATCTTACATATTTTATAACAGGGATTTTTTTCATAAGGTGTATTGTGGGCATGACTCTTTTATTGATCTACATCATAAGTATTACAAAATTGACAGACAAATTATTACTACAGAGAAAAAATGAATAATAAATCAACTTATTGCTTTAGATATTTAATAAATTATACTAGCCCATAGCAACGTAAAAATTACTTGAAAATAATATGAAAGACACAAGTTTCTGGCACTAATCTTCGTATCCTCTAATAGGAAAATAATGAGTTAATAATAAATTTGGTTAATTGGAACTACCAAAATATTTTGTTGAATGGATTGCCCACGCCAGACGACATCATTCTCATCGGGATTAAAATTTTTATCATCTCATGAAGACATAAATTTCGTGTATGGTGAAACGGTTATGGAGGACGAATAGCAGGTTGCTGTTTATGGTTAATGAACATCATCGAAAATCGTCCAGCCGTTAAAACCGAGATAAAGCTGATTTAAAATGCGCGACTGTAGTTTTAATTTTCGCTCAACGAGGCACGGGAATTAATAATTGGTTGCAACCGATTTATTGGTTAGATTTCGCATTTTTAAATGCCCCATATCGAATAAATGACGCCCATACTTCAGCAGCGAACCGTCAAGCCTTTGCCCGTGTAAGGTAACTACCACCACCTCCGCGAAAATTCACCGCCTCCGTTACCCCATAGGCAGATATACAAATAAAAGGCGAAAACATAAAAACATCAAACCAAACCTGAAGCGAACCAAATCGGTCAGAAATTCCTGCTTATCACCTTCTGGTTAGAAATACAAGTTTTACTACACGGCTAACATGAGATGCAGTTTCCATATTTAAATGTCTACATGCATATACGTATTGAATTGCATTTTGGCTATATCGGAATTAATTCATTCGTAAATTAAACCTAGTTTCATAGGCGTATCATTTAAGTAAAGTGCATTAATACATGTATTTGTAAATGAATATGATAAAATAAATATAAAAATATCTATTTCTGTAGAATATCAACTAAAACATTTATTAAGATTGTAATATACAAACAAAAGCGTAAATAAAGTGGACAAATATCCTGTTTTTCTAGAATTTTTATATCAACAGTTTTTAAGGATAATAGAAGTTGAAGAGATAGTGACCCTTTAATCTTACTACGAAGAATATTGCAAATATACCTGTTTTGGTATACTTAATGAGGGTTTATTGAATACGTTTCTATGAAAATCCTCTATATTGATTTGCTTCGGGATTAGGACATTAGGATAAATTCCTAATTTCAAAATAGTAAATTTAGTTGTGGCTTGTTCGTCTTGTGATTCTGTAGTGTCTAGTTGACTTTTAAAGTACTCGGTGAAGATTCAAAATGTCTTTTTCAAAAGCTAAAAGATTTGACTATAAAGAACCAGGTAAGTTTTGAATTAGTTATATTAATTTTCTAAAATTAAATTTTTTGTTAGATACAAAATTATTTATTTGGTTTTAATAATTCCAGATTTTCAAGTATCACCAGCCGACTTTAATCTATCTCTACCTTTGATAAAACCAGCTCACCAATTCTCCAAATCAAGAAGAATCTACCAACCACGTCAAGTATGCATTATTAAATACAAATAACGCAATAGTATCTAATTATTTTTTATTCCAGTACTGTAAATGTAGAAAAATTACAGTAGCACCGTTGACAGATAATAATTTAACATACACCAAAAACTCAGCAAATTCGGTAAGTTAACTTGATTAGATGAGATAAAACTCGCGATATATTAACATAAATAATTTCAGAGTGTTAGTAATGGACTTTGCGATTCTTCAACTCCACGTAGACGAAGATTCTCGCAATTGAACATCTACAAAATCAAAGAAAAAATCATCAGTCTGAACGAGAAGGATATTTTCTGTAACTGTGTAGAGGCCAAGCGCAATTCTAATACTCCCATTAAGAGCGTCAAGAGCATCAAAAGCCTCATAGATAAATTCGAAAATGGCCAAAGAGATCCAATTTTCTTCACCAGCGAGGAATATATAGACGACGATTATTACAGCTATACGAGTTCCAACGAATTGGAGGAAGCGAATACGACAGAACAAATGGATCAGAATTTCTCGGAGATATTCAATTTCGATAAACTCACGCTGAAAAACACAAACGACCCGATTCAACGCAACGTTTTAGGTAAGTAGAGTAGCTCGATTTTAACTATTCCGATAAATTTTCCAATCTCGGTCGTTTTGAATAGATGTGCAAGTCAAAACCGATTTACCCACCAATAATCGACAGCTCTCAGAGGAACATAATTTAAGCACGGGCAGCAGTAACGAATGTTTCGACATGATTAAACTGATCATATCACAGGCGATCGACGATCTCAGAAAAGAATACGAGACCAAACATGCAGTCACATCAAACGCTATCGACACTCTGCTAAACTTCATCTATAACATGAAACTGACCTTAGAAGACGCCAAGGAAGAGCTGAGGAGGAAATGCGAAGACGTTTCTAACGATTTGTTCGTACGCATCGTCGAATATTTGAATCAGTTCGATACCTGTCAAATATTCGACGATGATGTTACAATTCGGGAAATCAGTTCTGATGATGTCAACAGACACCACGTTTTCTCGGACCATCTTCAATCGGCTCAGATGGAATTGAACCTCTTGAACAAAGACAAGATGAATATTTCGATCAAATGCGAAGATACATACGAGAAGGTATATCCTCCACCAAGTTGTTTAGAACTTATTGAATAGATCTGTTTATGCGGAGAAGAGAAAAACCTTGCAGATTTTATTCGAATTGTTTTCGAACAATTATGTAGACTTCTACTATAATAATACTATACTATAATAAGACTACAATAATATTGAGCCAAGTGCGTTTATATTATTCTGAATATTTCATTACTTTTCTCATTCTTAAAAACAATGTGATGAATATAAATTTATAAACGTAAATTTAATTTACAGTTGCGGATGCAGACATCAAACATCGACTTTCTTCAAAAAGAAATAGAAGAAATCAAACAATCTCTATGAAAAAATAAGTAATTAACGTTGTTTATGTAGTTGTTAATGTAGTTTACATCAGTAGTTAGTAAAGTTAAGTATGATTTAACCCGATGATTATAAACATTAAAACAAATATGAGAAAAAAATGATTTTTATTTCCTTGAAACTAAAATTTTAGTGAAGCATTATCAGAATGAATGAATACTTTAACATATTCATAAGGCTTTGCCTATATACATGTACCTGTAAATATATTTTTTGTAGGTATTCCTATATTTTTGAGAAAAATTCATAATTTAAAACTAAACGGTATAAACCATCAATTTTGTTAATACTAAATCATGTTTTTGCGTTTTATGATTCATAAAATTGTACAATAAATTTTTAGGTACTTAAAATACTTAAAATACCTGAAATATGTATTTTAAAGAAAGAAACGTTATCTTTGACTTCGCCACAACTACTTAGTATACTTTAAATAACAATCGCATTCAGCGTTTATTTTAGTAGCGATAATATTTTTATACCAACACCAACATGTTGAGTTTACCATCATTCTGCATTGGTTTATTGGTGTTTGTTGTGCCGCTATTAGCGGGCTATAGAATTCTGGTAGTATTTCCTTGCATTACCCATAGTCACTATTCTTTAGGTTTGAGATTACTAAATGAGCTAGCAGACAGAGGCCACGATGTAACTTTTATAAGCAGTTTTCCCCAGAAGAATAGACATAAGAATATCACACATGTTTCAGTGGAGGAAATAAGAGAACCATCAAAAGGTAATAGCTTATAATTTCTATGAAACATTTAACATTGAACTATCTTTTTTAGTTTTTTTATCGAATTTATTCGGTTTAAATGAACTATCATTCCACAAACAATTAGACTTCATATCGGAATATGGAAAATTCGCGACGCTGCAAACTTTGCAAAGCAGGAACGTGCAGGACTTGATGAAATCTAACGTGACCTTCGATTTAGTACTTTTAGAGCAATTTCTAAACGAAGCTATGGCAATTTTCGCGTATAGGTTCAAGTGTCCGGAAATTTTACTTATTCCAGGACCAACATCTTTCTTTAACAACCATTTAATTGGGAATTTTGCACCCATCTCGATCGTGCCTAACTACTTTAGTAATTACGATAATTATCCTATGAATTTTTGGGATAGGTTGTATAATGTTTATTTGGAGTTAGTGAGTAAGTGTGGTTAAAGCACTACGTGATTTTATCATTTATTATTCATCTTTGTAGGCCAGTATGTTGTGAATTTTTCGACTATACCAGGACAAAATAAAGCGTTGAAGCAAGCATTTCCAGATGCTCCAGATTTAGAAACTATCCTATACAATACTAGTTTGTCGCTAGTCTTGTCAGATTTGGCTTTAGATGACCCGATGCCGCTGCAACAAAATATTAAACCAATCGCTGGGTATCACTTACCATCCCACAAGCCTTTACCAGCAGACATTCAAGCGATAATGGATAATTCCAAGGACGGGGTGGTAATATTTTCTTTGGGTTCGAACCTGAATAGTTCCCAGTTAAATCCACAATTAAGGAAAATTTTCTTAAATGTCTTCTCGAAGATCAAACAAACCGTTTTGTGGAAATTCGAAACGGATCTTCCAGAAAAACCGGAAAATGTTAAAATAGCGAATTGGCTGCCACAATTCGACGCATTAGGTAAAAAAATAGATACAGCCCATTTACAAATTTTATGCGTTATTAATATTTGCTAACAGCTCATCCAAATACTGCAGCCTTCATTTCTCACGGGGGTTTACTGGGTACTCTGGAAGCAATTCACAGTGGAGTTCCAGTATTGGGTTTACCGGTCTACTGGGACCAACAAAGGAACGTCAGATTATTAGCGAGAAGAGGCATGGCAATTGAGTTAGATCGATATAATTTGAACGAAAGGAATTTCGAAAACGCCTTGAAAGAAATATTGAATAATCCAAGGTGAGTTATTAAAATATCTACTAAATGAAATAAAAAAGGTCTAAATTGCTCATAACATTTGTTTGCTATTAGCTAAATGCATTTGAAATTACCAACTACACCTCAACTAACTTACGCATAGGTAATTCCTGATAATTGAACCAGTACCTATATAGTAAAGATAAAAAACATTGCGAAATTAAACTAAAAGTACTTTCAAGTAAATGTAGTTGAAGAGTAACTAATTTTAATAATTTTAGATATAGTTTAAATGCTAAAAAATCATCCAGAATATTACAAGACAGGCCGGTAAAAGCGATAGACGAGGCTGTATTTTGGATAGAGTACGTGATTCGCCATCAAGGAGCTCCTCATTTAAGGTCGCCATTTTTGGATTTCAAATGGTACCAGATTTACCTCCTAGACATCGTGATGTTCGTAGGAGTTATTGCTATTTTATTATTAGTTAGTTTGGCATTGCTGCTGAAGTATTTGGTACTTCCAATGAAAGTTTCGAATAAAATTAAAACTAAATAGATTAGGTAGTATTCGATGTCGAAGTCATTATAAATGGCTCCTTTGTTATGTTAATTTTTTTAGTCATTTTTTGTATAATAGATACAGAATAGTTGCTAAAAAAAGATAGAAGATGAAATAATAAAAGAAATTAACGAACGATAGTCTAGAAATGTAGTTCATATTACATAATAGATTTCCTTGAAATCGTGTTTGAAACATATTGTAATTTTGAGAATTTTAATTATTTCGAATAAATTAAAATTAGTTTAAACTATAGATAAATAACCTGGAATATTTATGTTGTGAAAAATGCATAATTTAAATAAGTAATTTCAAAAAAAATCTAATTCTACGCAGTTCCAAAATCACAGAACATATAAAACAAGACCAAGTTACAAGTAGAGACATCTATGTGAGAGTGTTTATTTTGAAACATTTGCAGTAATTGTATAAGTAACGTTGATTGCTATAATATTCAATTTGTTACATAGGTAAATTTTTAAATATAATACACTTTACAATTCAACGCTTATTAAATAATATAAATAGATTTTTGCAACCTAAATTCCACACTGTTCACAAGTTAACTTGAGATTCCTGCTGGGAATGCAAGCTCGAATTTATACTTTCCTCTTCTTGCGATAGATGTCTCTATTGCATTATCAGCAGGATGTTCTGTGCACTCAGAACTTAAATTCAAAAATGGACTTCTCTCATAAATTTAAACGACTGTAGAGATAACAAACTGAAACGTAACAATATAATTACTTCCAGGTGTATGTAGATACTTGCAATATTTAATGTTAATTAAACATTTGCATATACACTAGAATTCGTTTTCCTACCTTTGTTGTTTTGTGTAATACTTTTAAATACTATATATGTAACTTAAAAAAATAATTGTCACCTTACAGAACATCTCAACTTTAATCCCACGACGCCATACAGTCCGTCGGGACGGCATTCATAAGCATCCCAAATTATCTGCGACCTTATGAATTATGGAAAACTGTCGGAAAGTGACTTTAATTCCCTCGGTTCGGAGTCACATAATCATTCCTCCGGAGCTACCGGCGAATGTTGCCCCGATAAAGTTACCAACTCGAATTTCCTAAACTGTTTTAAAGTACATCATTATTTTCGTGACGTGAGAAATTATAAAAGTTTTGCTAAACAAAACCGAATGTCGCGTGATGGTGTGTTCGAAATTCGCATCGTTTTTCGTGATGCAAGATAGGGAAACGATTCGTTCAATTTAACTAGGTTTTGGGAAAATGCACACTGTTTTAAGGGTAGTGGAATTTGTATGAATAGTGCATCAAACGGTATTATAAATGCAATAATTAAATTACTATTTTTTGATAGAAAATTGATTGGTTTTTCGACGTAAAAGGCAAGAATGCTTTCTAAAAATGCATCTTAAAAACTGTATTTAAAACGAATACCTAATGCCTAATACCTAATACCTAATACCTAATACCTAATACCTAATGCCTAATGCACCAACCGAAAATGTTCAATACTAAAAAGTTATATTAAAATAATTGGTAAAAAATATTTAATGTGATGCAAATAAATATAGATAATAAGTTTTATTAGATGATGGTATAGAAACAAAGTAAACTCGTATCTAAAGAACATCAACTGTTTGTATTTGGACGGGAGCAAGTAGAGTACAAATTCCCAATGAAGCGAACAAGACGATGAAGTTATTAGAGAGTTATCGGAGAAGATGGAGTAAAACTTTCGTTAGGTCTGGGTTTCGCCTTGACGCAGCCGGTTCGCTGCTTTCTCTCTATAATTTCAGTGCGGATTGTTAGCTCAATAGTTATCCTTTTGATTTCGGGGGGAGAGTTTCAATCAGATTATCCCGAAGCGATCCCTTATTAAATTAACCGGCGACGTTTCCAACAAACATATCAAAGTCATTATTTCCGTAAACAGTATCAAAGAGATGAAACGTTGGCTTTTAATTAAAGCGAATTTTATATTTATTTTTGATGTTTTCTTTAATTTCATCTTGAAAGTCGCGAGGCGAATGAAAATGGTTTCGAATATTCTTCGAGCGTTTTTATTCTCCCTCTCTACATATCTATCCGCTGGGATCACAAAAAACTGTTGCCAATATCGAGGCGCCTTTGTTTTTTTTTAATATAGGAAAAATTTTATTTAGAAATCGATGGGGGGAGTAGGAATTTCCAAGGAACCTAATATGTGCTATTTTTTTCTTATACATATGCCTATACCTAAACATGGGAACAAGGAAAGATTATTAAAAAAGATGTGGTTAGAGTGAGAAAGTGACAATCACACAATATTACTCTTTCCTTTTCCTTTATATGAGACTAATGGAAGTTGTTTTTGTTGCACACGTGTAGGTAGGTTTCAACGCAATTGTTGCAAATGTATATTTGCAAACAAGATATTTTTTGTTTAGGACACGTTGGGTTGTTCTAAGATAATCTGTTACATTTAAATATAACTACTTTTATTGCGACATAATACAATTCCATTATACAATAGTTACAATACAGTTATTATTTAATTAATAAAATTACCTAATTTTTTGTTTCTATATAATGGAGTTGTCAAACAAAATGTTTAACGGCAGCGTGGCCGAGCGGTCTAAGGCGCTGGTTTTAGGCACCAGTCCGAAAGGGCGTGGGTTCGAATCCCACCGCTGTCAAGATTACTTTTTTAAGTTTTTTCGAAATACCAAATTATTTTAAATCAATTACTTTTAAACCTATTTTAATTTTTCATTCCCAATTCAATTTTTATAAATCTCATTCTTTAAAATTTAAATCTAATTTTTTTCAAATTTTAAAAATTTATTTATTTATTTAAGTATAAGAGTATAAGAGTATGAGTATAAGTATAAATATTAAGTATTAAGTATAAAAATTATATACAAATAATATTTAATAAGGGTATTCGAATCACGTAACGCTATATACCTACCGACACACACGAAAACAGTCTCTGTTAATCCCCGCAAAGCCTCAAACGAGCGAAATAAAGTAAAATGGGAGAATTGGAAGTACCAAATAAAACACAAGTTAGAGCCACATTTAAGCCCTAACTCAGACAAAGGAAAATGTAGAGCCTATTAAGCCTTGGATAGGGAATCGCGTTGCCAATTGATGCAATGTAGTTCGCTAACAAGAATTTAGAGATCATTGTCGTGACCATGGGTTGTATTTTTGGATAAAATTTATTAGCTATACCTATACCAACTCACTATTATTCTAGAGAAATATTTATTCAATTATTACTCAATTAGTTACCTACAAATCAACCAATTTATTGAATAATTAATTTGATACCTATAAATAATCAATTTCAATACATTAAATCTCATAACAATTTCATTAGAATTTAATAATGAAAATAAGAGCTTTAAATTCTCATGTACATTTTTTTTCTTGTTCCGCTTATGAGGAAAACTCTTACTACAGATTACTTCGTCGAACGTCACCAGATTTTTTTTCTATTTACCGATTAAATTCTTTCGTTTGAACGAACATTTCGACTATTTTAGTAAAATGGTCGAAGAAGAAGGAAATAAACGATATTCCGTATAGGAAGCGTCAGTTAAAGGTTCCCACAATCAGATCTACATTTCTAAATTTGCAAATTAAAGTTTTTTTTTCAAACTGACACAAATGAAGTTTCTATGGTCAGTATAGCTTTAAAGTTATAAAGGTACGTGAAAAACGTAACTCATTATAAAAAATTAATTTGGTTATTATTATATAACTTATTAAGAACACAAGCTTTGTTCATTCGAAGTTACATTTAAGAATATAAGAGAAATAGAAAAAAATTCGGAATAATGCATATAAACTGCATTTTTTCCAATATTCACTCTCTTCCGCTTTGAAGGCTTTCGATTCTATTTGCATTAATTCGCCAATGAAAAACGTAGCATTCGTATTCAGGACGAGATTTACAGACGTTCGAATTTCAATTAGATTTTGCTTTTTTAATATCCACCGAAGCATGTACCGAATGCACGTGCACGAAAACTAATCCACCAGCGCAATATGTAAACATAACGTAAGCGAAACTCATTTAAATTTAAATCGAATATAATTACCGGGTTTTTTAATCCGACTGCACAAAGTTCGAATGTGGAATTTGTTTGTGAAATACCAAAATTCCTGCAAGAATACTTTCGACAAAGTCCTTGTTAAATGCATTAACATGTTCAAACATGTTTAAAATAATCGCCACAAAGAATTATGAAATAGTGTAGATTTCCAAAGAAATTGTATAACTAAATAAATATTAGGATTTTTTTAAATAAATTTAAAAACAATAGCAAAATCCATTAAAATTAATATTATATGAGCTATTGATTGAACATCACTGGAGTTACACAAAAATGTACAGGAATTTAAATTTAATTGGATTTTTTTGTACCAAACCACTATTTATTTTGCAGATACTAATTTATCAAAGGAGCAAAGCAAATAAATTATTGAAAACAATGACATATCGAATAGGTAATAGAAAATAAATCCATTCATTAATTTCCCATTTCCATTTTTTTCTAATTGTATTTCCAATTGAATTGAAACATCATTACCGAACGAAAGCGTTAATATCATTTGCATTTCGTTTAATCAATGCGTTGTTTAATTAATAATACTGTTTGTAATTAAATTTTTCAATCGATGGAATTATTTAATTAAACGTGTTCCTGTGAGTTTATAAGCAGCAATTCTAATGACGATGTAATTAATTTAATCTACAGGTGAGTTGTAGTTTTTGCAAGTTCAATATCTTTCCTTATGGTGTCTTCTGAAGTGCATGGGATATTTTTGGAACTAACACGTACTCGTGTCTTTAGGGGACAAAAGCCATTTTGAGTATTTCGAAACGTCGTCGACATATGTTTTCATCACTTGAACATCCCTAGATTTCGACGGAACGTGATCTGAAAGAATATGCGTTAGATATACATGACCCAAATGATAGAGACTCTATATGTAACTCAAGGATCTCTTTTTATTTCCAAGGGTAATTCTTGAAAACGCTCCAACGGACAAAAAGAACCCCGTTCGAATCGAAAACTTCCAAACATAATATCAGAAGGGTTTAAGGTTGAATTATCGCCGGGTTTGATGCATGCGAATATAGTACATACAATGTATGTGGTTAGTTTCTATTTGGGCAATTAATATCGATTGTCGCCCGTAAATCAGGCTCCTCTTAAGGTCGTTTTCGATCGCGCTCGCACCCACTCAGTTATTTACGTCAGCAATAATGACATCTATACCGGGCAACCGGGGACAAACTTGACCGGTGCGCCCTATGTCACCTAAATCCAATAAATTATTACATTATCAGTTCGACGGAGAGCATCGAGGCCACCTAAAATGATTAGTTCGACCGGATTCCCGTATCCAGTTCCGTAGGTATTGGCCTCAAGCGGTGATATATTACGGGGATACTGAAAAAGACCCCTATCCGCTACTTTTTGCGATGAATTATTGGATTTTTTTTTTCGAAAAAGAGGATTCGAGTTATATATTTTCCAGGCTGCTTGCAGAGACGCGGAGCGCCCGAAAAACGACAAATGAAATCCACAGATTCCATCGATTTATTGATGAAATACGTAATAAAATAAAAATTTTCTCTCGTATGTGACGCTTTTTTATGTCTCGTGCCTATTCTTCTCATCTTAATTCCTGTTGACGTGACACAGGGGATCTTGTGTTTCGCAAGAAACGAACCGAACACAAAGGGCAATTTGGGCGTAACACAGCATCACGTAGAATAGTCCAGCACCCCATTTGGGCCAGTCAAACTAAATCCTAATTGTTACAGAGCACAATTTAGCTTTCTGCCAAAGCAGAACTAATTGTAATTGCTCAAACTAAGTTAAACAGCCACTTTGATTTCGAGACGATTCAACGATTTCCATCCAAAATACGCATATTGTTAACAAAACTGTTTTTTCGCAGCGAACACCCGCTGATGCGAAACAGTAAGTGCAGGAGACGCGAAGTTTGCATTACAAAGAGGACGTTAAGAGTTTATTTCATGAGACATTAGCCTTGATGGGGTGTTGTTTTGATGTACTGCAGAGGAAGTAGAGGTTCATTATATGCCCGAGTTTATTCAGCAAGATAAGTTATTATACCTTGTTTTGATCCAACGGGCTCTTGTAATGGAAACAGTATTGTAAACGTTTCGAGATGACATGACGTTCACTGGGTTTCGAGAACGGTATGAAATTTAATTGACTTCAGTGTGGTCGAGAGGTAAATCAATATTCGAATTAATAAACCAAGAAACATCTTGTAGAGATTTAGAGATGGATTTTAAGAGAAATATTTTATTTCTATTGCTTTTTTAGACATTATTCTGCATGATGGGCAATGGGCGCATTCAACGTATAATGACTATATTTTACAACGTACACAAAAAGTGCATTTAGACCTTAACAATTCGCTGCAATATATATTCCGGGCGCGATTAGAAAGCATTTAGCACACATGCGAAATAGTTTCATTCAAACATTGCATTGTTGGTCGAAAGCCACTTTAGCAGATATTGAAATTGCATATCTTATCTCGACCGCAATATTTCACCGGGCTCGCAACTCTAACAGGTGAGTTACGAGCGGTCGTTAAAAAAATCTGACATTGCATGAAAAAAACTTATAAAAAAGATTTATATTTTGCTCTAAATATAAATAGGAGTTCGTGGATCGATGCTATTATCATACTAGGAGTTAAATATAAAATAAATTTGCATACCTTATCGTTCAGCGTAATTGTACCTAGAGGGTTCTAATTAAAGTTTAATAATACCGAAACTCTGATGTTTTTGCATCCTTTGTGTTATCCTTAATATTCTTCGGATCGCCATTTTTTTTTATTAGGCCCATGCTCTATATCTATCCAAATCTCTCTAATAAATATAATGAGCAATTTCGAATTGTTGCCTCCACTGAAGTGCACAAAAGCGTCGTAATTACGTGGTTTTAATAAACGCCGTTTTAACTGACTCAGCCAGCTACCTTTACCTCTTTAAATTAAGGCCTGCGAGCAACGAAGATGCTATTAAATTAATCTCGAAATTGACAAATTATTAATTTACGTCTTCGTTACTCGACTTAAATTACCTGTTTCAGATTGGCGTAAATTATTCGTTTAGTCAATAATTTCTCAGACATTATTAATTATAGTACATGCCGGATTTCTGTTCGTTATCTACGGTTTATTCGAGAGCTGACGAATTTGAGGATATTCTAAAATGTTCCTTAATCTTAATGTTGCCCAACAGAATAAATTAATTAAAGGAATTTTGCGCTCTAAAGTGCTAAGAAAATTTTTCCAGAGCCAAGATATTAATTAAAACGAATTTCCTGTTAAGCACTATACAAAGTGGCTGTATAGTTTTAATTATGTATTGAAATTTACAAAGAACAATATCGTTGGCTACAAAGATTAAAATTATACACATTTACCATCAATCAATTCTTCTTTAAAGTTTTTATTGTATGTCAACTTATACTACTTTATTAACGAATGCAAGCAAGCAAGAACATTCATTGTAATTCGAATTTCAAGGATTATTTAAATTCGCTGGTAAAGAATAGATCCTGTAAATTCATTAAAACCTTTAAAAATAGTTCTCCAACCTGACCTAAATTGCTTTCATATTTCAAATAGCTGGTACCTAATGGAACAAGAACAGCGTCCCGTTAATTAAACTATACTAAGAGCGCAGCGTAACCTTCCGGAATGCATAAGCAGGCGGAATTTATCGAAAAAATTCATTGTGAACCGCAATTACCCGGAGCAATATTCATTAATTCCGCTTCTACAGTTTTAAATTAACGGAATTAATTTATTAAACCCGCACTCCGAAATTTAATGCTGCGATGGTGAAGACTAAATTGGTTTGCGTTAAAAATAACCGAGTGAGCTTAAGAACGAAATTAATAACTAGTACTAAATAATTTCTAAATAGACAACCCCTTAAATAGGGTTATCTTCTCTAATTCAATTTCGCCAACCGAAATATTGATTTTATCTACGAACGGGACTAATTTCCGAACTTCCATACACGAAATGCCTAAGTGAATTCCGATAGCGATCTAACTCCGTAGGAGTTGTTTTACAAAACGGTATATTGGTAGCCGGATCCTTTGACGAGAAAATGTAAAACTTTGTTGCATTTACGGGTCTTTTTACGGCTTTCGGCCGACGCGAGGGATCCCTTCGCCATTAAATCCAAGCACTGTGGTCTACCGAACAACATTAAATGAACCGCGGACTATATCTATAATGCATCGAAACTTGCATTAGCAGCAATGGAGCTATAAAATTTAAGTTATTTTTAATGATACGCCTAGGTTTATATGAATATAACGAGTTGAAGTATTTAATTATATTGAATTGATTGTACGAATATTGAATCAGAAATCCGTCCACAATCGAACCACACAGCAAATCCCTCACGGATTGAATTCACAATGACCATTCGCATGGTAAAATGGAAAAGATTAATAAATTATTGAAATATGTTTGTTTTGTATCCGGTAAATCAATGCCCCTGTGACATTTCCGCCTTTTCGTTGGCATTTCGCCGGTGAAATATCGCCCGAAAATTGATTGGACTCGCAACATACACATAAAACGGACACGGAATTTCCAGCGTTTTGATTTTGAGTAATTGGCCCAAAACGAACGGGCTTTCAGCTAGTGTTAATCGAGTACCAATTGCTGTTGATCCCTTTCATTGCATCGCTGAATGCATTTAACATCGTAAATTTATACCAATTACTGATGAAGACGCAAAAATAAAATCAATACAACTTATCATACTAGTTCATAATAATTAGTGTTATCGCTGTACTACAGGAAACATTTGTATTCCTTCCCTGAAAACTTATACCTATTCTCTGCAGCATATAGTCAGAAACCTGCGAAGCCGAGTAGTTTTAGGCCCCTAGACACGTTATGTAAATTATAGTGCGTACTTCCTAGGTAATACGGTTTCAGAATTCAGTTAATTAAGGATATCCTCTCAAGCATTATCACTTCTCCGCAGAACGTCGTAGATATTTCACTTAAGAATCTGAACTATTTTATTAGCCGGCATTATGCGGCATTGCGGCTGGTAATCACCAACAGAAATGTAGATACTTAAATAGTTTTGCGAATTGTTCGATGCAAGTTATGAATAAGTTCGTTAATTAAATTCCCATATAAAATAAGCTCGAGAAGGGAGTAGTAGGTAATGAAAGACACTTTGAGAACCTCTTCTCGCGCGATTGTTATGCAAGCAATTCAACAGAATATACGTTTCCTAATTAATAATTATGATGATTACCAATATACAAGACGGCGGAGTTTAAGCACAAGCACATGTGTGTGTAAATTGGATCGGTCGCCCGCAGAATCCATTTTCGAATGGGATGCTGCGGTTCCAGCTAATATTTGCTCTAGCGGTAAATTAACTGTATTATTTGCATGCGGGGTGTTAACTCCGTAAAGTTGAAAATAGGTGAGGTGAGATCTGAGCGCGCGAGTTCATTAAACCTCCAAGAAATAAAGCGGGCAATTTATTACGCGGCGCGGTTGTCGTAGATTACAAGGAAAATTGAAAAGCTCAGGGTAAATTGAGTGTACACCCTTAAAGGCGAGGTCACTGTTGGAATTTTTCTAATTAAAAGAAACCTACTAGGTGGGCTAGTTAGAAAGGAATTACTACAAACTAGGAATTTTATGTTTTTATTCAAAGGTAATGTTCATTTGATGAATGGGACAAAGTTTGCTTAGATCTATTTCACCTGCCTCTACCTTCTTGTCCATTTCAGCAATTACCTTTTCTTTTTCCTTCAGTAATTTAATTGCTTCTCGTTCGGCTGCCCTCGCTCTCTTTTCCTCTATGCGTTTAATTTGCTGCGCGGTCAAAAATGCTTGCTTTCTACATTCGATGAGCCTCTTTCTAAAGTCGGCACTACCATTGATAATATTGCAGGTTTTCCTATCTAGTTTTTTCGGCATTTGCCAAGTACCTATACAACCGAATAATAATACAATAATTAAATATTGAATGTAGGGTATTTTACCTATATAATGCGATCCAATAATGGCATCCTTGCCTACAGGTCTCGGCGCTCCGGGCAGGATGTGACCTCTGGGGTTAGAAATCGCTTTAGTTACCCGTATTTTCGTTTTGGGCATATCACAACAATATTTCTTAACTATGTAATTTTGTATCATGCTAGGCACGAAGGCATCTTCGAATTGGTTCCCGTGGTAGTGCTTCGACATTTTGAATGCGAATTTTATTCAACCGATTTCCCCAAAATACTGGAAGATTAAACGTCAATTAGACTATAAATTAATCGATGAAAGATGTCAATTTGCTCTTCTATTTTATTATACTGTTATATGGATATGTTGCGTGGTACGTTTTTATGTAATGCATCTCGACTCAAAGCTAAAAAGGGTTCATTTTATTTACGCTCCACGGTCATAAGGGCGTAGGGTCGCGCTGGATAAACACGGCGCACTCGAGATTCAAAGCTACGAATTTCATTAACCCTCTACCTATATGATAATGAGGCCCGCGGAAGGGAAAGCCCAAATGGACCGAAAGCTTCCGAGCTTTTCGCCGTGTCGCCGTTGTCCAGGGCGCCTAATTGTGTTTCATAAGTCCACCGCCCTTATCCAAGATTGCATCCGCATACTCGTCGAGCGGACGTTTAAATGATATAATACAGCGTAAAGGATTATTTAGAGAGGCGGCGTCTCTAAGGGATGGAACCGCACGTTTGATTTATAGGGTGCTCGGCGACATTTCGACGTCCGCTTCGTATTTATCATGCGCTTAATTTCCTATGATATTGTTATAGATAGATGAAGGAGTTTTCCAGCGAGGAAATTGAATGTGTACTCGGCTCGATAATCGCGAAGAAACGAATTTTTTTTCTGTTGATTCGCGTACGCCGTACGCAAACTGAAATTAGAGCTGAAAAAACTGAAATCGGATTGTGTTCGTTTCTTTTTCATTTCTGTAAAGTTTCGAGCCTTAGGCTCCCCGTACGCCGTTGGAGCATGAAATTTAATTTAGTCTTTGTTTGATATACCCAACGAGTAAAAAGTGTATTTACCGACGGTAAATGAAAAGCTCTTTTCTGATATTTTTTGTCTTATTTCAACGAGAGGAATTTCGAAGTTTAATTATGAACTAAACTAAAAATAAATAAACAACCAACCGAGGGTTTTGTTGTTTCTCGTTAATAAGAGGTAAAAATTCAGATAGAATGCAACTCTAAATTGAAATTGCCCAAAATAGACACTTGATGATACGTATCTAGTACACACATAGGTATAGCATGAAAATAATTGGACCGAAGGATGTTAAATGCACTTTAGTCGGTACCCAGAGTATATTTGTATTTGCATGTATCAAACATGTGCAGAACATGATAGAGTTAAGCAGGCGGCACAAACACGTCCTGGAATAATTAACTGGTTTATACGATTATAATTAACTGTAGATAAGCAATTACGTACAAACATTGAGCCTGGAACAAATTATAACCAGTATAAATCAAATCAAGGGTTATTATAAGGTATCATACCTACTGTACCTATAGATGCTTTATTAATATTCCCATTTTGAAGTTAATTTAATCAAATTCTGTAATAAAAAATAAGATTGTCTTGTACATAAATTTTTCTAAAATTTCGTTATTTAATATCCTCTAGAATATTGCGTTTCGATGGAAATTCGTTCAGCGTATATTTTCATTCCTTTTCGAAGTATATAAAACTAATTTTCACAAAAGCCGATAATCAGTTATATCCCACTTTTCAGCTGAACGCAGCTATTTTCATGATTTTCTTTCGGGTTCTCGTTTTTTTTATCGAATTCCCCGGCATTCCGAATTGAAGATTTCACATTTAATTCAAACGACAGAGTCGAAATTGAAAATTGAATTTCCTGGTTAGTGTATGGAGACCCGAGAAAAATCATTCAAAATCTCATTCCATTTCCGATGTCCTTTCGCGTATTTCTAGCAGCTAGATTAAAAATAACTACTTTGTAACATAACTATATGAATTTTATATTTGAATATCGGTATATTCTCACAAAATTGCAGATATTAAAATTTTGCCATTGATAAATAATTAGTAATACCTAATAGTAAGATGAAAAAACACTGAATTTGAAACCAACAAATATATTTCTTCGCGGTAATCGGGATTATATGCGAAAACTTTGACTATAAGTCACCGGTTTTCCTTAACACGTCCAACTTGAAAGACATCTTACGAATTAGTTCCAGGAGTTTCCACGCATAAGTTTCGACTGGAAACGATCAGCATGATGGATTTTCGGTAATTTCCCGCAAATTTTTAACTGCCAAACTTCTGTAGGTTTTTTGTAGTATTGTTCTCTGAGGAAAGCATTATTGTGTCGGTTTTTTAAATTTTACCTTCTATTTGATAGTTCTGATAATCCAGAAGATTTGTCAATCTGAGAAATTGTGTGGAATAAAACTCACAAGGAATGGGTTTATTTTCGTTGTAAAATTTATAGTAATTGCAATATCAAGCGACAGCTGCTCTATAAATTATGCATAAGTATTGTTTGAAACGTGAAGTAAATTACTTTTGTATTTGATGTATTTTCTCGTGAATATTTCAAACTAATACAACGTTCCTGCCAGCGTAAATTTTTACATACTTAATTTACATTTGAAATTCTGAAAGTAAGTTTTCCTTTTTTGTAACGATTTTAGGTACCTAAATATAGAAATTAATATATCTCTAAGAACTTAAACCTATTATCAACGTACATAGATCTGCTAGGAAGGATTAATGTGTTCCTGAGAAAGTTTTATGATGAAAATTATGATCGCGAATTTCGAATTGTATTTTTTTCAGCTCGTTAGCGTCATCCCGTCGCTTCGTATAGTCGACGAAAAAAAAATAATAAACGATCGCAAAATAAGTCGAGGTATGACAAGAATTCGTCGGTTAACGTGACGTGCAAGGGGGTTATTTTAGCATGTTTAAGATGATTGAGGACGGTTTTTATCTTCCCTTTTCCTTCTTTCCACTGAGATAATTTCAGTTTCTTGGAGGAAATTAATCAGCCGACAAAAAGCCGCTTCGGAGAATATATTAGAATTCGGCTCATTTCCCTCGGAAAACCGTCGTTCCGTTCGCAAAAATCATGAAAATATAAAAAACAAAGGATTTATCTCTTATACACGAACAATGTCTGGTTTAATGAAAATTTTTCGCATTCTTTTCCTTACTGCTATAACCTAGACATTAAATCCGATTTTTCAAAACAAAATTTTAGGGCGAAGATTAACAACACCCGAGAAAATTCAGAATGCTTTTAAATTACTACACTCTAATAATTCCTTAACGATACCTTGAGCTCTCTATTTAGATATCTCAAGTTACATAATTTGCGCTTACATTGCTTACATTCTTTTGAAACAGAAATAAAGCGAAAATTACTGTTTTTCGTACAACACTCGAATCCCACTTTAATCTGATACCCTTTGAAAGCAACAACTCCTTATGATGGAGTTATCAAATGCTACATCGTCACGAGTCGCCTAGAAAATATATACGAACAAGCCGTGTTGATTAAGGGCGAAAAGAGTTCATCTAACGTAAAGTGTAAAGTGCAATCAACCGAGTTTCTGAAATCCTCCTGCATCGCCATGAGGATTATAGCGCAGTAAAGCATAAAGCGAATTTCAAATTTCCATAAACAAGGAAATTTATTTCGCGGAAAAATAGGAGTGTAGAAAAGTTGGTGGCGATAAAAATTTAAGCTTAATCAATATTTAATTTTCATCCGGCTTGTTTACGTTTACATTCCGTCGCTGTTAAATTATTTTTTAGCAACATAATTGAATTTTTTAATAAGTTGTAAAAATGGCGTTAAAATTTTATAAATAAACTAACTTGGGCATATAACCCAATTAAACAGTTGCAATAACAAGCGATGTTTTCCACGGTCCGCTGATTAAATTGAAAGTATACTTGTATATCTCAGTAAAGAGAAACACTTCATTTTACCCGTCGAGCGGATGCTTTATAAACTACACATTTCAACTGAAACTCGAACTTTTCAACGGCCATAGTTTTATTTCGATGAAACGGTTGAGCATCCGTTGACTAAACTCGCACGACAAGTTATGACTTCACTTGAAACTTTTCTGCGAACTGTTTATAAACTAATCGTCCACGTCAAGCGGCGGAGTCGAAGTTGGGGGAGTTGAAGGGCTCCGACGAGTTCGCCCGCAAACTTTTAACGACTCTCTTGACGCCCCTGGTTTTTGTGGTCATGCGGCTTAAGCTTAATTATTAATTGATAAATTGCGCGCGGTGCTTTGTCCTTTTATTAATCGATTATTTACTCGACGAAACTTCCAAGTTGTTACGTCGGAGTGAAGTTTGAAGTTCGGGAAAGTGGCAGTTGATAGTCTTCCATCGGGTGATAAAAAAAACCTACTAAAGTATTAGTTAAGTAGCTCATTTTTTTCGCCATACATACGTACAAAAAATAATAAACGCAGACACACTGTATAATATTATATTTTATTTCGATGTAATTACAGGACGAGTTTTTTACAAAAACAAATCCTTCTCCTATAAACTCCAACTTCCAATTATTTAATAAAAACTTCCGAATGGAAAAAAAATTCTTCAACTTCATTAGTGATTTCATTATTTGCTCTAATAATTCAGCGAGAAGTTCCTTCGCGTTCCGGAATATCCGGGATCTCGTCGACCTATCAATTATCCTTCGAAACGGAGTCATTTTTTGCCGATGTGTTACCTATATTTAGGAATTATTGCGCACTGGAAGTTCGTCGGAAGTTTTAATGATCGCTTCGACGTTTGCTTTTTGCGGCCGAGCAACCTTAATTATCGATTTCTAATAATAGAGCGCGTTTTGTTGAGCCGGAAGGTTAAATTGAAGGAAGAATAGACGCGTGTCTTGGAGGGATTTCGGCTTTTAAGAGATCGGACCCCAATTTGCGGATTAGATCGTCGTGTTCTCGGCCGGATTCGAATTAATTGCGTCGAAGTTAATTGGAGTTAATTGACATCTATGTGATTGTATTACATTGCCTATCGGGGAATTATTTTGGGTGGGTACCTGCTTGAAAGTTCGTTTATTAACTCGTTTAATTTGGTAATTACATGGAGTTGAAACAGTCAGTGTAACAAACAAATTTCTTTTCTCGTTACGGAATTATTAACAGGCAACTTTTAGGAGTTAAATTATGAGCTTCCTTCCCCCTTTCCAAAGGCAAATTCATTAGAGTTTTCATCAGGTAAAGTGTAGGCGAACAACAAAG